CGTTGTAAGTGATAATTTGTCTATCACAATGGAGTAGTAATATAATGCATGCAATGAGCTAAGTAGATGGAAAGCTGTTCTCTAATCCAATATCTGCTTCTCAAGATTTTTGAACTCTATCATAACATAAACAAATGAGTCGATGTGATATTGGATCTTGGTGCAAAAATCTTTCATCTTGAAGCTCATCAATTTCAAGAAGGCGTACAACCTGTTAATTAGTTCCTTGTAATGAATTCAATGGTCAAATATCTCAAACAATTGAATTATCTTGTCATATTTGTTCACATGTTTCAAAATTGAAAGTTGTTGATGAAGAATGACGATACTTAAACCTTTTTCTGAAGGTTTTTCTATTCGCTATTGTTGAAGGTAATAAGTTTCGCCCAAGGTTCATGATCTTCAACTTACTCTTAACATATCTTTTCCAAAGCAAGTAGTAACAAATTCCGTGGTACCTTGGAATCTCGTAATCTCCTCCTCCAGACTTACTTTCTGTCTTACGAATGCTAGAAGTTGTGGCAGTTTTTTACTTTTTGTTCTTCCATTTTTTTTCTAGGAGATCATCAACGGTTAATAGATACTAGAAGAAAATATTTCAATGAGGAATATTTTATTAGAGAAAATATTTTGACAAAAAAAATATTCTGACGTTCAACAATCAAAGTCAATCTGTTTGTCCACCACTTGCTTGCCACTCCAAGTGTGGTAGCCAAGTTATGTTTGTATCCTCATCTCACTTGTGATGAATAATTATATATATATATATATATATATATATATAACCAAATACTTGATTAAATTAATAGTGGTTTGTTGATGCACTTTGCCGTACTTTTTGGATTACCACTGTATCCAATATTGCTTGCTTACGTTGCTGCATGTAAGTTGAAGTTGAATTAAAATGTGATTTATCAACTCAAAATAACTCCAGATTAGTTTCTGTCAATATCAAGTCACGTGATAACGTGGGAAAGCCAACCGATATTCAGCCGTATTGAGTTGTCATCATCACATTCACAATTGTTATATAAAGGTATTAAACAAGTAGGATGTCTCGGCATGAAATCCATTTTCCGTTAAAAACTCCGTTAATCTTTCAACATATTTTGAAAGTAATTGGAATAATAATATATGACATAAAGGATTTAACAAGAAAGTCTTTGACCTGATTCATGATTGAAAAGAATATTATTAGACTTGGTTGTGTAACTATGTTGATGATATCTAGAACTCCCAACCATTCAATGATTATTTTTATATATGTAACAATATGCATTGATGTAAAATTACATGTTGTGGTACAGAGATTGTTACTAGCACAAGTTTCATCTGAAATATTTGCGTTTTACTTTCATGTAGAAATAGTGAATATGAGAATGTTTTTGTCTGTTTTCGTGTTAGCATCTTGCCTAATCTGTGGATGTTTTTTGTGAAGGATTTTGATCTGGATTGAGAGTTAATCTGTATATTGATACTCATGTGAAAAGTTATGTCACCATATTTATTTTTGAAAGGATAACTCTAGGGTAACTTAATATGACTAAAAGTTATAACACATGTATAACACACTTGTGATATAAGATACAAGATTGATATACACTTGCACCATCGTACGCAGAGATACATATTATTGTGTTAGATGTGATATTTTTGTTACATCTCACGAACGTACATCAACAGTTAGGTTGGTGTGTTGATATAAGAGCAGTTACACCGTCCAGAGTTGACGATGAGAGTTGTTACATTTGCATTGTGGTTGTGGTTGATATTGACGTTCAGATCAAGCCTTAACTAAGGGCTAGAAATTAAATCAAAATGTCTTGGAGTAATGTTTGAAATAAAGAATACGTGATATAGTAGGAACGAAAAAGAACTTGGGGTCTATGAAACTCAAACTGACTTTATTACCAATTTGAAAAATATTTTTATGTTTATATCAACATGGGTATACTACGTTATTTAAAAAAAAAAAGATTTTTATTACAACTAATAATACAAATTTTTTCATGATGCCACTGTCAGTGTAATTTTTATATGATTATAATACCTTTTCGATGAACTGATATGTCCAGTGGTTATGACGTGAATTGATGAACGTGACAGATAATATCTGGCCTTATGGAATAAAGAATGTGATAAGATTTCATTAAGATTCAAACAAAGTATAAGCCAACCAATGAAATAAGAAAACCAGCACAATGCTACAACAGATTCATAGAGTTATATTCAAATAAATCTCTAAGTCAGTTATTGTAGTTTCAAATTCTCCATTGTCCATATTAATTCGCCATGCAAGACATAAATACAAATCGGTTCCATAACAATTGTCATGTGGGACATGTATATGTATGTTGGCAGATTATTATAGTCAACAGATATGGATGAAGTTGTTGGAGCTTCAATTACGCATTCTCTTCATATTTTTCCTTTATCTTGGATTAAAGGAGAGTATCTACACTGCTATACATCAGTGTGATATTCACGATTACCATACTAAACGAATACTTGGACAAACGTTTCATAATTGAATCACGTTGAATCTACTTGATGGGCTAAATGTAGTTATTTATGTAATCAATCTATTTTATTCAGACTCATATAAGTCGGTACTTCTTCTACCCTCTCGATGAGTTTTATGTTGATCAATTTTTGAGACCTCGTCATTTCGTCGACAATATGACACATTATACATGACATATTTATAATGCACTCTAAAGTTGAGATTGTAACATGATTGTACTTCCTCTAATGACTAAGTCGGAAACATGTTTGAAGACATCTATATTTCAAAAACTAGATTATGTGTATAACTGTTGACGCTCTAATTGAATTTGATTAGTCCACTTTCAGACGTCATTACCTTTCTCATCTATTCTGAAGTTCTCATTATTAATCTTTTGATTGGTTTGCATTGTAGAGAGTGTTATTTTCGTTTATTTTCTCCCAACGTTATGGAAAGTTCTTTCAGTGAAGCCCCAATCCACGCATGAAGAGGACTCCATTGTAAAATCGAATTATCGCCATGCTGGAGATCGGCGCGTCGGAACTCCATCGCAAGAGCGAAATAATACTTAACTATGGCGTGAACGTGAAGCCACACGGAAGTTCATGGAATGATGAGACCTCGAACAAAGAGAACGGCGTCGAGCGACAGAAAACATCTGCCGCGAAGTATTGCGGGATGGGAAAGAGTACATGGAATGTGGAGATCCTATTCACCGTGCAGATTTTGGACAAAGGAATGTGATAAGACGAGAAAGACTCTTCCAATCCGTTATCAACAAATATCATATATATATATATATATATATATAATTACATATAATTATATAATATAGTGAGATAACTAGCTTTTCGTAGAATTTATGTCACAAATTCACTGCAAAAATCACGTCTCTAATCACAAGATTTGAGAAAACAACAAAAGTTTCTTGTAGATAAACAATTATAACAACACCAAATTGGTTTCCAATCATTTTTATCCGAAGATATTGAATTCTGTACTTGGCTTCTGATTGAACATGCTGGTTGAAGAATCGAAAGGAAAATGAAGAGTCTATAATATTTGGAGTGGAAATCAACCGTCACAAAGAGACTGAGTCACATTTGAATTCTCTTCCATAACGCTATCTCACTCATTTCTTCCAGACACCCTCTTCACAAAGCGGGAAAACAAGTGAAAGAACGGTACAAGTCAGCCCTCACCCCGCCAAGTTCTCAATGCACACCAGAACAGAAAAGGGACTCCTCCAGTCGTGGAGTGTCAAAGAAACGAGAGAATCTCGGCAAATGGCATCGGCCGAGGCACGAAAGATGATCGATTCGAAAGAAGCGCTCAGGTTTGATACGGAGCGAACAAATTTCATAACCACGCGTCCGTGCGATCTTGGAGAAGTTCCCCTCCTTCACGTGAAAGTTGGAATGCCCAGAAACACTGAACGAAGTCGAGTTGTCATTGAAGATGGTTTATACACACGATCAACAACTTGACACGAAAGAGGCGGAGAGAATTGCGTCCTAGATGGCTTGGAGAAGGCATTCGAGAAACTGAGCCAATCCAAACACTGCGAACTGACAGATTGAATACGTTGTGAACCAATATTTGTTACAAACGCCGTCCGTCCTGTTGTTAAAAGGTGAAAGATGTAACCCTTCAAACGATGACACTTTGTACACGAGATACATAAATTCGTAGCGAGACCAATATGAGCATAATCCGGCCTGTTTAGTTTAAGCGATCGTATGCCGAAACGCCTAAACTAGACTACGCGGGTGCGCCTATTTATTCTACCCTTCATTTACGAAACATCTTTACTCTACCATTACAAGGTACCTGCATCTATACACAAAGTCATCTACGTTCAGTTTCTATCAAAACCTTTGGAAAAACTTGAGGCATGTTAGACCACCAAAACGTTTCTCTAAACTGCCTACCGCAAGCACTAGACTTTATGAATCGAGTGGATCTTGAACTCCATTGCAATGTAAGAGGGGATGTGGTGAGTTGCGAGGTTAGTTATTGAGAGGAGTGTGAGGTGTTCTGTCGCTTCCGTGCCAATGACTTTCCTTTGAGTATGAAAAATGCCGATGAAATTATTATGAAAAAATGCAGGTGCTTCCTTGATTGTAATTAAGTCAACCCAGTCAGAACTTCCAGAGAACCAAAACTGTTCCTCGAATATTATTGAGAAGATTCAAGGACGTGCCATATGTGCACCCTGAGCCGGCAGATTTAAGGGTGCTGGATTCGGATGGCAAAGTAGAGTTACTTCGTTGGGACGGCAGATTTAGACAAACAAGGGTGCTCGATTCGGTGGCAAATTAGAGTTACTTCGTTGGGACGGCAGATTTAGACAAACAAGGGTGCTGGATTAGGATGGCAAATTAGAGTTACTTCGTAGAGCTGGATTGCTGATAATCACAGAAATCACATTGGGCTACTGTAAGTTCAGGAGAACAACATTGTAATATTGAACAGAGAATGATTTCCAAAACAGTGTGATTCAAAACCTGAATAAAGGCCAGGTAGGAATTGAACTCAAGGTGCACATTGCACATGGCTCCATTTTATGCACTCTAAATGCTTCAGAAAACTCACATTTCCCACCGTCTAAACTAAGCCTAAACAAAGGCCTACTCGTGCGACTAAATTAATCTAACTTAGGTAATTTAGGCACCCGACTAAACTAAGCAGGCCGGAGCATAATGTAGTAGCAGGTTCGACAATATGCCACAGATCATCAAGTATGGTAATTGCCTCTTAAAAAGGATGAAGACATTACATAAGAATAGCATCTCTTTCAAGGTGGTGGAATCCGATGGTAGCACCAGTGCCAGGATATGATCAAGTCCTGTGTTGGAGTCTCTCCCCTGGTCTCACTCTCTCGTACTCGGACCCGGTTGCTTCCAGGCACCGCATGGCGTCAGATGGATCCTAAGACGCCATGTCTCCAGTCTGAAATATGGTATAGAAGAATGGTGGATCCTAGCACTTTCACACTATTCTCTCAGATTTAGAGGACCCACCGAGTTCAAAGTCTACAAACTCGATATGCAGGATCTATGCTCGGTATCTGGATCAAGTGCACGTATTCAGTTCATCGAAAACAGAAATGGAAGGTTCCAATCTGAAAGTTGGAGTTCGCTACGCTTGCCCCGCACTGTACTGAATTATCGAAGGGGCTTAATTCAGCTCGTCGTCTTGAAAGGCATAATTTCTCTTTCCGAGAAGTCACTCTATACAAACAATTGATTGTGATCAATAACAAGTGTGGGCACGACTGAAAGGTCACGGAGTTCATGTGATCCTGAGAGCCAGTGCGTCAAAAATGACTTCCTCTATTGATGTCGAACTTGTCAACACTGTCTAACACCTCCATAGAATTGGCTGAAAAGCCAAAAAACATATGTACATGGATTTCGGATTTCCCAGCTCTGCATACCGAGAAACATCGGAGGGACTGAAAAGAGACGCCAGATGAAATGTCTTCAAAAAGACGAATGTCTTCAAATAATATCGTGCATAGGCTCACTTTCGTGCCTGCATGCTTGAGCAGGTTTGCAACTCTTGTCAACATTTGCCACATGAGCGCTCGCCATTTGAGCAGCCCGGTGTTCTCGCAACCCAGCGGATCGCGTGTAGTACTTTCCGTTGAATACGTTTTTGGGTGCATGGGGTCTATGAACACTGGAACCATCCGGATGCTCGTCGATGGATTCTCTTTTCTCCCCCAAATCAGCCTCGCGCATACCCCGAACACTCGTCTACATCATCGGGCCAGATCACACCATCAGCACCGACGTAGGTATGAGTTTCGGAACTGTCACTGCCTTGACGTCCGCCCTCGCAGGGCTTTTCGTTTTCATCGTCTTTCGAGCTGTCAATCCCGATTGGTATTATCGCATCGGTATGCTCGGGGACATGTTCTGCTTTTCGTCTCGTGTACACGGAGAGAGTGGTTTCTGCACCTAATGACTTCCGACAGTCCTCGGTCTGTGGTGATAACGGAAGAAATTCAGGAGCCGGACGCGTCTTCCTAAAAACGACCGTAGTGTACAAGCTCAGAACATCCAGAGCCTGAGCGTTCAGACGCCCTCTGGCATCAAGCACAGGGTACCCTCTTGGCCCGCAGCTGCTCCGTAATTCAGCATCGAAACGACCATGAAGGTCTTCATAAAACTCGTTTAAATTCCGCAATTCCACGCACTCCAAATCGAACTCTTTGGCCAGCCTCATAAGACTAGGAAAATGTACAAGTATTTGAGGTTGGGGTGGAAGACCATCATCAGAAAATCGCAAGAAGTATTTTGATCCGAAAGAGTAGAACCTGTCGTCCTCGAAGCTTATTTTGTATATATCAGTGCGCACGCAGGGTAGTGGGCCGTCTAAGTGGCTTAGTCTCAAGACGCCAGCTTTTATGGCTCCCTCCACTGCTTTCTGGTACTTGTACCAAATGGTGGAAGAGTCGGGGCATGTTCCAAAAAAATAGCCCCCAGATTTTAAAACCGCGGATACATTCTTCAGAAGGCGTCGGACCATATCTTCACTCGTGAAACAATCTTGCAAATGTGAGAAACAGCAAACGACGTCTGCGGGCAAGCCATAGTCCTGAAGCTGATCTTGGAGATCGACCATGCACGGATCGAGCTCACAGAAGTGTGCTGGAAACGGTTTTTCCTGCTGTTCCCACTGCTCTCGGGCCTCTTCTAAAGCAGATGCCGATAGGTCAACACCGATATACCGTCCAATTCCGGATTCGGCCCATCTCTCCGTATCGAGTCCGCGGCCGCAGAAGAGGTCGCATACTACATTTCCCGGTTCTACCATTTGGCGTAGAAGGACAGTTCTCACAAATCCAAGAAGACGGGTGTGAAGACTCAGAGCTGGTGGCCATCCAACTACATTTCCAGGAATCCAAGAATGGGCTGCCATCTCTTTCTGTGTACTCAAAATATGGCAATTCAGGTCGCTTTGTCCAGAGAACCAAAAAGCAAATTTTTCGCTTTGTCAAGCTGCTTTCAGCGCCCGCTCTAAAGCTTGCTCCTTGCGTCTCTCATCCCGTCATCACGCTCGAATGAAGCCTTCTGCCCTGAAACATCGAATCTGACTCCGGTGAGCGCTCAAATGCCAACACCAACTCCAAGGGTTTAGCCAAAGCAGAATTTCTTGTCCTCGCTCCATGACCACGGACCTTCTTCGCATGATCGGCATCTTCTCTACATGGGAGCAATTTCACAGACGCAAACTTTTCTCCAAAAGACGCGATCTCACCAATTACTGAAATAAATGTACTCGGACTGCAAGAAGATGCTATTTACTCCTGAGCTTTCCGATACGTGCGAAAGTCGAGTTCAGGAGACGAGCAAATTGAAAAGTGTGCGCTTCCCTACACAAACAAAGTATGCAAAACACTTAACAAGAGCAACGTCGTGAGCAGCGAGGTCCCCTGACGCCGGACCTCCGCATACGAACATGCAAATTCAAATTCAGAACAACTTCATGCGCAGAACAGAAAAGACATGAGAGCGATCCTCTTTACACAGGGAAACTCGCGGAGCACGAAGCCCAGGCGAAGGAGAGGCGGGATGGCAGAGAAAGGCCGAACGAGCAGAATTCTCTGTTCCCGGATTCAGATGCGGGATCGCAATTTCCTTCTTGAGAGACAATCTGTGCCTTCTCCCTGTCTCAATGCGAACGCATTGAGACAATGGAGTGCGACACTGATCAGCCCCTCGTCGACACACGAGAACTGCTGCACCGTTGAGTCATCACACATTTGACTGCAGCGGTGGGGTGCCGCTTGGGAACAAGGTTGAGCAGGTCACCCACTGCCCACAATTAGTTCAGACTCTCAACTCTGCGGTATTTATTTCTACGTGAACCCTACCTCTTGTTGATCACTGACAGTATGTCTTGCTGAAATTGGCGAATTCATTCCTCCTGAATAGTTTGACAGTGAAAACAAAATTAAATCTAGTTATCCATTGTATTCATGCCAGTCAACTCAGATGTATTTTTGTTTTGATTAACAGATTACTGTGGTGTATTTTGTAACCAACAAGAATAGGTTCATTTTAAAATACTTTATAGATATATTGTTTTCGGTTGATCACATCTTCTTTTGTTTTCTTTTTTACTCTAGATTGGAATTTGATTTCTTTTTTCCTCTAGATTGGAATTTGATGGACACTTTAGTTGAATGGTTCTAAAATGTTGATGAGAACCACCGTACCAGCCGATATTAGCACTATTCATATCATTTGATAATAATTTATAATTCGATACATTTTAGATGTTGAATATAGAGTACTTCTTGGTATAGTCCAGGAGAGAATGTCATATTTCAAGTAGATATTCCGGACATTTATTATATTTCCTGGGATGCTATTGTAACGTGACCCCATGTACAATGCAAGGCTCGATGGGGTCTGCAGTCAGTTATGCTATATGTTTCTTACGTCACTGTCAGTGGATACTAGACGCAATTTGTATGACTGAAGCTCTGGACTGGTGCGCGGGGAGATATGCGGCTGAACTTTATTTTATTAATCTTGGAATATCCGTCACATCGGCTTTACTCGTTTTCTAATCCAGCACCGACGCGGACCGTAGATTCGAGACTCACTGATGCCGGTTTGTTGGTTTGAGCTGAATATCGTTAAGAAATAGAGAATTAAAAGCTATCATTCTACCGAGAGGATCCGAATCCAGTGTTCTCGAGCACAGGCATTTCGGCCATGTTTCAGAAGTGTATCATCACTGTTTGTATTCAGCTCATCAGTGAACTGATGGTCACTGTCTGCGGATCAGATTCCATAAATTCGTTAGAGGTAGACCAATATCATAAAGTGGATGTCACATGCTTTTAAAGGGATTAAGAATTCAGTTCTGAAAGAGTTTAAAGACTCTGGTTGTTAAGAATCAAGGACTGCAGGTTCCTCTTTTACGCATCACGAAATTGAAGTAACTTTACGTCGAAAACTGCCCCAATGTTGAAAGAGGGAATCTAGTGGATGCAGCACGTTTTGTTTACTTAGACAAATTCAAAGAAAATCTTGCTATTTTCTCCCAATTATTTTTTTCTTCAGGCTTATCCCTTTATTTCGTACCTTGTTTTAAGAGACGTGACTCCGTTTGATGAACTGGAAGTGCTTATACATATGTTGATTATGGCAGTTAGTAGACATGGAGACCTTAGAGTCGTTCTTTGAAGCTTTGTAAATTGTTCTCACTTTATAAAATCCAAACAGTTGCAATGGCTTCATTCTCTCACATTGAACAATTTTATTAGTAACAATGAACTTGATTGTACGTTGGAACAATAAATTCACTAGTCTAAAAAAGAAGAAGTGGATAGGGCAAGAAAACCGTCGTGTGAAGTGAATTCTTTATTCTTGTTTTCGATAGCCGGCAATGCAATTAAAGCAAGGAGAAAAAGGCACATTGTAATACAGCTACAATAATACTATGAAAGATGTTTGGCGTGAAGCTAACTGCTTTCAACTACTTTGGAAGGTAGTTGAAATGTGCAGTATATGTGATAAGTTTAAATTTTGTCAGTCTACTTGGTGCAAATGGTTGTTAATGGCATTGAACAAAAAAAATTTGTGAAAAAGAAATAGAAAAATGATATATCGTAAATAGACATCTAATTTCTACCTTTATGAATACTTGATATCCGACATTTGAAAGAAAAGACAAGTTATATCATACTAAATGAAAAGAAAATTGTAAGAGATAAACCATAAGATTTAGGATTTCTGAGGTCAACCATTAAGGGGTGTGTGAGAAATTCTTTTGTGGTGGATTTCAATATATATCAATAGCGTGTGAAGTAGATGGAAAGATTTTTACACTTTATGATGATAGAAATTGATGACTCTAGTTAATCAACATTCCCAGAAGTAAAGATATTATACTATAGGTCCAGTAATTTATAAATTATAACTTGAATAGAATACTAAAATAAAATATACTCACATTTAATCTGTTAGGTGTAGTAAAAATACATAGAGCGAATTATTTCCAACAAATACTTACAATTTTTGTAGATGTTATATATATATATATATATATGAATCTCATTATACCTTACTTTAAATATCACAATGTATGTTAATTGTTGAACATATATGTATCACAACATATTCATTACATTAAACATCATATTACATAGATCGTTTATTCACTTACTTAAATATTTCAATTTTAATTCTTTATAGCAGGGTAAGTCACTTTAGCACCAATCGAACTCTTGTCTGTTAGCAGGTTCAAAGCCTCAAATTTCTAATTATGGTTCTACAATAAAATGTAAGTGTTATATACTATTGAAAACATTTGGAAAATACTACTGGCATCAAAAAGTGATGAGCATAGTATGAAGAATAGACACGATAAATGAGGTAACAGGGGGGATCACCACATTATAAACTTACAAAATATAGATGATGTTTACACTGTATTACATAAACTTTGTCAAGTTGCACATCATGTTATACCAAGAGTGAAATAGATTCTGAAGATTTATCCAGATTTTATTTGAAGAAAGCAAGTTAGAAGATGAAAGCGGTTCTTCTCACTGTCACGAACTAAACTACCAATTTTAGATTCTATGAAACATCCAAAGAAGTGGAGGGCATTCTTTTCCTATCAGGCTTTTCCTACCTTTTGCATCTATATTCATTTACGATTGAAAAACTGAAGTTTACAAAACGAGTAGAAGCTCAGGGTGAAAAGGCAGGAGAATTTCTTACAGATCGACGCCTGTCATATCATCTCATTCCTAAGAATGTGGAAAAACATGACACGAAGAAATTCATTCATTCAACATGATAATAAGTTAGAACAAAATAAAAAAACTCCAAGCCAGAATCGATAATTCAAGAAACTCAGCAACAAAAACACTGTCATGAGACGGATACTGCCACCTGCCCATTAAGCGAAAGTGGCTACTAGCGAACAACGGTGCACGCTTGTAGAAATAGGCACAAGGTAGTTAGTACTTAATGAACATAGGTAGATACGACCGTCACTCGAGCCTCCGCCGCATCGAGGCAGCATTCATTCCTCGCATCGTGTCGATCGGCACAAGACGATCGACAATTTTTTATCATACAAATATGCACATACAATCGTAAACATATTATTTATTATTATTATTTAGATAAGATTTTAAATATATCGTTTATATTGAAATAAATGAAATTATATAAAAGTTTTAATTTCTTAACTTTGAAAATGATTTGAAATAAACTGATCAAATTTTATTTTTTTAAGGATGAAGATATACAAACGATAACGGTGCTCTATTATTTTTCAATAAATTTCATGTATTTTCTTTTTTCTTTCTGGTGATGGAGTCGAAAATCACTCACTCGTACCGGACTCGCTTTCGGTGGAGATGACGGCTGACTGAAGAGGGGAAGACGGGAAGACGGGGACCGGCGAATGTGGATGAGCTGACGCGGCCGGTATGTTCCTGCCATGTCACTTTGTCCACGACGGATCCGAGATTCTGCGGAATAGACTTTTGGCAGCGGGGACAGGGAGGGGAAGTGTGTACGGCGTGTGTGCGTCGACGAGGGAGGGTATTCGACTCCGACGGGGTAGAACGACGAGTAGTGTGTGGATTTCCGCGGGACGGAGTCTCGGCGCCATGTCAATGCCAGTTCTCAGATATGGCACTCGCTCGCTCGAAGTTGAAGTCCAATCCCGACCGCTGCCGGTGACAGGGCGAAGCTGCTTCGATTCCAGGAGGCGGAGGGTGCAGATTTCTGGGACAAGAGTGGTGAGCGGTAGAATTTCTGCTTCATCTGAGCTCGCCTGGACTGGGACGGGCCCCGTGGAAGGTGAGGTTCTTGGTCTCTCACATTCTGGATCGATGGCGTTCTGTCTCTCGAGTCCTCTGTTCTGTTAAGCGAGAGTTCTGTCTAGAGGAAGAGAGCGCAAGAAGATGCAACGACGCTTGCGGTTTGATCTTCGATGTGGCCGTGGAAGCTTGACGATATTTCGAAGGTGATGAATTTCACCGCATAACGATGAGGACCAGGCTGCCGCGACTTTTTCTTGAAAGGAAACTTCACATGTAATAATGACTCTATCCCACTGGAGCTTTGACTCCACCGAGGCAGCTCTGCAATGCGCTGCAAAATTAGCTGCATTTTGAAGTCGATGTAATGTTACATTCGTCCGTATGACTCGTGGCAGTGGTTGCCCCTTCCGAGAATATCGACGCCATAGTCGATTAAAGAAGGTGGCTGACGCATAATTTCTCGCTTAACATTCTGGAAACCTGTCTTGCTTTTAAGCTCCGTATTGTCCGAGGATTGAGCAGCCGTCGATGTGTCCACCGGTCAAGGTCGCATCTCGGCTGAATTGCAGCTCAAGTGATTAATCGAGCCATGAGGTCTTTCTTTCGAAGTGCTGAATTCAAACGGGTCGGTTAAGCATTTCAGAAAGGGCAGTTCAGCAGACTCTAATCGGAGAATACTGTCTCCAGTCCCATTATGATGTGAACCTACATTGCGTCTCAGTTTGAAAGTCAATTTCGATTTCTCACATGACGTGTGCTCTGTGACAGCAAGAAATGCAGAGGGCGCAACTGAGAGCAGGAGCAAGGACGGCGGACCGTTCTCCATGACGGGTTATCTGGATGATCGACTGATGGACGCAGTAAACACCGCAGGTGGCCCTGTTCGCCAGGTATTTGTCCACTTTGTGTTAGAAATTCGGGGATGCTGAAGTTGATCCAGCGTCAGTTCTGATTTGAGCTGACGCGTTGTAGGCTGAAATTACTTAACTTGGAACAGATTGTTCTCATGACAGACGGAACCGACACCAGACCGTACCGCTTGAATTGGCCATCTCCATGTGTGATTTTCGACCTCTCCCCCGTACACATGCACGATACGACTCTCAGAAAGATGGCAGGTACTGTATGCACAGAAACCTGTTGTTGTTCTTGTTGATGTCGTCCTTTGATTTGGACAGTTGTCGTACTTGTCTATTCTGTAGCTTCATGTCAGAATGAAATGAACGGTGTTCATATGTTCAATTGTGAATGGCAATGTTCTCATCTCACATCTAGAGCTGTCCATCGTGAGACTTACCACGTACTCGTCTCATGGTTGGCGAAGCGTCCGGAATCACTGTGCCGAGATCGTGTTTACTACAACACGTCCCGACGGACTTTTCATCAGATGACAACGACGATGAAGATTGGGGTCAAAAGTTGTCAAGGATGGGCTACAGCGGAGAAAAGCCCAGTGTCTGGGTGCTAGAGGTAACCTTCATATATTAGGGCTACCATCTAATTGATTCAACTTTCGTTAAAACATAATTATTATCGATTCGAATGCAAAAAACGGTTGTATTTCACTCTACTCTAGACGAACTGCAAATATTTTGAGACCCGTCTGCTTCAACCTGAGGGTTCAGGCCAAGTCCTATCGCGCAGGTCCGATGAAAATCTGACATAAGTTTGTAGGTGCGATAGCTAAAATGCTGTAAAACGATTGCTCTTTTGTGGGCTAAAACTGCCACAGAGTACAGAGTAAAATAAATTGGATATGGCATGTATGTTGTGCTAGATGCGGAATGCCTTTTTCGAGGGCTGTTTGAAGAAGATTCTACCAGTTGCAAGCAGCTTCTTGATGAAAGATTCACTGTTCATGGGTGTGGTCCCAGCTACTATTTGCACTGAGGTGAGATCTGTCATTCCTCTCACGATTTTTACTTCATGTACGTATGACTTCGATAAAGATGCACTTATTTCCCACATTGTGAACAAAACATTCAGTTAGGTTTGTGATATTTATCCTTGTTCGTGATCTGGGATTCAATTACTTCCTGAGCCTGTAGGCTCCGTAACATGAAAGAAAGAATGGTACAAAATTCAAGGATTTAATTTTGAACTATCATATGCACCTGTGTGTGCAGGTAGAAACGAGAGCATGCTTGAAGAGACTATTTGCTTCCAATGGTTTTCTAGCTGAATTCGAGGTACACAGGATGGTTGAATCACAATGGACCGTTGAAGGCTCGGGCAAAGAAACTTCGAACTTGTCTGAGCCTCTGCTTGTCTTCTTTTCCACTCGTCAGTTGCGCCTCTCAGATTCTCAGGTAGGCAACAAAGGAGTGTTGGGAATGTCTTTTTGCCTGTTTGGGATTTTCTTTGAATTCAGTGAGCTTAAATGTCAGTATTTATCTTATGACGGTGACGCTCTTGAGCAGGTTGAATTCGCTCGAATGCAAATAATGATGGCAGAAGAAGCTGGAGACGAAGATGGTTTTGAAGATGCCTGGTAGTGTATGCTTGTAATGATCGATATGGCTTGAATGGTCAAATTCTTTTCCGGTGGAGAGGTATGTGGGAGTTCCTACTATTTGTTACTTTTATTGAAGATGTGAAGGAGCTTTTTTCTCGTCCGTATGGAATGTTGTGCTCCGCACACCTTCAGGAATGAACCGAATGTCCTCATCATTTACTTCGCTTTTTTCCTTGCAGGTTTGCGCTGCGATCTGAATATTATCGCAGTTAGCATCTGATCACCCCTAAACTAGGTGAAAATACGGTGCACCAAATTGTCCTAACGAACGAAACGCGGAGTCCTGCTGCACTTCATGGACTGGAGAGCAGGATCACACCTGGTTGCAGTGTTCGACGCTCAAACTTCCAAAAGATATGAATCGCGAGTAGGGTAAATGTGGTTTTGATCCCATTTCTAGAGTGAATCTCTATTCTGCTTCGTACACGAGGTGCTCTAGTGACATGATGTAATTACCAATTTTGTTATTTTGCCTTGTTCTTAAAAGAGGTTAGTTAACTTTCTAATTTTCTTCTTTATAATAAACTTGTACATCTGTTGGGTAGTACTTTGTCGGACATGATTCGAACAGAAATGCGAAGTTTGTTGTTGATATATAGAGAAACATGATGATAATCACCGCAGTGATATGATACCAATTCTCTTACTGATGCATAATCAATATACATGGTTTTCGTAAAGAGTACTGGTGATAACATCATTCAGGACAAATCGGGATCAAGCCTAGACGTCAGGACTGCAAGAAGTGAGACTCAATGAAGTTTGTATTCAAGGCCAGCCATCGTCACACTGGCGGTAAACTTACGTATGCATTGCGCATTCCTACATTTTAAGCCCGTTTCATTACCCTCTTCTGCGGTTATTAGAGGCGTCTTTGAGTTGGGAGTTTGGGACGTGGAGGCTTCTGACAGAGAGTAGCCGACTTTAGCAACAGGAGTGTTCTCTCGCTTCTCAGCATCACATGGAGCCTCACCTTCTTGACATCGTGAGGTAGACTAAAACTCGTGTTCACAAATTGCTTTCTGGCTTCATATAGAAATTTTTGCCCGGTTCTTGAAGGTCAGGTCAGCAAGTGATAAATATCACCTATACAAAGTTGTAGTAGAGGTGGTCCTCTCTTAGTAGCAGAGGAGGAACAGAGCTAAACCACATGGTATTTACGTACTAAGCTGACATCTTTACAGAGATTGTGACCATGGTAAATATGAAGAGGTTTTTGTATATATATATATATATATATACATTAGTTATTTACAAATATTTTTTAATGCAAATAATAATGTTTGTCACAAAAGCGTTTTTTAGATTTCATATATAACGCCAGCGAACTTGTCAACATACACAAAGTGAAGTTGATGGGCTGTTTTTTCTTGTAACAATGTTCTCAATAAACTCGATAAAACTAGTCATAACCTACAGATAAATCAAGATTATTAACATCAAAGAGACCAATAGAAATAGATGTAAGGTATTAGTGAAAGTTTTCATTTCTATGCCCTACTTTAGTATTACTAGGGAGTTTCTATGACAGAGTTGACTTTTTTTATTTACTTCTATCCGCACCATACAATTTTTGTGGTGAACAACTTTACAATAACATAAGTCTATGGGTGTGTATAATTCATAAGGCATGTGCTGAATAATACAATATGCTACCAAATGTATTATACAATGGTAAGAGATCCACATAAGTCGTAGTTTTATCCTCATCCATCATCTACTCTTCTACCTCGAAGATATTCTCATGCATCACGTTGATGCAATCAGATATCTCATTGTAATTCGTCAATGCTACCACCGCTTGCATCTTCTTTCTAATCAAGTTTAGATTCAAATCCATCGTTGAAGAAGTTACTGCAGCTATTTGCAAAACTCTGTATCTCTTCTTGTAGAGATTTGAGGATCTGAGTAGTTTCGAGTTAGGGAATGGCGGTCTCCAATCTTGTGTTTGCCTAACTTAGTTCAGGAACGGCTATGAATGCGCTTATCCATCTTGTGATTGTGTTCACCCTCTCTTGCCATTGTTAGAATTCTTGTGCAATGTAGATAGTTGTATTGTGATGACGCTGTAGTAATAATCGTCAGATAAGGTCCACACATGAGACGGCTTGAAAACAATGTCATTGAAATCATCATCTTTGTCTTTCGTGCACAATGAACGTGCCGAACTTGCTCAAGAATTTTTGCTGAAGTACTTCGTCGTCATTTGTGAGACCGTTGAATGCAGCTTTTGAAATCTGATTGATCAAAAAACTTTCCCAAGTTGCAAGAGATTAAACTTTGTCACAATCATTGTACGCACGATGACAGCATGGATGGGAATAATGAATCAGTAGCAAATGCCAAAGCATAGATCTTTGTATACGTTGTCAAGAAGTTCTGATGAATCATCAACACACTGTGTTCGTTGTCACTTAAATCCAATGCATAATTGATTGGAAAAATTGAAAGTCTTAATGCGAAACATGCATGTGTAACACAAAATGTTGCTTCATATTACTCTAAATATTTCAAACATGAGCATATCGTCTAAACCCTAAATGTACATCTTTTCAACGAGTGTGATTTGAAACCAAAGTTTCAGTTTGTAGCATATATCAATATCATAATGTGAGTTAATAATTGTACGTGGCAACGATACACATGTCTATTACATGCATTTGACTTTGCTAGCACGCGGGATGATGTAATAAACAGTAATTCATCATATCTTTGCAAGGAGTATGAGCATATACATCTTCCAATATTTGTCCATGCACATTTTGTCTACGAAGTTTAACAAAAAATGGAACGACTTTACCATTTTGATTATAAATATGATCTGTTTTAAAACGCAATCCACTCTTGGAAATTGTTGCATACAGCCATGCAATGTTTGTAGATTGCATGAAATGCACAATCGTAGTTAAACCTAAACTTGTTTGATTTAAAATATTCATTGCGAAACTTCATCATGGCGTTTGATGAATAATTGGAGAAGCAGTACATCTGTGGATTAACAAAATGTTCATTCTTGATGCATGGTAGTTATTATTCACTTTACTATCACTCCATAAAACAAAATGATCAAGAGCCTTGAAAGTATTTCTCAAAAGTCATAGTTTGCAGTTCAAAACCTTCTCTAATGGATTCATTGCAGTATCTATACGCAACTCCATTGTAAAATATTCCAAAAATATTGCAATTAGTGAAAAACTATCCAATTGATCACATGTTTATCTTGCACATTTGTGCCGCGGTCCAAGTCAAGACAGATCAAACAACATGTTGTTGAGTGTGAAAATAATATTGTTTATCACATATAAGAATTCATCCCGCATCTATAGACCACCTGTAGATTCCGTAGAAGTTAATTGAAAGCAATCAAAAAACGATTTAGAAACAACCTTCATGCTTGATGCTCAAAGTCGACAAATGACATAGTCGTGTTGTGAATAATATGTGCAAATATTGTATCAAACTTTTGTTGTTTTTACCTTTTCAAGAAATCAAAATCCTCAACAAAATTCATGCAGACTAATTTGTTCTAGTTGCTGATAGTTAGAACCGACATATTATTGATTAATTGTAACATCTTTTGAGATGATTGAAAGTCCGCATCCAACTTATCTGTCAAACATCTTCTTTTGATATGGTCGGAATGCCACATCCAACTAATTTATTGAATATTTTCTTTTGAGATGACTAAGATGCTGCATACAACTCATCTATTGAACGTGTTCCCTTCTTACATCCAATATAATCATCACGCATGCAAATTATTGTCATATTGCATGCGAAACACTTGCAATATATTGATATGACATTAGCTTGCATATAACAAGCTCCCAAATTGCATTTTTTAATATTCTATTTTGATTATAGTCCTACTTCAAGAATTTAAAATCTCACGCAGTCTCATGAGAATCTGATATCACACTTGTAGCAAACAATCATGTATTTTTAATTTGAACTCATTTTTGATAGTTTTTTAACTCAATTGCAAATTGAAACATCAATTATTTATTTTTTATGTTGGATTCAGACTCAATTATACATAGATCTTTTGACACATTTTTTGACACAAGGAGATCATGTTTCCAACCGAAAGATAAATGATTAAAAACTATCAATTTTACTTTGATAAGTATTTTATGTGTTGCTTATAATGTTTAACATCTTGATTTAGCTTGTCGATGTCTCGCATCAAGATCTTCACAGAATTGAGCTCAATGAAAAGATAGCCCATAGATCATGCAAATTATAAATGTCACTTATTGACAATCTGCACTTTGTGTCAAATTGATTTTAAAGATGTGTTCACAAAGGATGTGTGATATGAATTCTTTTGATCAATTCACACACAAACACAAAAGAAGAAGAATGAAATCTTTCAACTATGAAACTAACAAACGGGACTGTCTATTCTTTGCGTCAAGATGATCTTTAAAATTTGTCCACAAAGAATATGTCATGTGACTTTTTTCATTAGACTAACATATAGACACAAAGAGAAAAGAATGAAATCTCTCGTCAATGAAACTGACAAATGTGTATGTTTGCTCTTTGCGTTGAGCTGGTCTTCAAGATTTGTGATGTGTCTATTTCAATCATCTGGCACACAGTCATATAAAGAAGAATGAATAGTTTTGGAACTCGCAAACAAGAACGATTTTACAACATCTATTCATTGCTCACATGGAGTTTGGATCTTGGATTTTGATGTTGAGCGCAATTCTTGATAATAAAAAACTTTTTTAAATTCAAAAGAGGTCAGTTAGACAATTCCCAGATAAATATGATATTTGAGTTCGAATCCAGATTATTAACATACTACAATCTCACACTTGTAGTAATCGGCTTACTAAAGAATTTTTATCATACAATTATACAAGTTATATTGATGTGGAAGTGTTATATAATAAAGCAATCTTATGCCATGTAAATAATACCACAATTATACATTCATCTTCACATTTTAACACAAATTTAGCTGTAGATTTATTTTCACATCAAATAGAAGTTCAAAATCGAGCTGATCTCAAAATTTTTTAATATACACTTCTCAAGAAGTGAGATCAACTTGATTAGTCCAACATACTCCTTCTTTGATTCAAAAATGTCTCATGAAGTTGCTTTGAAAATTCATTAAATGCATATTTCACAATAATTTTTTTAAAAATATAAAATATATAAATATGGAAAAAATATAAAAATCTTAAAAGTAAAATTATCATTATAATCATATTTTTTCTAAACAAAAACGTAAATTTTTTGAAATTGATTACATGATCATATTTGTGATGTTAAAAGTAAATTGATAGACATTGATATATCAATACATATATCAATTATTGATATAGAAAAAAATAAAATTCAATAAAATATATATTAAGCTATCTAATAGAAGTGTTAGGAGTTGAAAACTATATGTGACCTTTAATTATGGAAAAATTAAACTTTAAACAGTGAAAATAGTAATTGTGATAAATTTTGAGAGTTAAAGAATTTCATTAAATTAATGAAAAAATTATTTTGTCATTCAATATTACACCAAGATTAAGTATGATCATGTTGTTTATAATAAAAAATAGAAAATATTTTTGGACACCCTTATTTGCTAGATGTCATCAAATTGTATGATTGAAATCAATGAAATTTTTTTTATTCCTTCAAATTACTAGATTATAGAAAATTAATCTTCAAATTAAAATACGTTTAAATCAATTGTATTGAACATATATTTACGATTGATTTTTATAAAAATTTAATTTAGTCAAAATTTATACCTTAATTTTCTATAACTTTTTTTATGTTATTGAATTTTATTATATCAACTTTTTAATGAACTCATATGAAAAAAAATTATTGTGCGAATTTATTATTTCTTCATATAATTAATATAATTTTGTTCAAGCAATAGATAGCTTTTATGTTTGTTTGATTGTAATACTAAGAGTACGGAACAATGCAATTTTGATTGCAACTATTTATGTAGTGATAAATTTTGACTTGATCTTGACAATGTTTCCTGTGAAAAAAAACTTAAAAGCAAGAAATTGTAGATGAATAATCACTTCCGCTATCAATTTCCAAACTAAATCTAACCTAAATCCTGACATCCCTCACTATCGTACTTTCAATAATGCATTGCTTGTTTGCTTGAAACATTTGATTTGACATTATTGTCTACATCACCAATTTTATTTAGACATTTGACCATAATATTGCTGCTAATTTGTGGTCTAATTTTGTTGAAATCTTTGATTGTTACATTGCTTTAACTTCGCCAAAAATTTTTGACTGTTATTTGTTGGCATTGCGGGAGTAAAATGGGAGCAAATAACAGTCAAAAGAATCATATCAGGAAATACGTTATTCATGTCTGCAAGTCTAAGTTCATGGATCACACCAGGTTACAAATAATTGATTTTCGTATGGTTCAAATTAATTGAATGTATGTTTAGTAGATTACCTATAAAAACTTCCTATATACGTTTTAGTACATAAAATATGCTCGGATGAGTTTTGTTTGTGTATGATAATGTAAAAGAAACATGATGTGATACTAGAAGAATATGCAGAGAGGGGATTTATGAAAATCACCAGTTTTAGGGAGGGGCTAGTTATAATTAAGATTCGGTTAATTATCTCCCACCCTAGGCTAATGTGCTACTTCTACCCTTTTTCTGTGCCCACGCTAAGACTATATCAAATAGCTTTAGTAAACATAGGGAGAGTTGTGACAAATCACATACTTTTGTTCAGTAGAGTGATGAATAATTAACCCAAACTGAAGGATAACTAGCTCTTTTGCCAGTTTTATAATCAACATAATGTAACATTTTTACTCGAATACATTTTACTTCATCACGTTAAAATGCTTTGATGTGTTATATTAATTTACATATTTGAACGTGATACAAAGTTGGCATTAAAGCCAGTCGGTCTAGATCACCTCATGAGGGAATTTTAGTATGCACTTTGGCAACAAGGATTCGACCCAGTGTCTACTTTCTCGGTTAACATACTTTCACCAAAATTCCTAATAGACAGTTGTGGGGATGCCATCTATAGACAGTTTTAAATTCAGAATTAGGATAAATTAAAGTAAGTAGTATGTATATAATACATTGTGATACTCTTCGGTCTACTTTCATGTCTCATTCATGCAAAGCTTTATAGAGTGTTACCATCCTCGGTGGAATCCATATTAGACGACATAATGACAGCAATCTCCAAATCGCACCTTTTGATAAAAGTCATTCGACCTTTACTTCGATACGTGTAAACGTAAGTAGTGCGTAACGCCCTGGTGATGCTCGTTAATGAGGGCCATTCCCATCTCAAGTTGCCGCAACGATGAACTGTAGAGTGTAGTGCTGAAGCCTGACAAGGGAAGAGTGTGCAGAAGTCGGGATATAAAGGAAGGTGTGGGCCTGAGCCTGAGGGCGATATTTTCACAGCCTTTCGGGAAGGTAGGCGCGAGCCAGACTCGTCGCGAGAGACACGTGGTTGGTTGCCATGAACCGATAAGCCAGCTTTCGGGATTCAGATCTCGTCCCGACGGAGTGGAGGCAGGGCCGGCCACAAATTGTTCCCCATCTCTGCAGCAGCTCTCGACTACAGGACGCACCGCGCGAGCACTGGAAGTTTAGAGTCCACGCCAAGCCATGGTGCTGCTGGTGCGGTCCTTTTCTCGGAAGTCAGTCCTCGGGGAGGGAAGTCCTCAGGTCACGTGCATCCGGCTCGAGAGCACCAGAATCGAAGGCAAAATCTATCCACATCTCGCAAACAGGAGGCGATCCCAACATTGTGAATCATGCGCTTTGTATACTTAAAACCGTGTGCTCCATGCGATCAGCGCAGCGACGCTAATTTTCTCTCTGCCCTGGGTGTGGGGGGAGGGGGGTAATGCGACCGTTGGTGGGGGCGGAGCCGGGCGAGTGGGAGGACGCGAGAAGTTTCGTTCACCGCGGGGACGATGGGACGATGGGCCGATCTGCTGAAATGGCGACGCGTGGCGGACGCTGGGAGAGCTCTGAGTTCATCTGACCGCGAGTCAGACCGAGTCTGGCCTTCAGGACACGAACTGAGAATCTAGGAAGGGGACACGCGTCGCGAGGGGAGTAGCGCTGAACTGAATGGAGTCGGGGCATCGTGGATTCGTACGAGAAAGTGCAGAGCGAGGTAGGTGCTGATCCGGTACGAGATTCAGACTCAGCAAGGTGATCTGGACGGAGTCGTGGAGACCCACGTGGATGCCAAATGGGCAGCCAGGCGGCAGACGAGGAGTTGCTGCGTCAGCGACTTGGACAGAATCCTACAGGACCCCGGCGGGCGGGCGGGCATCCCCTCGGAAACATTTCGACACCGTCTGACCGTGACATCTGCAGACGGGGAATGTCTGCCCCTGCGCCCCTCCTCCGGCCCCCGAAGTTGCCACCTGGCAAAATTTCAAGTTTTCCACGTCGGCCGCTTCTCCTTCTCCGCGATTCACTATGATGTCAATTATGTCAATAATCGTCGAAATGCGCACCTCGCCTGATTCTGTTTTGTTCTGTGTTGTCCGTTCCAGATTTCGAGACCGAACCTTGAGCCCGGTGAAATTCGGCCCAACGAAACCATCATGGAATAAAATAAAATTCATTTCTCCGAGCTAAAATTCCAGAAGGTTGTGGCGACGAGGAGAGGAAGGGATAAATTCCGAATCATTCGATTAACGACCAATGCGGATGCAGCAAGTGTCCCCTCGAGCTTGGAATATGTAATCAACGAGAGAAGATCCTCAATTCAATGAAGACTGCAAAATCGCTTTTTAGAATTTCTAGAATAGAGTGGCGTAAGATTTATCATATTCGAACGAGGCTTAGGAGCACGGAGGGAGGGAGGGAGGGAAGACGACGAGGGTGCCAAGTGGAGGAGAGGAGACGAATGCGGGGGCGACACGTGAGCCCTGAGCGATTGGGCAGGAACTGAAACTCGGGGCAAGTCAGGAAGAGGCGAAGTCATTTAAGCAGGCGGCTGGGCCACGTCCTCTCGCTCACAATTCGCAGATCTGAAGGAGGGAGGGGACGGGAGGGGAGGGGAGGGGAGCAAGGGTCAATCGCCGAGAAGGATTTGATTTGGCGCTGATCCTGTTCTGTTCTGTTGTGTCGTGTTTTGTTGTTAGCGTGGTGGATGCGTCGCTCGCAAGGCCGACGAGGACGCACATCGGCGAGACAGCTGCCTCGCGCTGCGCTCTTGTACTCTCTCTCTCTCCCTCTCTTGCAGGAAGAGGCGAAGGAAGAAGGAGCCAGCGCCGCGAACGAGCTCAGGAGGAGGTGGAGGAGCAGGAGCAGGAGCAGGAGGTGTCGACGGCAAGGGAGCCGAAATTCGGCCGCGCCGATTGTGCAGCGCCGCCCCGCGCCTCGACTTGTCGCCGCTGCTGCTGCTGATGCTGATGCTGCTGCTGTTGGTATAAACAGGCACGGCTGCTCGCCGCGCTCTCGAGAGGGAGCAGCGGGCGCTCGCTCGCTCCGAGGAGGAGTCCAGTCTCGTCTCGTCTCGTGCGGAGGCAGGGAGGGAGGGAGGGAGGGAGATTCAGAGCGAGTGCGAAGCGGAGGAGAAATTCGGTCGGAGAGGTGGCGCAGAGCTCGGTTCGCAGTGCAGGGGCCGGGATCGGACAGGGAGCGAGGGGGCAAGGGGGCAAGGGAGCCGAGCAGGAGGAGGACAGATTGTCTCGGGCTGGGTGAGATTGCGGACGATGGAGCGAGACAGTATGGACAGTCCGCGGCGCGGAGGCCGCAGTGAGCAGAAGCTGAGAGCGATAATTGTCGGCGGCAGTATAGCAGGGCTGTCTTGCGCTCATGCCTTGCTGAAATCTGGCGTGTGCCGAGTAATGGTGTTGGAGAAAGCTCGCGCCTTGACGGGGAGTAGTCACGGAGCTGGTCTAGGTGTAGATGCGGCTGCGTGTGAGGCGTTAGAGGATTGGGGGCTGCGCGATAAGCTCTTTCTCAAATCCAAACCGCTCGACAGGGAAGAGGTGTCTATTCTTAACCATCCTCAGTCTTGGCGCCTTTTTCTCTTCCACAGAGCAGTGCGCCACACCTCCGTTTGGAATTCTTGGGGCCAGGAACATTTCTTCTTGGAGGGTTTTTCGAGATCGTTCAGTACTAACATTAGCGCTCAGTCTGTTGTATTGTGCCTATCCCTGCCCCGTGATGGATCAGGCTCAGAGTTGACAGTGTCAGGTAATTGGCTTCTGAGCATGGTGGGAATGTTCTGGTAAACATGAAATTTAAAGGTCAGTGGGACATCGAGTCAGTCTTCAAATCACGAAAGACATCAGCTTTGTGTTTATTTCTCCATGAGGGATTAGAACTAATCGTGGTAACTAATCAGCGCAAAGACCATATCCACTCATTTGCATTCTTTATTAAACAGGTAATTGTTTGTAAGTATTGTTATTTGCACGCTCTCGGGAATGTCGTACACTTGTTGAGGTGAAAGGTGAATGCCATTTAGACAGTTTTTCAGCTCTTGAATGTGCCTCCTCTTCCTCTGCCTCTCTACGAAATCTGTCCGCTTTTAGAAGGATGCGCAGCATGCGCAACGTGGAGTTCACATTTTAAGTTACACAGGTTTCTGCATTTCTGCATTTCTGCAATTAGCAGTAGGAAAGGGTTGCGTGGGAACCGGTCTGTTTTGACATTTGCTCGAATTTTACGCATTGCTGCTCTGGGATGCTTCTTGATGAAGAATTTTTGGTTATTGGGTCAGAATCGAGCTATAGACACCGAGAGGAAGGTATTTATAACGCTGGCAAGCGATGCGGAATATCGACATCGGGCTGCACAATGGAGTGAGTTGCACCGCATTTTGCGTGATTCCCTCCCACCCGGCATTGTGCACTTTGACCACGAGGCCATTTCGTTTGAGGAAAACGCGGACGGCCGAGGCATCAAAGTGACAGTGGCGGAAGGTGGCAATACCCAATCGGTTAAGGAGGTTGAGGGTGATTTTATAGTAGCGGCCGATGGGTCTATGTCGCGCACGAGGCAGTACTATGTGCCAGGTGATAAAAGACGGTATTTCACAGTACCCCTTCCTAATTTACCGTCATCAAGGGGACGATGCCACCGTTTGCTGTTCGTTCAGAGTTGGTCACGGCTCCAGAGAAAGAGGGATGAAAGGTTTCCTGTGTTTATGACCTAAAGCCAATTCTGACTTGAAACATTTTGGTGGGCTGGGCTTTTCGCTTATCTTAGCATTCCAGAGTGCTGCAGTCCGCAAACGTGAATTTTGCAGTTGAGTTGAGTCTGTGTGTGAATTTGTTCTGGCGTTTGAGAACCTTCGATTTGTCTCACAGAGCATTTTTCATGACCTTGGATCTGGATCTGGATCTGTTTATGTTTCAGATATGCTGGGTATTGTGCGTGGAGAGGAGTCTTTGACTACACGAATGAGCCAGAAATCCACGAGTCAATACGGAGTATTTACCCGGACATAGGGCACTGCTTGTACTTCGATATATCTAGAGGCACCCATGCAGTGCTGTATGAATTGCCTGGGAAGAGATTAAACTGGCTTTGGTACGTCAACCAACCAGAGCCGGTTTTAAAGGTGATCGCTTCCCACTCTCATTTTCCAACTGATTCTTACTTTTTGTGCAAATGTCTAAACACAGAAAGCGTGTGGATCACTTAATACTCATGGAATCTGAAGTTTGGCCATTTCATCTTGCAGGGAAACTCTGTTACTGTCCACCCTGATGAGGATGTGATTGCTAGAATGCATGAAGCCGCAGATCGCTCTTGGGTGCCAGCCCTTGCTCAACTGATCAAAGCGACCCCTCAACCTTTTATCAATGCTATATTCGATCGAAACCCATTGAAGCAACTAGTATTCAAAAGAGTGGTTCTGGTCGGAGAAGCTGCGCACCCTACAACTCCTCATGGACTAAGAAGTACCAACATGTCTATACTGGATGCGCAATCCCTGGGCAAGTCCCTCGCGAAATGGGGCCGTGATAATTTGGATTCTGCCCTTGGCGAGTATGAGATGCGGAGACTGAATGCCACTTCGCAGCAGCTTCTCTTTTCAAGACACTTGGGTTCTTTGAAACAGGGTCTGTTGTTTGAGCCAAAGGGTTCCTTCCCTTGGCATACAGCTGACGAAGGCATGGTTGAGGGACTTCTACAACGGAATATGAACTTTTTCCAGTGGAGGTGTTAGATATTGTTGATAACTTAAAACGATGTTAATACACGAATCTTCTTTTCCATACGAGTCTAGACATATCTAGAATGTACATTAAGATAGATTTTGGCCTCTTGATTATTAGTCAGTCCTCTACGCGAGGTTTTGATTCTTCATCAAATTTCCACTACCTGTACGGAGTCCTCCAATTTTTTAGCTCGTTCGAGTTGTACTGTTTTGACCTATGTAACCTATTCCCACATGAATTGGAGTGTAAAGAACGTTAGTTTTGAAGCATATAACCATACCTTGACTCTTGACGTCTGGAACTCAACATAAGCGAGAGACGCTGGTCTTATTTGCCTGTACGGCAGAAAAGTGTGACCACCATATGGCAGCTTTGGTTGTAACCTTGGGGAGTAACCAGCCTCGAGGTTTGAATACTGCTCCGAGATATTATTTGTCTGCTCTACGTCCTTGTCATCATCGGCGATTCTTATTTGAGGTAAAGGATCATCTGGGCAGGTACTCTTGAAAAGCACAACGTTTTGTTCTTACTCCACCAACAATCTGACATGTCAAGCTCAAGAAGCATCATCAGAAAGCTTCTGTAATGGCTGCGGCAGCCTATTTCTACTTGAACCGAAACTTTCAGGTGTAAAGAGGAATTCTTCACCCTTTTTTATTTTCTCATAACCAGATTGAGGACATACAGAGTATGGAACATATGACGAAGTTGAGGATCACTGCGTCTGCAAAGCTGGATATTTTATCTACGACCTCAACAACAGTCGGGAAAAAATGTAGGAACTATCTACACCCATGTATCATTTACAGTTCAGTTGCCAACCGATATGAGCACATGATTATGTGGCACTTTGTCTGAAGAAGACTCGTCGGCAATATAAATGGACGGAGGTTCTATTCTCAACTCTTTGGCCCATAATGCACGAACTGTATCTGTGACCTTATTCTGTTGTGGAGAATTTTCCTCGAACATGTATACTTTTCACTGTTTTGAGGCATAAACGGCCAAGCCTCTTGTCCCGAAGTTTGTCATGTTCGGCAAGTACGCAGTTTCGTACCTGCCCGGCTCACTAGATAACAAAGGACATCTGCACGATAACACAGTTTCTCAAATTATACTACGTCTTCATTCCAAGCAGATGCTTACTTGCATACTTGACACAATTCTTTACGCTTCGTGGATGAGACAGAAGTGTTTTACTTCCTGTGTATATTGTTACCTACAGTTGATCACATAAGAGACGCTATTTGATCGATGTCTAATCATCTGTATGAAGAATGTAAGATTCTCTATCCTTCAAATGCTACAATTACTGCGATATTTACGAACACAGACTTTTGCAGAATCAAACAGATAATCTAATACATCCTCCCTCCACTTTCCACTGAACATCTAACCATCAGTGGCAGAGTACAGATGAGTACGGATGAAATGTACATTCTTCATGCATATATGGAGCCGTAAATAATTGTTAAGTACAATTTTTAAATGATAAATCTTCTATTTTGATAGTAACGACGATGATAGAAACCATAGCTTCTCAACTGTTTTAAACGCACATGTGGACAGATAGTGTACATCTCATATTGCATAAGAACATCGAATTGATTACATAGCTAGATTTCACAATTAGCATTTTCCTGAAGCATCAACTGTTCTGCCAAGTCCACGTAATTCCGTCAGTCTTAATGGTACATACAGAACACGAACTGGTGCCCTTACTAGTATCTGAACCTTGCTAGACGTGCTTCTAATCATAATTCTTCCTGATCTGATAATACAACTGCACATATGTGTGTTCGTGCCTATGGCTGGATGAATGCCCTATACAAGATGTGGTAACATTGATGCTGGAAAAGAAGATCTGAGGGGATCACAGCTGTAGCTACTTCTTTGAGTCTTCCTGTTTAGGTCTGTCACCGTCTTCTTCTCCATCCTCGTCCGAGTCTACTTCATCAAACAATAGAAAATCAGATTCGTCCGGTCGGAGATAGGCATCAGACGACGCGTACTCGGACATTTCACTTTCGTAAGGTAGAAAAGTTGATTCTTCTAGAGGTTGCGTTTGTGGTATTTCTTGTGTCTGCACCATAGTAGCCGAGGGAGAAGTTTCCGGAGTCGCCTCCAAATTTATAGACTTCTGCTTTTCTTCTTGATTCCCTTTGCCTCCCAGCCAGCTCCGAGGATAAGTTACCAGATTGAGTACCATCTGTTGAGCCTGCGCTACAGCCTGGAGTGTGGTTGCTGCAGCACTGACAACAGCAGGCCTCACGACCTCAACGGGCACACTGGCTCTCTCTTGGAGCATAGCCAGAGTCTGAGAGGCAGCTACTTGACCCATCTGTCGTAATCCAACTTCAGCAGCTTGTACAGCTCTAGCCGAGCTCTTCATCCCGTCTGATATCTCTTGACTCAGATCATTCAACTCCAGGGTGAGGTCACTGATCTCCATTCCTGACAATCGGATGGCCGCCATCGTTCCTGGCAACTCGTCTCGAGCAACTTCTGCCAACTTTTCCATTGATACTGCAGCTTTTCTCATAGCATTCAGGGTCGGGATGGCAGTGATGATGAGGGCAAACAGGGCAAACGAAGTCACACATGCTATGAGACCTAGAAGTAGAAACGCTTGTTCAATTATTGACAACTGCTTGAGTCGCAAACTCTGTGGAATCATGGCCGGGAGGGTAACAGTTGAAGACAATTGATGACTTGCCGAGCCACCATCAAAATAACCATCACTCGGAGTTTCACCAACGCGATCAACCGATGACATGGTCGTGGGAGACGAGCTGTTGCTCCTCGTAGACTGTAGCCTAAACCTCTCGGCGCTTGCCATGCCAAAGTGGCTCAAAAATCCTGAATTCAAAGAGCGTGGTCTTCTGCCAGACCTCAGCTTATATCCATATCCAACCAATCCAGATCGATTCAGGCTGTACAACGCAAACTGTACGCCAAAGCCTTCATTCTTACTGTCGTGTCCAATCCTTCCTCTGGTAGGAAAACTACTTGATTCTGCGGGGAAAGGGAAAGCCAAACAAGATAGGCAGAGACGAGAATTCGACCATGTTCCATTCTGACCAGCTTTCCCCTTCACTGATAAACCCGATGATATATGGTGCTGCAGCTGAGCGCTAAGCATACCCATCCTACCTGGCGATTAAAACCATGCCTTTCACACTGACCTCAGTTAGTGTATCAGTCTCCTTTACCTTCCCTAACTGGAGATTCCGATGCTCTGATTCAATTCCCCAGAACCTGTGAAACGAATTTCAGGGAATTAAGCGGATTGAAATATCCAGTACGCAAATCAGCTGTGTCTGCACGCCCTAATAGATGTAAACCCTCATAGAACAGAATCTGCAAGCGAGTGGGTTCCTTAAACCTGTCATCCAAACTTGCAAGTCCAAATTCGAAAATTCAATCTCTCCGATCATGAAAGCGTCAGGGCCACGTCCTCATCGTGCAAAAATTCAAAGTAGAATCAACAAAGTGGGCAGATCCCAAGTACCTGCAAAACGACCCAAACTCAAGTCGAGGCTCCAAGCAAAGAGAGAGAGAGAGAGAGAGATCGCTCTGCCACGACTTCAAGCACGACGGGAAGAGGCCGTTCACCTCACCCAGTCCCCGCACCGAGATCGCATGCTTCAGCAAAATTGCTCACACGAATCCACGATCGCTTCTTCTTCACCTGCACACCTGCCGCGACAATTCCCCGCTCGAAATTCCGCACCTGCGAGCTGCCAACTTCCTCCGAGCGCTCCCAGTGTCGAGCCCGCGACGAGGCGACCTCATCCTCATGACGCGATAAAAGGCCTTTTCCGGGGACGGGGCCCCTTTCAGCGCTTTGCGTCACGGCGTTGCGCTTCCTCGGAAACACGGCACGTGAGGGCCACGGCCATCCACGGCCCGCTCCGCTCGCTTGCTCGTGCCTCCATCCGACGGCCGTCGATGGCGAATGATTCCGATCCTGCCCAACCCGGTCACCGGTAATGATTCCGCGATGATCCGTCCGCGACCGCTCGATGAGCGATCACCGGCTGGAAGCGACGGGGACTCCCGAGCAACGACGATGGAGGCTTTGGCTTCCGAGTGTCGAGCAAGCGAGAGGATAGGGCGCTCCTGACGTCACCAGGTTGCACTTCCTGCTCCTCATGTCCGAACGTAATTGCGGTCCTTGTGTCTCCGGCCATCAGCCCCGGGAATTAATGTCACCACCGTCGGACATGTCTAATATCTTTCCAAGATTCATTGATCTTCTTATTTAAATAAATTTTTTCTTAAAAAGCATTGATAATAGACTTACTCGGTTATACCACTTTAAATTTGGCTATAACTTGAATGTTCTAATTAGTTCATTTCAACTAACTAATAGATAACTTACTCCAATAATTAACCAGCAATTTATCAAGAATGTAGACATCAAATTTAGTAAATTATTCAAAAAGTCCCTGTTGTGACAGGACTCCAATTTCTGACGACGTGATTTCCATCTCGACAGTCCGGCCAGCAGCCCCGGGAATAAATGTCATTGCCGTCTACTGACCACTAGCGGACATGTCTTCTCTTCCCTATTCTACCTGTCACAACAGGAACTCCAATTTCTGGCGACGTGATTTCCATCTCGATAGGCACGAATAACATATTTCGACTGATCGAAATGATCGATTGTTAGAAAGGATGATTCGAAAATTAAAAGGATAAAATGTAGGCCTAAGATTAGGGCATGATATAGGTTGACGAAAATTCTTCTTGTCACCCTCACATTTCTAAGAGCTTCTATTTTTTTTTCATCTATTTGAATGAGGCTCTTTGATATAATATGGATTGAGGGTGTCTACATTGAGATTAAGCTCTTTGCTTAAAACTAACGGTCAGCGTTTTGGATTGGTTTTTAGTTTTTATATCTGAATATCAGGTTGGTTAAATTTTTCCATCTATCTACATATGATCATACACTTAAGTTACACGTCATGTAATCATATTAGATGAAAAATGTCAATGTTATGAATTTATCACCTAATATTTGATTTGTAAAATCATGAAATATTTAGAAAATCAAGATTGGGTGATAAAAGAAAAATGGCATTAGTTGCCTTAATTATCCATCCAAATTTGGAATGTGATGCTTGAACTTTATTCAGTTATATTGCAATATAAGTCTAAATTAGATTCAAATAATTCGTATCATGATATAAATTTATGTATCTACACCTTTTGATAAATATATGTGTCTACTTGAAGCAAAAAAGTATCACATCATTAAAACATAAGAATTAAGAAGAATTTTCTGATTAACTTTCATGTTACAAACAATCTACTCTTTACAAGCATTTGAGACCCAATTGAATGAAATAAAGTTTAAAATATTGATATTGAATAATCAAGAGTTAAAGTTGACATGAAAGATGAAACAGAAATCGGACATTGGCATATTGTTTGAAATTCACTCAAAATCAAATTACCTTAAAGTGATAAATATTACTTAAAAGTATTATCTTTTTGAAAATTTAGACCAGAAAAATTTTCTGAAATTTTTTATTGAAATTTGTTTAGATTCATGAATTGAATGAGCATTACTTAAAATTAAAATTTTTTATAAATTAAAATCAAAATCTAATAGATTGTTTCATTGTCATTTGAATTTATCTCAAGTGTATTTATCAATTGGATATTTTTCATTGATGCCACTAAAAGTCGTTGTTAAATATTTTTTAAAAATATAGTTTTGAATATGAAATTTATAAAATGGATGATGATCATTTGTTAAAAAATAACTTAATGATGAATTAAAAAAAATTAGGTGAAATTTTTAAGATTAATTTTCGAGTTAGGAAAAAAAATGATTCGTCAAAATAGTCAATGTTTAAACATACATCATGTCAATGGCACATATAAATATGCTACACATCTATATCACAAGTAATATTTTTATGAAATGATATAAATATAGATTTTATTTTTTTTAGAAAAATATGAGATTTGAATACTCTTGATGTAAACTATTTCTGCTTGTGTAATTCACATCACATTTTAATGTAAATTTTTTAAAATGCTTGATAAAATAAATCTGATATAATTATCAATGTGTTGACATGATGCTTCATATAACTCCAAGATCTGCATGAATGGGGTATGTAGCACCCATAATATGCTTCATTTAAATCTAAATTCTTTTTGACACTTTATTTAAAAAGACACAACTCATTATTTATTTTTTAACTAAAATCAAACAAGAATATTGCATTTGCATATCAAATTATATTACCACTCTTTAGACTTGTATGAAAGATTCTATGCTGATATATTTTGATAATGTGGAAATTTTTAAACTTCACTTTAGTGTTTGTTTTTGAGAACATTCAACTAGTTCATTATTAAGAATATGTGAGATCCTGTGCAATTTTCAATTCATGTGCAATAATTCAATTTTTCAATTCCCTTACAACCCTTTAAATTTTGCTTAAAGAACGATGTTATCTGGCATAATAATTTGCAGATGATATTGCTATTTTACTCCCTTTTGATTCTTTCAGTAGATAAACTGTATCCTATAGCATATTTTTGAGCACTTACTGTACGTAAGGATTGCCCAAAAAAGGTAAGGGTGAAATCGGGTTAGTATTTTTTTCCTGTGGCTCTTATGAAAAGCCCCTAGCAGAGGAAGAGAACTTTGGATAATTAGATTGGATAGCTAGAGACATAGTAACTTTCTCGAGTACTGTATGTGACGTGGAATACAATCGTGATGGGCTGATGGGTCTTCCCATCGTTTTTTCATCCATTTGTCCCCTCAACGAATGAAAAAGAATTAAAGAATTAAAGAACCTAGCTGGATGCCAGAAGTTGGGCGTGATATCCCACCCTGTGCTGTGAACCCAACAATCCCCCAACAATGGTAACCAACACGTGAACATGGGTTACCTGGCTCATTGCGGTTCGAATCTGCTTTTTGTTGTAATAACTTGTGCCACAAAGAGTAGAGATTGGGCTTGAATTTCACATAACTCTGATGTTATCTGATGTACTCCTTATACTGATCATGGTGAGAGAGCTTGTGCAGAAACTCGATTGTGGTGATGAGGTCGAGACCGATTTCGGTGAGATCAAGGACAGGTTAATCGGTCCGGTCGGACTTTGCCTGGCAAGGCAGGCAGTCTGAGGGCGATTAGCGTTGCGAAATCGAGGCATCATAAGGCAAATCCTATTTTTCTGATAATGTGCCCGGGATTTATCGTGAGTAAGTACACTGTAATTCGAACATCCACGACTTCCCGACATGAATCCACAAATACCTCTCAATCCGTTTTACTCATGCACATAATATGTGACTGGTCAATCGGCCGAGGTGAACCAGGTCAGCACGATCCCCGCCGAAGATCATCTATGGGGTGGGGGTCACGAGGCCAAATCAGTGTTGCCAAATGCGCCAGTGTACAGTAATTACAGGACTCGATGTCATGTCTATGTCCCCACGGCCTCCCTTCTGATCAGCTTGTTCAAGACCATGGGCTTGGGCGGCAGTTGGATGTAGAGTCTCGAATCATCGCGTTGCACGGATTGCATCTTCATCGTCTTCATGGCCTTGAAGTAGTCTCACCTCGTCGGGTTGGACAGATTTCTTCACAAGGTTGCGGGCCCCGGAGATGTACCTGGGATACTCAGTGGGCAAGTCGCGGAGCTTGAGGAGGAGGAAGACCAGCATGCCGGTGGCAAAACCGATGGCAGCGCTGGCTTTGGACAGCGAGACGATCGTGCAGACGAGCATAACGAAAGCATCTTCGTTGGAATTTTGGTCGCGGCAGGCCATCGCTAGCTCTGCCCCGGAGAAGAGCAGCAACGCTCCGAGCAGGCCGACGGGGAACGATGCCAGCAGACGCAGCAGAGAGCTTCCCAGCAGCAACGAGAGGACGAGCTTCGCGCCTCCCAGCAGCGCCGGTGCCAGCCCATTTCGAGCTCCAAACTTGTACTGGCCTGCGAGGCCGCCTGCGCCGTGACACACGGGCATGGCTCCGAACCAGCATCCCACGAGGTTCATCAATCCCACGCTGGTGGACACAGAGAACACGGTCACAGTCTTGTTGGGGAACAGATCGTTCGAGAGCTTGCACACAGCGACCACCGAATTCAGCACAGACAGAGGAAGCTGTGGAATGGCCGCCCTCACAAACCCCACTTTCCAGTCGTTCATGGAAATCTTCACGAGCTTCAGTGGGGATGGCCCCAGCTTCAGATCCCCCAGAGTCGCTGGATCCCTGATGATGGCGAGCACTACCCCGAGCAAAAACAGTAGAATCCCTGCAGGCGCTACCCACTTTCGGGCCGATTCTCCCGGAGCCTCGTTCGAGGATTCGACGTCCTCGTGGGTTTCTGAGTTTCTCGATCTCGTTGTCTCGCCCACCTCTTCCTGGCGCGGCGATCGGCACTGCCGACCACCTCCTGGGCCCGTGCACAAGATGATGACCACGCAGGCAGCCAGAGCCAGAAGCAATCCGTCGAGTCCGATCCACATCCGATCGCCACTGCTTTTGTTGGCCGTGAAATCCTGGTTGTAGAGAATGTACTTGACAGCGGTGATGCCGAATGCGATGCCCTGGGAGAGTTGGATTCCTCGCACCACTGGCAGCGGGACGATTTTGTCGACCACGGTCATGAGGCCGGAGAGGCCGAGAAACGCGAGCACGGCGCCTGTGCTGAGTCCTGCGGCCATGATTTGAGGCACCGTGAGGCGGTCGGGCCCCTCGGCGATGGCCACAGCGGCGATGGATTTCATGGGCTGCACGGGCATGGGAACTCCGAAGAGAACGCCCGTGACCACGTTGTACATGCCGGTGAAGAGCAGCGTCGTTCCCAGGTCCACTTTATTGACGTACGCCAGAGCCAGCAGGATGGGAATGAAGGTGCCCAGATCTCCCAGCGATCCGCTCAGCTCTTGCCAGAAATTCTTGCACCGGATGTTATCCCTGAGGCGCATCCCGTAGCTTCGCATGGTCGTCCGCCTTTGCCGACCGAAAGGCTCCTGCGAATTCCTGAACACGTCCATCGGTGCTGACTACAAATCTCCTCGTGAATGCAGCCGACGCGGCGTGTTCGCCCTGCACAGATCAGAATCAACGATTTTTCAAGGCAACTACAACAGCCTCTGTCACTACCTCTCGCTGACACAGAGAGAATCCGTCATTTCGACTCTCATGCTATGACGCAGAAAACTCGTTCAGTTCTCGAGAACTGCTCGAGTCGCTACAGCTGAAGACAACTGATACCCACCGAGCCACTCACGGAATCATCATCACTTTGGTCCTCACCAACACGATCGGTACAAGTCATGTTGTATTCATCGTGTTGGTTATCATGAACTCATGAACTGATCGTCATCACCACACGACTTGTACCAAGCAAACTGCCCATCAAAACCCTCGTGCCCAATCGTCGTGCCCAATCCTTCTTTGGATGAATAAAAGTTGATCCTGCGGGGAAACGGAAAGCCAAACAAGGTAGGGAGGGGAGACAAAAATTGACCACATTCCATTTTGAGCTGCTGGACCCTTAAGTGATGCAGTCCAGGATCAAGGGTGCTGCAGCTGAGTGCTAGGTTTGCTCACACTAACTCGCAAAGAAACCAATGCCTCTCACACTTCACCTCAATGAGGGTATCCTCAATATTCGGTTACCTTCCCTAGCTGGTGATGAAAATTAAATTTGAGCTCGATTAGCTCACAAATTTCCAGCTGGACGCCGAGCTAGAAATTACCTCCCGATTCATCGACCATGACAGGGATTCACGAAGGGCCCGGTGCAAATAAAATCTTCAAACAGCTCAATCACAGGACAATAACAGGCACTCCAGACTTCATTGGTAATCATCACCTTTCTTGGCTCGCTATCGTTGCAATTGCTTAAACTGTATAAATTTGACAATGCTAACATTCCTCCAGGTCAGGTCCAAAGCTTCACATGAAGAGGTTCCCACACACGCACACAAGGATGTGTTTTAGTAATCATTGAATTAATTCTTCTGTATGCACGTAATGCTAATGTCAACCTCTTTCTATAGACAGAATTCGAGCACAGGCGTTTTCTTGTCTTCACAGAACGACGAATTGAGGGTGGGGTCATATACATAGTGAAGGCCAACAGACGGTCCTGCCTTACAGGACTCAGTCGGCAGTTTTTGACATCTACACAAAGTACGTAGTCCATACGAGGTTGGACCAGTCCAATCTACTGGATACCACTGATCATCAGGATAGAGGTCGAGCAGTACAGGTTTGCAGAATTGCAGGCCGGCGAACTATGCAGAAATATTGGTGAGTTCAATTCGCTACTCCGGGCAGTCCTAACAAAGACATCCAGACTGATCGACATCGTCGTGTCGTGGATAGAAGCGACCAAACCTTTGCCTGTGAGCGAGCAAACTATGTCGTGGGAGGAACGAGCGACGACAGCAGCAAGGTCATCGACTACGCGTCCTCAGGAGGCTCGTCCACCCATCCGGAGGTACAGAAAAGATCGCAATGAAATGAAGCTCGTCTGCCGGACCACTTTCCACATTTTCCGTGTACTTATTCCAGGGCGAGAGAAATTGCTTCAACGCACAATCGCTCACTCACCTCAGCTTGAACCTTCTCTGGACGCCGCGTGCACTCCCCGTCTACATTCGTTAGCTTGTCTCTCGCTCGCTCCTCTGCCGGATCACTTTCCACATTTCCCGTGTGCTGATTGCAGGCCAACCCCGTCCTGTACAGGGCAAGAGAAATTGCTTCAACTCGTCCGTCAGTCGCTCGCTCTCCTTCTCTGTACGCCGCGTGCACTCCATGTCCCTCCCTCCCCCCCTACAGACATTAGCTAGCTTGTCTCTCACTCACACGAAACCGCCTTAATTGACAGAAACCAATTGGACAGGAGCTCAGCATATTCCCCGATCAATGTCCGATGTCTTCTGTCAAAATGATCAGTGTTGCAGATAAACCTGTGCGCGCAGAAGTTGATTCTCAGATTTCTGCCTGTGCAGTCGAAGCCTGCCTTCCATTTGTAAAGTGGTGTAAGCCTTTACACACTTCCTCCCTTTAACTTTTCGATAAAGCCAGACAGACTGATTACTTCCCCTGCCCCTTTCCCTGGCCCTTCCCTGGACATTCCATCGTATCACATCGACTGAATTATCCAGTTTTCCAGCCCATATGCTTTTCATCCTGAAGTTATGGCTTCATTGTGCTGACTTGTATGGCAGGAATGGGAGAACGGGTAGACGACTGGAAAAAATACGAGATCTAACCACATCAAAAGGGACAAAGCAAAAGTGGGCAAGCGAGAGAGCCAATCTCACTCGCTCTCTCAAGATAAAACACTTCATAACGACTCCTCTGATGTCTCTTCTATGCACGCCGCAATACTGGTGATAACAGGAGGCTATGTTATGGATCCTTGGTTTCTGACCCTACCAGGTCAGGTTTACAAATGTGACCGGCACTGAAAGGTTACCTGATGAATATCTAAATACAATAGCTGAGAGTCTCAGCTGGATTAAATTAAAAATTTATACTGTCTCAGGCTGAGACAGCATCAACTTTTCAGCCTTCTTTCGAACTGTCTCTTCATCATTCTTCCGAATCTTCTTACTTTGGGTGTAAATTGGGCAGCACATTGTTTGTTCAGTAACATGGTGTGGATGGGACGTGCCGGAAGTGTGACGGAGAATGTTTGAAAGACCGATTCAATGAAAATCTACAATGGCTTTAAACCTCAAGCCCACGCTCGGTTTGTCTCGCATTCTTTATCTCTCTCGAGTAGATGCTCTAAAAATTCTTGGGGAACCTGACGTCACTGACATCAGAGAATTTCACTCGAGCAGCATGTGTTAAAAGGTTGTGTAAATTTCGGAATAGATAACACAACATAATCTGTGCGTGCGTTAAAACTCTTTATGCATACGATTCTCTGGTTTTCTTAAAACACCAAACTTTATCCACCGACTTCGATATGATGATTGTAACCAAGGAGGAGGGCAGGTCCAGCAAACTCCATAGATGTGTACATTGAGGGAGTAGTGTATATGAGCAAACCAAGGAGCTATAACTTCCCGTCTCACCCAAGTTTGACATCGGAATCTTGGGTGGCTAGGTTGGCGTTTGGGTTACGTTTGGAACTAATCTTGCACCCAAAAAGCTAAAGGGCCTCTTGGATCTAAGATTCATGTCTTTATACCAGCACTAGACCTTGGATTTTGGACTCCAACTCAAACTCAAAATATTATACAACAATCCAAATTCATAACCAAAGATGTGTCTTCACCTGAGATCTGGTATCCAAACTTACACGATTGATTCATTATGGTACAAACCCCTGTCAAGGACTCTAAATCAAAACAAAGCGTGACCCAAGTCAGAAAATACTTTGCTCATGTTAAGATTATGAGAATATCACAATAAATGTATATTATGAGCTACACTTGAGAGGCGTTACATGCTTCTTTCAGATATTGCTTCCTTGAGCTTCTAGCTGTAGAACCTCCTTGTGTGAGTCACTTTTTAACATTCACACAAGTAGGTATGATCACGGCTCGGCTAACGGCTAGCCGGCTAATATTTTTGTTAGCGGGCTTAGCCGGTAATGCGACGAACAAAATCACGTAAGGAATCTTCATTGCTGTCATCTCCATAGCACGTTGTAGCCAATGGACATGGGATAGTTCAGTTCTCTTATTGCGTGATAGAGGCTCCCACAAACATACAGATAAAAGTCCTAAACTCTCAAACTGTGGCATCCACCCAGCCTTAACAATCCCTCTGCCCTTGATCCGTTCTTCAAAACCTAGAAGAAGAAGATCTTGCATGCTTGCGTATTCAGGACTAGAAACGTTTGCTCACAAGCTTGCGGAGCTCGAGAGATCTCCAGTACATGATCTGGCTTGATAAATTTTGCTGCGATGCAATCGACATACATGTCAATCACCAACGCAGTTGCAGCCTGGCTGGATCACAGAGTAGATAAGGATAATTTTTCCTACTATGCTTAAAAAACACATGTAAATCACCGACGCAGTTGTAGCATGGTATTTTATTAATTTCAGTAAACAGTCGTTTTCATGGCCGCAATTGCATGATAATTCTGATGCAATTACCGCACAAATGGTGGCAATAGCACCGCTATCAAGAAACGCAGACTCATACGGTACCAAAAACCCATGCACAATAACATGTCGTGTGCAACGAATGCCAATCATAGAAAGAGTTTGCAGCTTATTCTTGCCCACCAAACAACTGCATTGTCGCATCATTCAACTTGATGAAATGTAAAAAATCCATGATCTCTTTGGAGACATCATCTTGTTCACCATTTGATTCAAATGCCATAGCTCGAGTTCAACGGTCAGCAATAAGCATGCTTTGGGTGCTATTTTTAAACATGGAAGAGTCAACATGTTAATGTGTGCCGTCGATATCATATTATTCCCAAAGAATTTTTTGAAGATGTGTTGTCAAAGAATCTATTTCTTCAGTCTTTGGAATCTTTGGTCTTTGAAATTGCAGAATCAAGGGCTAGTGTTAGCATTCATAGCGCGCCAGTCAAGTGCTCCTGATACTTATCCAACTTTAGTATCAACGCTTTTGCAGCATCCTTTGACTCTGCAGCGATGAATCAAATACTCATAGTATCATTAATGATTTCTTGGCAATGCGTCTAGAGCGATTCATAAACTAGAGGTTGATTGAATGATGTTTCATATCGTCGGCAACATAAGATTTTCATCATGTAGGCAGGAGCAGAAAATCTTTGAATCACTTCAATATTCTCCATTCAATCGATCTCAAAGTTGAAATCTTTTCGTAGTGCTCGGACATGTTTGACAAAGATTAGATTACTTTTGTCAGCATGTACGACGAATCAATCATTGTAAACACAATATTTCACCAATTTTTGACATCAAATTCAATAACTTTTTTAGTCTTGTGTTTTTGCGCTCCTCAAAAAATTTGAGACTTCTTGAAGTCAGCTTGCATTTGTTATAAAAGAAGAACTCACAATAGGAGTGATGAAATTGTTAGTTTATAAGAGAAGAACTCACAAAGAATGATGAAATCGTTAAATTTTACAAATCAAGAAGAGTTCAGTGATACACATGACTATTTTGAAGTTGTAATGGGTTGGAATACATAATACGTTCAAAGTAAATGACATGATTCTCATTCGCAAGATCAAAGTTTAAATAACATGAATTTACTTCTCTATACATTCAAAAGAATAATAGCAGCCTTGAAGATAAACATTACGATGACTAAAAATTCCTCGTAACACAAAAAGAAACTTGTGATAAAAGAAAAATTGTAAGTAGATTGTTTTGGTACATCTATTATAGCTCAAAAATCACTCAACCAAAAATTTATTATTGGAAATGCCTCAATAGAATTTGCAATTATTGAACTCCGATACAATTTTTCATCGTCCAGACGAGGATTGTCTGAATGAGGCATGGAGGATCAAAAAATATCCAAATATTGCCAAATATTTGGTGCCCCTAGTATATTATCTCCTTTAGGGTATAGGTTTTAAACCCTAAGTCCTAAAGGGTTCAAGGGAGTGGCTGAATTATGTGCCACATTATTCTTTTCATTTTTGATAACATGGAGTGGGAGCAAAAAGATTCATGCAAGTTATGTCACATGCTAGCGCAACTCTGACGATGTAGATATAAAATCACTTGTTATATTAGGATTTTGAAAGTTTTATCTCGTCTTCAAAAATGAAGTTGAACGTTTTGAAATCATCAACTATACAAGTTTATGAAAGTGATTTGGTACTTTGAACATGATTACATCAATGACATGTTTTGATTGTCTAAAATAGTGATTCAAAAGTAGACATGTTGAAAAATAGAACATAAATATATTGCGTTACAATCCATGTATTATTAGTACAAATAGTCACAGAACTCAATTTATCAAATTAATTACGGTTTATCATAGAGAAATTACTCTCGGCTATCTTATATAGCAATGCAATATCTAGCTAAACTGTCCATTTTCAAACTGAAAATATGGTAGAAATAAGATGAAGTGATTTAGGTTTTGGCCTTGTTCTTTTATATGTTGTCGTCCATGAAATGAATAATGTAGGGAGCAACAAAGAATGAACAAAGGATTTGCTTGCATGGATTTAAATTAAGATAATCCATCTACACACAAAGTTTCACAAGTTTATGATCTACCTCTAACCATAACAGTGTCGTGATTCAAATTATATTTGGTAATGTTTGATTTACACGTCGGGTATAGGTAGATATAGTCTATTTGAAGTTGATGTTACTATATTTGACATGATCAGCTAGTCAACTACTGAATCCAATACATCTAGCAGTTCTTTAAAAAAGATATAGATATTTAGCATGATAGTAATCAAGGAACAAGTCCTTGTGAAGCTCAAAAGGAAATATTCAATGATATGTTGGCCACAAGTTGCTTTAATCTTCAAGATGCCATTAGAGATAATCCATTGTTTCGACTCGATTGCTAATTTAATATCCGACAACTGCAAGAAAGACAAACTTTCAACACAAAAACCCCTTTTTGTGAAACTTTAAAAACCGACACACATGCTAAGGCGCAAGGATCCATCTATGTTCATGTTAAACCTCGCAATGTAAAGAATGTCAAGAAAACTTCAGTTGAACAAGTCACTATCAATTAAGGACATTGTATTAAATTTTGGAAAGAAATAAACGTTTAATATTTTCACATGATCAAATATCTTCATTAGATTTTTTTTACATCAAAGTGTATTTGGAGTTACAGAAGATTCTTACCTTATGGGTTTGCCAACTTTCACAAATAAAGCATGGGCAAATTATTAAAAACGCGTTTTTATTTCATCCACCATTCTCGAGTACAGCTTTTCACATAACTTGCCTTTGCAAGTAGTGTTTTTTCAGGTGCAACTAGTTCATTCTGGAAATTCGCTAAGCTAGTCATATCACATTGAGCTACAACTTTACAGAACCTCGCGCAAAATTTCAAATTTTTTTCGCTTGTGATTCATGAGAGTTGATGACCATTACACAGATGTAGGTGCCGTCGGCACCTGTTTAATGGTACCAACGGTCAAGAAACACAATTCTTGATAGTTTGACGTTATTTGCAAACTCAATTCTCACCATAAAACACTTGGCTACTAGTGAGAGTGTCAAGGTGTTATCCGCGGAAGAGCGGATAAACTTCTGAGGGTACGTGCAAATCCTTTTACATCCAATGCAGCTCGCCATCTCCACTACTCATCCCTTACTCTCTCCGAATTTAGCCAAGTGTAGCAACAACTCATTCTTCCTTTCATTTGATTTGTTGGCTTTACTTTGACAACTCTCTTGCAATCGTGATTTTGTTTGGGCTTCTTTGGTTCAATCGATACCATTCTTAGAGCAAAGTGGTATTGATTGTGTGACAAGCTTTGTTTCTTGAGAACCTTTAGAGGGTGAGTGTATGATGTAGATGATGATTTGTTATGTTTGCGGTGGACGAGTTGGTATCATCTCACGATCTGTTTTGACAAAAATGTATCTTCTTTAGTCGTTTGGCGATTTGAATTTATTTTGGAATCACTCTAACAAAGTCAAACCGCAAATAATTCAGCTTTGACAGAGGGATTTCATGAACATGATCTTGTGATCCAGAGCGATCTTGAAAGATTGGGATGCCTACACAAGGATACAAATTGAGTGATTGGAGACTTGCTGCACGGTTGAATAGGGGAGAGGGAGAAGAGTGAGGGGTGTGATGTCAAAAACAATTCTTTGTGGACATTCAAAATTTGTGTTTCTTTTTGAGTTGAAATTTTGAATCTCCTCAACACTTCGGCGTGGAGTTTTCAAGCTCCATCATTGAAAAGATTTAAAATTTTGTAGCAGTTTTTTCCATTGTCAATTGAACAATTAATAGAAACAAATATTGTCCGTTGTTGCAGATAGAATTTTTGTGTGCATATTTATTGCTATTAATCATTCCAAAACAAGCGCCATTGTGAATCATTGATCGTGAGACGGTGAAAAATATTTAAAATCAGAACGTTATCGTGTAAAGTCAAGGAATCATCTATCTAATGAAGCGTAATGACAAAGTAACTTTGCAAAGTTTTGGTGGACCCACCATTGCATCCAACTGTTCTTATGGACCAACCGTGATTGTCATTTATCCTGAAATTAATTTGTCAATTTCACAAAATTGTTTGGTCGCTGTAATCATCTTGTCTTCTTTGACACGAGTAAGTATTTAGCGCAAACAACTAGGCCAACAACAATTTAGAGCACTTGTCATGCGTCTAAACAAAATTGGCTTTATTGAAAAAGAACTCTACTTTGTGTGAATCATCAAATCTACCACGTTCATCATGATGTTTGATTTTGCCTCGTCATTCAAAACGTTGTGCACTTTCAAAGACCAATCGGATTTTGAGAAGGTGGTTTTGAACGGATGATTAGGCAATGCATCTTCAAGCGATTTGCGAGGATGCAATGATTGTTTTTCATATGAAGAACAAGGTTTGATATCACTTAAGTACTTGAGTAACACTTCAAACACAACTTGCTTGCAACACAAACTAGTCAATCGGATCTTGATACATCTACAAAGTATGAACTAACCCAAGAAGTTTGCTTTTGTTTTTTCGTGCGCCAACCCGTGGATGATACCTTAACTGAGGATGAGATTAAAACAACGTCAAAGTCTTCATCTGAAGTTGATATCAAAAAAGACACGACCTGATTTACTAGAACTTCCTGTAAGCATGGTTTGTATCGCACATACTATAAAATTCTAAGAACTTCAATGTCATGTAGCCTCGTTCGTGTGAGATCCTTCAACCTTTGCTCTCGTTTGCACTCGCAAGTTACCATGTTCTTGTTTCTTACTGACTTTCAACTTTCTCCAATACACTGGCTTGAGTTCACCTCGTCTCATCTCACCTCATCTTTACTTCCTTCGCGACTTGACTTCAACCATACTCAACTCGTCATTCGCCCCACAAAACAATACTCTCTTGTCTTCTGCGTGCCTTGCCAACACAAAAAGCCAAAGCAATAAAACAAAAAGCTTCCACTACTAACTCTTTCGTTTGCATATCACAAAAAAGCCATATCTTGCTTCAGTATCAATCTCTCTTTTCACTTCTATCAGATTAGGTAACAAACTAAACTTTTGAAGAGGACAATTCTAAAAGCATTCAAAGTTCAGGTTAGATCTGCTCCAACTAACAGCCAGAGCGTTCTTTCTATGTGAGAAATAATTACATTCCAACTAGTAGCTAGATCGCGTAGACACTTAGCAATTGTCTATGCAATCGCAACACATTTCAATATCTTCAAAATTTGAGGCTAGTCGTGTAAATTTGAGACACTAGCCGGCTAACTGATATAGATGACTAGCCAAAAGAAATTCGACTATGTGACCATGTCAACACACAAGGAGATTAAGGATCAATTATCTTAGTAATACATGTTTTCATGCAGTTTAGATAAAAGAAATAAATAAATAAATCATACGTTTGAACATCACATTTCATCCAAAATTTCCATGATTTTATGAAATTTAAGAACTTAGATAAATATTAAATCAACAAGCGTACTTGCCAATCCTATTTAATATACATAAAAAAATCAATCTTAATTCTATCAATTTCATTATAACTTCATGCTATATATATTTAAGCTTGAACAAAACACAAAGTTTTTATATCTCTATTATATTTTGCTCATAACAGCAATGATATCATCAAGTGTTGGTATATTGTGTGAAAAAATAAAAAAATAGTTTTCCACAAAAAGATATGAAAAATACGATAAGGTGAAAAAATTAACAAGCCATTTTTATTATTAATTTTTTTTATGTATAACTTCATATTAAAAAAATTACAGGTTTGAACTATATTTGGATAGAAAAATTTAGATGAAAACACTACGTTTTTGTAGATGTTTGACAAATGTGTTTTGATCAAGCAGTCAAAAATATCTTATTTCACACAAATGGTATCCATCTCACGATATTTATAACTGTCAATACTCATTACAATCCCATAAGCATTTTTCATTGATGAGTAATCTTGAAGCATCAGGTTATTTTCACGTTGTCCTAGATGTATGATTGCAACTTCTCTTAAACCTCTGATTTCTAGCAATGTGTCTTTGCATTTTATCAGCATCACATTTGACATTACATTTAAGCTCCATGCAAGTTGTTTGCAGATTTCATGATACAGGAGTTTGTTTAACGATCGCTAGATTGGAATTGTCCACAATCTATTTTGTTAGCATGCTATTGCTAAAAATCCTTTCAACACATGTATAAGTGTTTTCACTTGCATCAAGACAAGAAAAATGAAAATATGAATAACTCGGAGTTAAACACAATCTTTCAACTTGCAAGAAAAGTCGCGTTTTCTTTTTTAACTGACCATTCAAACAAATAATTCACATTACATTGTGAAAGATGAGGTTGATGTGAGTTTGTTTTAATTCAATAATTCAAAAAACTCCATTGTCTTACGTCAATTTTCACTCTTCCCGCCAAAATAATCCTCTTGGTGGTAAGCTTGTAGCTAGTTTAAAGATACTCTTGATTGATGCGTTTGATATCATACTAAGCCATAAAGCAATGATTGTGTTATTATTGCTTAAGTCATCATTTTAGTAACGGATTCTATAATGATTTATGTTGTTTATTTTTCCTGTTTTTTTATCTAAATATAAAATTTTTGCCTTGTAAAATTTACATTTTACACCATACTAGTATTTTGATTTTTGATTATGTGTGTTTTTTTCTTATATTCTTTCTTAGTATATTTGGTTTTCTTAAAATTACATATTTTTTTTTCAAAAGTTATCAAAATGACCATAACTCTTGATATTAAAGATTAACTTGAATGTAAACTGATAAGGAGGAAAAAATTGTGAAAAATAGATGTTATTTGGATACAATATGAAGACTAATGATGATATTTGGTTAAATGACTTTTCATTTTGTTCTTTGATATTGTGTATATTCTTTTTACTTGAAAGTAAAGAATGCAAGGATTTTTTGAACTAAAAAATTTAATATGTGATCATAAACCATTAACTTTGAATAGTTTAGGATACGAACAGTATTTTTAGATATAAGGATTTAGATAATAGGATCTTGACGGTTTGCAGTCATCATAACTATGAACTTGCTAACAAAAGAGAAAGAATGAAGATACCGAATATGACGAGAAAACCCTTCTAAAACCATTAGTTTCAACATTTCTTTAACAAAGAAATCGTTTTATTAGAATGTAAAGTTAACGTTATAGAAGCGGAAACATTCATCGTGAAGTGAGCTTCTTACGCTGGGCTCGGAAAAACCTCTTGCAGACATATGAATTATTCGCATATTAAGAATACAATGTAGAAATAAACATTCAAAGATTTCAAGATTTATTTCAGGGAAACCTCGAACTCTCTTTCTGAGATGTGCGATGCTTCTCAGGACTACCTCTACATGCAAAAATGGCATCCCCTGAATAATCACCGCTCCAAGAGAACTAAAAACCATTATCATCAACTGTGAATCATCCGACACGCTCTGGGACGCTCTTCACGTTGCAACGTGTCGAGCTAGCGCGACGGCGTCATGTCACCAGGACAGGAAATAGCGGCCCCAGAATGCAAAGTGCCGGTCCTCCGATGGTGGAAAATCTCCACGATCCTCGCCGTCTTCATCAGCACGCACGGAGGCCCGATAATGATCATATCGGGCTCGAATCGATGTCCTGTGATTGAATTTGCTCGGGCGGTCGCATGCGTATGATCGCCTGGAATCAGTATGGCATGTGAGGCTGTCGGCCGTGAGGAAGTGCAGCAGCAGATTCTGCAGATGCGATCAATCGAAGCTTCGAGTGCATAGCGGCACCGATCGACGGCAGAGAGTCGTGCCTGGGACGCGGGGCGAGAGTAGAATCGCTGGAGAGAGGACCTGCTCGCGCGGAGGTGGTGTATGGGTGACGGAGGGGAGTGCGAACTGTCGACCACTTCATTATCCTCTGGCCTCCCCCCTTCTCGCCTGAGGCTCGAAGCAATGGTTGAATGAAGCTATGTTCCTGTGGGAGGAGCACAATTGAGGAGCCCGCGAGGGGTTCATTCGAATCCTCAGTCATATGACTGAGGAGCTAGTACAAGATGTGAGTGCTTCTTCTCTCATGTGCGCATGTCAACGTGAATTTCTTCGTGGATAGTGAGTCAGCTTCAAAACTTTAGAGCCGGAAAGTAATCATATGCCAGGTTCTGCTACTTCGGAGAGGGTTTGGTTTCCAAAATTTGTGGTGGACTGTGATCTTTCTTCTTTAGAGAAGCAGAGAATGTCCAACGCCTTCTTTGGGAGTCGCAAATGGAAATTCTTCTTCTGAGGGTGTTACCGATTTTCCTTCTTAACTCTTGCCGTTATTCTGGACATTAGTTCGTTCTCCTTCGACTAGAAGTGCTCAAATAGCAGCACTAGTAGCTTCTAGACGTGTCAGTCGAATATAATAGAGTTGCGTCTTCTGAATTTGTCAACAGTTTGGATTTTAAGGCTGCTCACACACGTTTTTTCAGGTTGTCTTGTCGATTTCATTTTCCACCTTTCTGTATAAACTCATGTGGAGAGAAAGTACCTTCTCTGCAAGTCGGATGTGGTCAACAAGTGTGGTCCTCAACCGACAGTCTCATCAAACCACATAAATTTTGTCGGAGTTCCAAAAACAAAAGTGGGAATGTTTTCAAGGCGATGCCAGGCACTGCAGCACATCACGAGTCAGATACCAGGGGAATGAAGATTTATCTTGTTTCTGACGTGCACACTGATCATGTAGAGAATTTAGAGTGGATTCGGAATTTGTCACCTACAGAATATAAGCAACATACCTTAATCCTAGCAGGGGATGTCAGCGACAATCTTGAGACTTTTGAGATTACTATGAAACTGCTGAAGGAGAAATTCAATAATGTGTTTTTTGTTCCCGGCAATCACGACCTATGGTGCAGGAGGGAAGAAGATGACGTAAGTGATATGCGTGTTGAATGTTCCGAGCTGCTGTCTTGCCTTGTTGGAAATGGTCCCAATTTAAATTGTCAATCTTCATTACAACTTGAGCCTGAATAAAGTGCATCGGATACAGGTATCGGATTCACTCAGCAAGCTGGAGAAACTGATAGAAACCTGCCGTTCTATTGGTGTTTTGACAAATCCATCGAACATAAATGGAGTGTGGATTGTGCCTATTCTTTCGTGGTATCATGAGGTACACTATGTAGTACTTCATATAGACTAAGTCCGTTGTGCACCACTATTATGGTAGTTATCATTTATGTAGTTTCCTTTTGTAGCAAAGACATATGCTCAGTCTAGTCCTTCAAATATCGATCTAACAATAGGAATATGCCCCACAGAGTTTTGACAGGGAAAAAGATATTGATGGCTACAATATACCCTCTGTGCAAAAGGTTTGTATTCTTACTCGAATTTCCAAATCCAGAATAATTTGACTGAAAAGTGTTAGCTTTTCCGTTTTCATGGCTCAACCCAGGAAACTATATCTCTAGAATAGAATGAATTTATACAGACTTCTCTATGTTTAAAGTGCGAACTCGGTGGGAACAGGCCTGTAAAGATTTTTCAGCTTGCAAATGGCCTTCTCCTCTTGACACTTCAAATGATTCTATCGCCCGTCATATCGATGGTCTCAACGATGCAACCTTGAACACTCTTCCGGATCTTCAGCATGCGGACTGTCAAGTCATCACGTTTTCACATTTTCTTCCGAGGTTATTCCTTCTCCTTTGCACTGTTGTATTGATATAGAAATTGTAGGGGGATTATGAGTTCTATGATTTTAAGGCTAGGCTCCTAAGTGGGTGGAGAATAATGTATCAGAAGAAGTCTTCAGAAATTCGAACTAGGCAATAAAAGCACGCAGCTTTAAATATGTTGAAGCTGTAATTGAAGGATATAGTTACCTGTTTGTGTTGATTACTAGGATTCCAACTAGCCAGCTTGGTCTGGAATTTTTACACATGGCCAATGAACCTGGTTCTTTAACGCAGGCTTGCTAATACTCCACATCATCATGAAGCACCGGTTTGGGAAATCATTGTAAAGTTTTTCTTATTCTTGGACATGATACTTGCAGGTTTGAACTTTGCCCTGAGAAGCGAATGCTTCTGTACCCTAAGCTACCAAAAATGATAGGTTCGGATTGGCTCGAAGCCAGAGTGCGGAGATTTCATGGAGAGAGGGGGAGTGATACTGCCTGCCATTTATTTGGTCACACTCACTTCGCTTGGGACTCAACTCTCGAAGGAATAAGGTAAGCAATTCGAAAATATCAACAAGCAGGATTATATTCGTTATTCAAACTGCTAAACACCTTTGAATCTGTGACACATTATAAAGACAACAAGAATGTGTTGCAAATTCTTGCCTCGAGAAAGGTGAGTTTTATATACCGTCGAATCAACTTTCGCGGTTCAACTTGAGAGAGAGATTGACAACTTGAATCAGAGAAACATCCTTCCATCATTCTCTCTTGTTAGAACTTTGGATCGATCAGAGTATAAATATGTCATAAGTAGAAATAGTCATTGAACCTTTGCATCATATGTATCTGGTCTACTGTATTACAAGGATTTTTCTTTCGGGTGGATGCATTAGAAGGAGATAATTAGGACAGGAACGAGGTTCTAGTAGGGCTTGGGATGGGCCGCTGTTCTTTCAGTATGTGTTACGTTGTATTCCTCGCTGTTTATCTCTTCTCTGCGTTGCTTCACGTCTCTGATCTTTGAGCTCAAAGATCAGAGACGTGAAGAGACGCAGAGTAGAGATAAATAATACTCAGGTGCTAAAGCGACCCGCTTTCTATCTTGCTACTGAAAACGTACGTAAAAATCAATCAATGCTCTATGCTTTAAAATATACTCTTTGATCACGATCATTCTTCTTCTCCTTTTTGTATATAGGCTTGACTAATCGTGTTGGTCCCTGCAGATCGCTCTACTCTCTTATTGGACTGATTATATCTTGATTGGTAATTTTAAGCTTGCCTCAAAGATTAAAGCTCCACAGCCACTTCAAACTCTCCTATCATTCTTCTGACGAACAACCTTTCCACAGCGCTTACATATGTCCCACCTCAACGATTTTTGTTCATCTTCTATAATCCAGCCAATCATAGATACTCACCTCTATCATGTAACTGTTGCAAATGTGCACATTCTTTCTACTTCCACCTTTCAGCTTTTGTTCCCGAAAGAAACCAAATACTCCCTTCCTCCCAGTCTGCATTGAAGCAATCTATTTTGCCTTACATGCCTACATTTATCAACGTGCAACACTTGGATTTTCAGCATCTTTCTGCTTGAGATCATACTGCACCTCTTTAGTTGTTCTCAACTTCCTACAACCTCTTCTCCACATTCCCCAACCATATTCAACGTGCTTGTTTTCATTCCACAACAGTGCGGACTCGCAAACGCTCACTTCATATAGACAACTGCTTCCACATAAAAGCCCTTTACCAAACTTCTACATCGAAAAAACTATCCTTCCCAAGCCATATTCCAGCAAGTCTTGGCGCTATCTGCACACGAGTTTCTTAGAAATACATACAACCTTTGTATAAAATGTTTGACATAGTCACTTATCTCAGGCCTAACTGGAAAAGTTGGAAGTCTTCTGAATTACCTCACTCTGTTTTCGTTTCCACTTTGAACACTCTTTTCGTCTGGGCTCTCGTGTCATTTCAACGCTCATTACCCGAACATGTATTATTTCTGGAAGAATTGTTCCAGCAAATTGTATCCACCTCCTCCTTGTTTCCTGAAATTGAGCGACTCTGAATATGTCCTTCCTTTTATTGAGTATCTCAGCACATAAAACTACACATATTGACTCCTTTCCCTCAATATTCCCTTATTTTTAATGTTATGCTAAATTCTTCGATTTGTCTTTACATAAACTATTGCTTCATGTTATTTTTCTGTTGTAGAGACTGCCTGTGTATGTGTTTAATAGTTTCTATTTGTGCTTGTTAGCAAGCGTGGTCAGCGACCACCTTTGCCAGCATGCCCCTGCTGATCCGTAAATTGACTAGTCTGCCTTTCAACAGACATTCTCCTTACCCTATGCTCGAGTGTACCCGTTCAAGAAAAAAAACCTCAGTTTCAACTTTGGCTCTCAACCAACACGAGAATTTTTTTGAGTTATTGGTCTTTTTTAGTTGGCGCCGAAGAAGTGAATGAGTAACCCATGGTATTGTGATGGTCGCCACATTCTTGTAGTTGAAAGTTCCTGGACGTCTGCTAGCATGAGGAATTGAGTCCACAGCGCACGTGAAATATAAAGATGGTTGTCATCGGGACAACCATCTACTAGCTGTCGGGAACTCAACTATGCTTAATTCTTTTTTAAGAAGTTGAACTCTGTGGTGTGTTCCGTTTTGCAGATACATACAAGCACCCCTTGCTTATCCTAAAGAAAGAGCGCGGATGCAAAATGGAGCTCAGAAGGAACTGCCTATATGTATATACGACTCAGACAGAGGTGGTTTGTTGCAAGATCCTTTTCCCTCTAGATGGTCCGAGTATTATCGCAGAAATAAACGAGAGCCAGATAATCAAAAATTAGCACCATGGGTTGAACATCATTATCATCATCAAAAACATCATCAAATACATGTAGATATCTGATAATGTTAATCACCTTACGTGTTGACAACAACTTACCGGTCTAATTTTTTTTGTTTTCGGCTAATACTGGATGTTTGCCAGATTCTTAATTCTTGAGATTTTTGCATGAATTTGGATGGCCTCACGACCACCGTCTGCCTATATTTTTTGTACCTCTTACCACTTGGTATGTAGTGGTGGGATTACAAGGATCATCAGTATGCTATGAAACTCACAACATCTATATCCTTCAACAAGGAAGGAAAGGTCCCCTTTTTAAGCAAGGGAGTCCCTGTGGGCAGGAGATTATATATATCGTATACATTACTCGTTTGGTTGACGCAGACTGTGCACTAGTCACAAAACTAGTACTGAAATAATAGTCGTTCTTGCTCGGGAAACGGCTACAATAAAAGCCTCCATCGGACGAGCCATTTTGTCTACCATGCATTGGGGCCGCAAACTGTGTCGATAATCCTCAAACCACTTCTTGTCCAACTTTGGCACATCTGGAAGTGAAGCATTTAATTGTTCCACGGACAAGCTGTCTGAGGCTATTTGATGCATCAAACCTTTTAAGGCGAGAGCGGAACCGGACCAGCCTCTAGAGATTGCGCATAAAGATTGAAAGTGAGATTTACAACAGTCACTCTATATAGGTTAGTGCCAGTCATGTTTTGGCCAGTCGTCACTACAAAGAGGAACAGGAGTTCACTGTGATTGCTAGAGCTCTAGTACGACACGGAGGCCTCGTCAGTACCGCTTCCTTATCTTTACAAAGATGTACTGCGCGTCCTTCAGCACCAACAGTTTTCACCTGGACTGAAGGTATCGTTACTGAATGTATTTTGCTCAGATACTGTACGATCCTCGTAGATCCTTGATGCCGAATTGCGTTTCAGTGTAAGAATACAGATCATCAGTAGTACTTTCTTTTCTCTTCAACTGTCTTACGAATGGAGATCAGGAGTTTGCCAACCTTTCTCGTTATTTATTCCCCTTCTCTTTCCCTCAACCACCTGTCGACGTAGAATCCAAAACTACCTCAAACAACAAGCTGACGACTGACGCTTGAAGGAACCAGAGTACATATGGGATGAAAAGAAGTATGAGCGAATCCATGAAAACTGGACTGACTAAAAAGTGACACTCTGGCCTTTGTAGCTGCTTAGGTCCAGAGACAAAGTCACACCTGCAAGAGACTATAAAAAAGAGTGGCCATCGATCAAAGTCATGAACAAAACAAATTTGGATCTGCCCTCAAGAAGGTTGGTGCAGTCCAGTGCAGCAAATGGGGCTGACATTCACCTGTACGGCGTCGAGGGCAGTTCAGCTGGTCAAATGCAGAAGAAGTCAACTCTGTGTATTCCAGATAGTCGGATAAGTGGATATGTTTGGGGCCTAGGCTCATCTTATCCCTTTGGATCCATCCATGTAGGAGGACTCCATGGCAATGTAACCTCACTTGTTGTAACTTATCAGGTTGTGACATGTTTCCATTTTTCCCTTTGTTTTATAAATACAAGGTAATTACCTTGTAATGTTACAGAAAAATTAGCTCAACTTGTATGAGTGAAACTTGGCAATTCTCTGTGCCTATGTCATGGTAAGACCCAAAACGTGTACCTTTGTAGATAATCCTTATCTACTACGAGGACTTGGTACAAAAGCAAAAAGTCTAGATTTTGTCCACGCACAAGCACCTGTGATCCGCGACCTTGACAACCGGATATCCTACTTTATGATAGCTTTGCCTCAGTTAAAGTTCAAAGATGACAAAAGTAGGCCTTGTTTTCATTACAGAGTCTACTCAATTATGAGAGAAAACTTCACACTCGGGTAGAACAAGTTCTACCCGAAAAGATACATCCGATAGAACAAGTTCTATCGGATGTATCTTCAAAAATCCAAGCAGAAGGATTGTAGGATCCCCATGAAGTCCAGTCGCACATGGATGAAACCAATGGGGTTGTATGAGTATAAGTACCAATGGAGACACAATGAGACATGTGCCCTGCTAAGAGAAATATCTCCAAACTATTTAGATTGATATATATATATATATATATATATATATATATATATATATATGTGCATAGTACAGGAACATTTCAAGTAGTGTGATGGCTGCACTATGAATTTCAACTCCCACCGAATTCTTAAGATCAACTGATATACATGGCTATTATATACTACAGACGTGATAATCATATTACTATTTCAAAGTAGACTCGATATCAATCCATGGCTATTTGTAACTTCAAGGCTAGAATAACGGAAAGTTGACCTGTGCAATATCTGTATTTCTACATACTTTGACATGTGCAATCCACACTTAGTCAGTCTATGATTGTTAATCACTGTCACCCACAAGTGTTTCATGCTTGACTATGACACTTGGTAATTTTATATACTGTTTTTTATCTCAGTGTGGTTTGATGGCAAGACAGGCCAACCTTTTTTCATATTAAAAAAATACTATTGTGTTTTGACTAATTTGTTCTATGGTATCATAGTATCATACGTAGCTTTTATTTATCCTCAAAATAAATAAGGAGTCATTTGGGCTACTTTTTAGTAATAATGCTAGTGCAAAACTTCGATTTACAGGAACAATTATAATTATTGCATAAAATTATTAAAAAAATATCAAGAGACCAAGAGTTCTTATAAATATATTAAATTGCTTCAGCAATTTTTCTTAACTTGGTGAGTAAAATTGAGTTTGACTAGAAAAACTCCCAAATAAAATATTTAAAAATAGAAAGTCTAAATTTTGAAAAAAATTATAGTTGATTAATCTTCATATCTTGATAATTAAATTATAAATTTTCATGTGAAAATGAATAAAGAAATCCTTTTTCCCTGATTTTAAGATATAAAGATTAAAAATAAGGGAAGAATCAAATTTTTTTAAAAAAATAAGAAATATATATTTGCCTTTCTTTTAAAATATTTTTGAGATTACAAGAATATTAATAATAAATAATTTATACTTCAAAAATGATAGAATAATTTATATTAGATATATATGTTTAATCTAGAAAACAAAATGACTTATATCCAAGTTTGAGTAATTTAAATTCTTAAACAACAAATGTACTTTGGATTGTTTTGATAACTGCAAGGTAAATGTTGAGATGAATTGTTGTTGATTTTGGTTCTTCTTACCCAAGATATTCTAATGTTTCCACTCAATGGTGAAGGTTTTCATAGTAGTTAAGGTATAAGGATGAGAAATCACGGGAGAAAACTTGTCATAGACCCGACATATACAACCAACTTCGGAATCCTAGTAGCGATGATTCTTTTCAACTTCGGAGTCCTAGGATATTGCCCCTCACTCTTGTCAACAACAGTTGGACACTGGTCTTGCTTTCATGAATTCTGAATCTACTGCAACCTTGTTGGAGTTTCGGTTTGAGATATTCCCTCCATTCTTATCTATGTTCAGTCCGAGAGTTTCGATCGCAACAGAATTTATGAGGAAAACAATAAAGTGAGTGATAGTTCATGAGTCTGTTTATTGAATCTACGTGACATATAAGAAGAAGATGAAACATTAAAATATTTTTATTCTTTAAAAAAATATTCATGAATCTCAATAAAGGTAAGTGACTTTACAAAATTCGTAAAGATGAGTTTGTTTGAGATGGTATTACGAACATCACTATCATGGATTTATGACACAAGCCAATCTTTATAGACTTTTAGGTTTGCTGCAATGCCAAGAAATATCGCCTTAGAATCTGATGATTGATCACTTCCAATCGACGCCGGACAAGAGGTTCACTGAAATCGAGAATTATACTCAAAGGTAGAGCAACAAGGTGTAAAAATAAAACACATGGCAACAATACAATATATGAAACCAACACTTAATGGCCCTCCAAGGTATATACAACAAACCTGCTCAGAGCTATGAGCGGTGTACTACCACGAGGTGGGCCGGCTACTATGGAGGTGAGAAAGTACTTGGGCAAGGCAAGTGAACAACCGTCGATCAAGCCCATTGCCAGAGGGTTCTTCCATCTCGAAAGCATTGACGACAAGTTTTGACGTCGAATGTTTTTTACATGATCATGAATCGGTTGCGGTTGCCGCCTTTGGAGTAGAAAATGACGTCGGTCGTATTGTTTATTTAAGAAATGTGTCGAAGGAATGGAAGGAAGAGAGATGCAGGCCGTGCAAAAGGAACGAGCGAGGGATCTCGCGTGCATGAGATCCACGTTACATTGTTGCCCTTTTGACGGCCCTCCACCGAAGGGAAAGGGAAACGCAACAAGACACGACCGTGCAAGCGACAGCGCCTCAAGCAACCGCTCTTTTTCTTCGATTGGGAAGAAAAATTCTCGGAGCGAGTCCGAGAATTTCTTTTTTCCGTGTGTCCTAGAACCGGATCGACGTCTTCGGCTGAATCGGTCGAGTGGTTCAAACCCACCGGCTGCATGCACCGAGGATCGAGCAGATGGAGCGTCTTTCGATTCTCGATTGGGAAATCAACACAAGTACGATCGTTGTCCTTGATATATTCCGTGACACAAAGGCTGCACTCCACTCCACTCCACTCCACCGCCTCCGTACCAATGCAATGTAATGCAAAGCAAAGCAAACTGGGTTCGTTCCTCCGAACGCACTCTTGCGCATAATTTGTGTACTTTCGGGATCGTACTTTTGTACATTGGGGTTCATGACGTGAAATTGAGATTCCGCTTCTCCTGATGCGCAGTTCGTTTCTCGCTTAGTCCACGCCCTCAGAATCACGATGGAATTACGAAACCGGGTGTTCGTGCTGTGACAGTTTAGAACAGTGTGAAGGCTGCTGTGCAGTAAACTTTGAATATGAGACGGCGGGCAGTGCGGTGGCGTTTACGACAGGAAAAAGCTGCAAGGGCGTGGCAATTTGACGGACGGAGCTGAGTGAGGAATCAATCCATCATTCACAAGCAGAGACGACCGGGCTCGTGCTACGGAAGGAATCGGAACGTAAAGCTCGTTGAATTTAGACCGTGGCTGCGGCAACCGAAAGAAAGAGTAAAAGTCACAGCGAGCGGTGTCAACGAAGGCGAGACGACGATGGGAATACATCATCATCATCATCATTACCGCGACCTCGACCTCGACCTCGACTCGACCTCGCTCGATCGATGCACCACATGCAGGAAACTCGTCCTGCCTTCGGCCGCAAGATTGCTCCGGAAGCTTCAGTGCTTCCTTTCGCTGCTCCGTGTCCACCAGCCCCGACTTTCCATTCGTGCCCTTTGACCGCCGTGAAATTCACTGCCCCTTTCGAAGATGTCGAGCTCTCGAGCCTCTCGTCCTTTACACGTCGGCGGCCACCTTTGCCAGAACTTTCTTGCGTAGAGATTTTCTTCGACCCGCATGTCTCTAGAGTCTAGGCTTATTATTGCTACCTCGAGAGTGGAGTATTATTTTGCATGTGCCTCGTATTCTTAGCCCATCGTATTTGTGCACGCTTACTGTACATACATTCTGGACCATACTCTGAAGATTACTGTACATACTCTGGACCATACTGCCTGCCCACTACTGTACTGTACACTTTCCCGAGTAAGCTAAAATCATGCACTCGGAAAGCAATGAATCATATATAACATTCCATGCATTGAAATAACCGTCTTACGACATACACGTTCTAATGGGATGATTCGAAATCAATTGTGAAATATAAAGAAACAGTCCCAGTCCTGCAGTATTAAAAATGTTTAGAAATGCAGTTTTGAATCGTTTTGTTTCTTTCCCTAGAATCATAGAATGGATTTATTGAGAAAGATTGTTTCCCAATACTATTGATTATTCACACATTCATAGATTGAATTTCATAATCATGCTTAAATGTTTATTGATTTTTTTTAAGCTAAACATGTTATGGATGGGTCACTAGCAAGAGCAAACATAAAGCCAACAAGGGAATAGATTTATGATGTGATCTCCTATACATATGCGTTTTCATACTGTGACAAATTAATCAACTTTACTAATCATGATTAAACTATCAAGAATTGAATCAACATCTGAATTAACCACTAAGATATTTTCCATTAACTCATGACTTTTGTATCTAACTTTTATAACATATAGATTTATTTTGCAATAATCTATGAAAGAAAACTTGACAAATACTTATCTAGGAATTAGAGCTAATTTGAATTAACCTTAATCAAGATAAATTTTATATATATCTATATATAATTAAATTTTTACTAAATTCAATTTATATTCATTGTGGAATAATTTATTAAAATTCTTCTAATACTCATTAAAAAACTTGATCAATATATTAATTAGATTGAAATTATTATCAATTTTATTTTCTTAATTTTTTTAATAGAAATTGTGTCTTTAATACAACGATACTTGATGATGTGCTTCACTTTATTATTCATCATTTGATATTCTATAAAAATGTAATGTATTTTGGTTATTGTGATGAAGATTAATAACATAATGTTTTAATATCATATCAATCATAATTATGTGCTGTCAAATAACTTTCATTTGTGATGAAGATTCATAACATCATGTTTTGATATCATATCAATCATGATTATGTTCAATCAAATAACTTTCATTTGTGATAAAAATTCATAACATCATGTTTTGATATCATATCAATCATAATTATGTTCAATCAAATAACTTTCATTGTTGATTTTGCTACCGTTACGTATTTGATTTTTTAGAATTGATAACGCTACACAGTTTTGTAAAGTACATTTTCAACTCATTTGAATTTTTAGATATGATCTTATCTTGATTATTTTTATCGAACTTCGTTTGTGTATATTAATTCAACAAGTCTCCTCGTGGCATGATCTTTTCTTCTCTGGAAAAGATCCTTAGTTTTTTCTGCTTGTATGTAGATCATGATTTGTTTAACGTCTTTTTCATTTGAACTTTGCATTTTTTTCAATTTGTTTGGATCTAAAAAATGTAGAGCTTTGCAATTTAGCATACTTCTAAGTATTACCTCAATCTTGTGTTTTACAAAACTTTTTGATAGTAATACTACATTTTAATTAAATGACATCTTTATACTTTAAAGAATGTTATTAAACAAAATCAAAGTTCATTCACAATAAATCCTAACAATATCTCTTATAAGTCTCAAAAAAGAAAACATCATTTCTACAAAAGTACTTTATACATCACAAGAAGATGTCAATATTTATTTTTGTGTTTTGGCTCAATTTCAAGTGTTGTTTTGATTTCATTTGAAGTTATTTTTTAATGATGGAGTATCTTGGATCAATGAGGTTTCTTTTGATAAATTTTTCAAAACTTTGTGGTTTTTTGGCAACTTGCTTATCACATTTGATAAATATAATTGATAATTATAGAACTTCACAGTACGAGCTATTGATTAGCTTAAAAATCAAGTATTCTAAACAAGAAAAAATTAATTTATAAGATGTTAAAGTAGATTTGATATTTTTTAATTAAAATTGCATGTTTGCACAAGGATTGTCAAAATTTTTACACAATAAAAATGAGTTTTGTTACAAATGCATTTTTTGAATAAATTTTTCTTTTGGATTAAATTTGAGTATAAATCGCAATATTTCATGACTCTTGATGTAGACTTCAAATTAATCATAAAATTTCATAACTTTCATCCATAGTAGTGATCATACACAAACTCCTAAACATCTAATGGAAGTTCAAATTAGCGTGAAAAAGGTTGATGAAAATGCAATTTTGTGCATGTAGATTTGATGAATTCAACGTTGCAATCTGAAATTTCATAGATGCATAATGCAATTGTCAAAAAAATCATTCATTTTTATAATCATTGCATCTTCATTAAATCAATCTCAAGTATAACAACATGTAAAACAACATGTTTAAAAACTTTTGAATTTGATTTCATGATCTATGATTTTTCAATCATTTTGCTATCAAACATTGTCACACAAAAAACATTAATGTCTTGCACAAATACAAAGAAGCTTGTTGGTGATCGTTATGCCATCGATCTAGCATAATCATATTTCCATGATAAATACCAGCTATGACGAGAAAATTAATCATGGTAAGAGAATTAGAAAAAAAGTTAAGAACTTTATGCGATGTTGTTGTATTTTTGCCTTTCTCAAAACATGCATATCACCAATTTCATGCTTGAAGTTGAGATAGTTATTGTTCAAAGGGAATCAACATGGTGACATGATAGGATTTTTAGAAATAAAGGATGATTAATTAAGAAATTTCAAGTTCACATGTCCAACACATATCTTCAACACATTTTTTGCATAACAACTATGCCATCGTTGAGATGTGAAAGCCTCACCACAAGAACCTAATTGCTATTTCTACCCAATCATGATGATTCACACATCAAAAGATCTGGTGAAAAAAATCTACTTTATTTCAATATAAATTCTTAGGTATTCATTGCATTCAAAAGCAAATATACTATCAACAAACAATTATAGGGTTCATCATTGGATATTGACTTTAGAAAAATATTTCAAGTTTTATTCATAAATAACTAATTGTGGCATTAAGAGTTTAAATGATTTTCTTGTATTATGATAAATTAACTAAACAAACAAACTAAAATTAACACACTAGAGTGAAATCAAGATCTGAATTAAGTTTAATAATATTATGGCTAAATTCAACTCATATGTATATATATATATATAAATATATAATAAAAAAAAGCTCAATATAAAAGAAAAATATTTTATTAAAAAAAATAAGGATATAAGGTTTAGAAAAACTTCTCTAAGATATGATGAATTTCTATTTAAAAAAATTTCTCTCTAAATTCTAATTCATCAAAAATTATAAATCAATCATATGAAATATAATAAGAATTCGATATTTAAATTTTAAATTTTTCGAATAAATCTTTTGAAATTTTTATGAAAAATGTAAAGGGCAAAAATTTTTATTCAAGTTTTTTTACAAAATCTAATAACACAGTCATAACTCGTTTGGAAGTTTTTACATCAAACTCATTGCAAGTTCTATCTTCAACAAAACTTCTATCAAAATATCACCTTTCATTCAAGTAGTTATTGAATCCTTTGCAGGCTTGTATTTAGCTACAATTGTGCAAATCATAGTATGTGCAACAAATTTGAATACTTATATAGTCTTTCCAAGAAAATTATACATGATATGTCCTCTTAGAGTGCTTCGTGGAAGATAAGTTACATATCCTCTGTCTCTCTTGGACTCCTGATTTAATGCGCACATAAAATCTCCTTATGGAAGAGTCTAATCGGCATTTAGCCAGTACAGCTTTGAAAAGCTAATATCTTTTCTACCAATATTCATAGTAGCTCTCAAAGCTATTAATTTTTTGGTAGCCTACGCACTCTTGTAAAATCTGCTGTCAAAACTCAAATAATAATTTATGTTTTCAAAAATTTATAGTTCATCTAATAGCTTTTATTTCAATTAGTTTGAAATTTGAATTATTTCTAAAACATAAATTATGCAAACATTATTTATTTTTGTTAAACATACTTCAAGAAAATAAAAATAATATTGCAAAGACAATTTGTTTTCTGCTTTATTAGATTTTTCTGTAACTAATAAAATAAGTCTTATAATTAATCTTCTGAATTTATAAATATGTAATCATTTTTCCAAAGCGTAAATATAAAAGATTTTTTATTTTTCAAATAGAAAATCTAAAGATTCTAATAAGCACTAAATCATTGCCGATGACAAAATTTTTTATTTCTTTTAATATAAAAATTAATAATTGTAATAAATTAATAAATTTTTCATCATAATATTTTTTATCACACAAAAAAATTAGAAAATTAAAAAAAATGAAAACGTGCCGAAACTAAAACATCTTAACATACTAAACTGTATTTCAAGATTTATATAGAATAATATTGTAAGTGCAAAATTTTCAAATATCACGAACTTTCAATATAAAAAAATTTAATGATTATAGGTTACCACATAGTTAGTTTAGGGTTTAAATAAAGTAACAAAAAAGAATAAATTTATTTTTGTTTTAATAACATTTTTCAAAAATCAAAAATTAAAGACATGTTGATCCATTCATTTGATCATATATATATATATATATGTATTTGAAAATAAATTAATTTGATCAAATAAATTGTAAATTTTTTTATATTTCAATTTTTATAAATCTTAAATATTTTTCTTTAAGAATTTTTCCAAATTTTTTTCTGAATCTCATACAATTATCAATTATTCAAAATCATAAAAAATCTCTACCATAAGGCTTTATCCACAATGAAGGAAGCAGTCCAAATTTTACAATAGGGTTATAAAACATAACCAAGATTCAATAGTAGTTATGACTTTATCTAACGCTATCTAGATACGAGACTTGCCTACGATGTATTTCATGATGAACTTCCTATACTAAGTATTCTTTGCGTTATGTGTACAATAACCTTTTCAAGTGTTTGTCAGTTCATCTACTTTTTTCTCACTTATCTCCCTTGAACTGAATGTATATCACATTATATTCTTTGATTATAGTATCTTGAACATCAAGATACCAAGACCTTTGAGTGTGTGACAAGAGACTTGAAATGAAAACATAAATGACTGATAATTCAAACCTAAAGAAGATATTTCTTTTGTAGATGTAGAGGATAGCATTATATTCTTTAAGTACTGAGTGTAGAGAGAGATGGATCCTTTTTATATATATATATATATATATGCAGATAATGTGAATTTTGATTTACTTCTGTTATATATACCGTTTTATCTGAAATTACATATCCAGTCAACGCATTTTCTTTCTTCATTGATTGGACTAGTGGTCTACGGTCTTACTTGATAAGAAAAAGTCAACACTTTTTACATTCTTTCTTAGTCATTCGCCTATACTATTCTCTCGCAAGGATGCTTTTCTTTAGGTCCTATATACCAATTCCTAGAGTTTACATCCTTGTTCCCAAAAGCTTTGAATGTCCACCTATCGAATAGCTACTTTGACATGGAAGTATATTATGCACACTCACACACATGTCCATCTGAGAGTTAGCGAGAGACGAGTATACTAGATGACTAGAGCATCACTATAGAATGAGTGATGACTAGAGTTCACTCTCTCACTCTTTCTAGAAGTGATTCTCCTCTCATCCTCTTCTCAATGATCCTTGACTTATTCTATAGCGTTTTTTAATCAACATGTATGGACTGCTCTATATATTGGACCACCTAGGGCATCCACAAGAAGAAGCAACCCTTTTGATTGAGGCTTATGTGATATTAATGTGGTATCAACATGTATGGACTGCTCTATATATTGCACCACCTAGGGCAGTCCACAAGAAGAAGCAACCCTTTTGATTGAGGCTTAAGTGATATTATTGTGGTATGTAGACATATATAACTAAATAGTAAGGAAATCTTTCATCAAAAGAATATTTTCCAATTGTGATGATATAGGGCCTAGCCAAGGGGTTTCGTACATTTCATATTTGATGGCCCATCCTTTTTTGCTTAATATTTATCATGCTCTTCTTTGCTCATTTTGACGATTCAGCGGCTAGAAAACCACTGGTTTGTCCCATTTTTATGCCACCGGAGCATATCTCCAGCTGCATACATGATCGGTTTGATGAGGTCACATCCTCAATTAGATCATTCCGTTGCTAGAAAGTCGATTTGGTTCGGCTGAAAGGTCTTGTGTTGATATGATCCAATGTCAACCGTGTAAAGGCTTGAAGCTCAAGAGCATTTCGTCCACGGGGTCCCTTTTAAGGTCCCGTCCCCAAAGTACACAGGATTAACCTAAAGTTGTCGGGGAAAGAGGAAATAATTTTGCGGGTTAGATGGGTGTCAGGCATCTTTCGGTGGCTCTATTCATGTTCCCTGTGCCACATCTTTAAAAACAATCTTGAGAGAAAGAAAGAGGACTTTGAGAATACTTCTTGTCTACCGGAAGTCAGTATTAGTCATGCACGGTCATCACGTTTGCATCGAATAAATCGCAATAAATCGCAAGCGCTCTTAACAAACATCAGATCCCTCGTACTTCCGTTCACATTCAAAAAGTATTGCGCACCAATTTTAATTATTGTATACAAATATTTCTTGCACATGTTTTTGTGTTTATGTTATTCCTCGAATTACTCTATAATGGCGAGAGACGCGGAGGTGCTTAAAGTTGATTCGGCTACTTTCTATTTCGGCCCGTGTTTTATATCGCGACTCGAAGATCTTCACGTTGTCTATTAAACATGACTATTATTCATGACGATCCACAATCTGGGAAAAAAGCTCAGAGTCTACAATAGGTGACCGTGAGTGAGTGCAGGCGACTTCTCTAAGCCTACGTTCATCGTCTGATTTTGGGGATCTGTAAAGGCATAAACCATATGTAAGCAATGACGTTCGGTAAGGCCTTCATGGAGATGAACATGCCCAAATTACTGGATGAAATTGGCTGAGCCATCACGGATTGTTCAGTTGCCAATCTCGAAGGTCCATCGCGCTGGATGGTGACGGTGGCAAGAGCATGAGTGGGGCAAGGGGGACGCAGGAGAACTACGCACGAGGACTTAGACGAGCTCGATCAAGTCCAGAACTTATTTGGACCGGACGGCCTGTCGAAGCTCTGGACCATGACCCTAAATAGAACGACTCTATAGCATATGGATCTGATATTGGTAGTTTGGTCTCGCGGTCTTTTGGTCTAATAAATCGTAGTCTACTGCAGTGGGAGAGCGTTGAGCAATTTTAGGTGCTCCACTGTTCCAGATTCAGAACCTGTGAAAACAGCACAGACACACATAAGGACATAACTCTTTATACCCCATGTTTACTCGATCATGCGTTTAGTATAGAAAATGTTTGCATCATCGCCAAATCATGGAGATGGACCTGCAGAGCGAGTCTGCGGTGGATTGTAAGAAGTGTATGAAAATTCTGTGAAGGGGTGTCAAGCCAATCACCGTAACCTTGTTTGACTTCACCACGACACAGTCAGTGGTGGTAATCTAGCAGTCGTTCACACTTAAGTTGTGTGAACGACTGTTTAGACAGGGAATCGATGGAAACAAACTCTTGTGAATCTTGTGATTCTTTTGAAAAACCCGTGTAAACCAAAGAGGTCCCTGGTGTGGTGTGCCTGTACATAAACACCTAAGCCTACCAAGACTCAGATATGGTATGAATCCCCTTTCGCAGAAGAGGCCATGAAAAGTCGAAACGAGTTGAGACTTGTGTTTGGGGTGTGAGCATGTATAATTGGAAACTGAAGCTACGCAAAGTCAACTTGGATAGGTAAACGCTCGATCAAATACAATGATAGTAGTACAGCGACGCACAGGACTATGTCACAAATTCTCGAGAAGAGGTCCATCCAATTGTTTTTTTGGAGGACATTATCACGAAACGTGTATAACGCAAACTATAAACTTGCTAAAGCTTATTTGATTAGTAGTCAAATTATATTCTCAGCAATGTTCCCAGTAAGTGCCATTTGCGAGCCAGTCAACGAATCATATTGCTTTGTCGTTTTGAGATGTCGTTTGTGGAATCTGATTGTCCGCTTATCGTCTAGCTCTCCTACTTGTCCTGGCAGAAAGAGACCACCCACATCCACTGAGATACCAGAATACTGTGCTGTGTACTGTATCGATGTTCAGACGAAATGGGATTTATGAACTTGTGGACAAAGAGCCCAAAAAGCACATCGTAGTCTGCAAACAGGGAAGTTTGCAACAGAGCCCGAAGCGGCCAAAATCCCTTACATGGAAGAACATCGAAAATCCTACAGATAAATCTTTTCCTGACAATGTTCTCACGATGCCGTAACAGGGTGAATTGAGCAATTTCGTCACAGCTGACGGTGGTAGTGCTTGACTGTTCGTCAGTACATCGTTCCGGAGCATTTCATTACATTGAATGCCCATTCGTTCGAACATTCAATCGTCGATCGTGTGCAGGATATAGTTGCAAGATGCAGGTCGGCGATGGGGTCTTCCCATCGTTTTAGCTATCCACTTGGCCCCTCTTTCTCCTCGCGATGTTCTTTACAGAGACCCCTGAAGAGTGACTTCCGATGCGAATGTGGTGCTTGGGCTCTTAAGATACTTGCTCATCAATCGAGCTCAATTATAACTACATGCATAGTCGTCGAGATGCTCCCAAAGGAAATTGAAAGAAGGTTTAGAGAGAATCTAATGTCAATTTCTCTCATCGTATTTTGTGCACTTCCGTGTAGTGGCGGAAAGTGCCAGTAAATATATGGCAAAGTTGTGTTTCTTATGAGTGACAATAATTACTGGGCGACCTCGTGTTTGGCACGGTCTTCCCAAGTCAGGCACTGTCAGGGGAGGCCCTCACTATGTCCCCGTGACTGGGCAGCAAAGTCGACCGAAAGAGGATGAGGCGACGACATGTATAGAGATTTGGAAATTTGTGAAGTGAACTTTCCTGCACACTTAATGGCAAAGTTACCGAACGCGTCACACTGCTATCTAAAAACTACGAGGACATCACAAGGCGATCCTCGGTTTGTCTCGATCGCCATCGTCCCTGAGACACAAGCGGAAATGCAGCAGGAAACTGAACAAACAAGAGTACATCGATGAATGATGAAAAGAGCCCAAAAATCTGATCTCACGTGTTGAAATGAAATGTGACGAGCATCGAGGGTCGAGCGTCGAGTGGTGGATAATTATTATTGCATTAGCGCAGAGCATTTTTTTCTTCGGAGTCTACGTACAAAACTGGAGATTACCGGGCAAACAGGATGATTTTTTTTTTCCAGTGGGGACCATTGAGGTCAGAAATGAGCCTGTTGAGAACCCCGTCGAGTTTCAATCTACTAGCTTGAACTTTGCCAAGTGGTGACGGGAAAGACCAGAGAAACTGTTTCTGAATCACACGACCGATTGCCCCCATGGGCTAACCGATCCATCTGTACAAGGGGCAACAAGGAAATACCTAAAAAATAGTCTACGAGCACTTCTAGCTGCAGGACGTGGCCCGCAGCCCCATGCGATCTATTTGTGCAGTCTTGAAATGTTCCAGAAGCAAATTGTCTGCAAATCTCCGTGCTACTGACAAGCCGGAGGCAAAAGAATTGAAGGGGATGTCGATGTCGATGTCGATGCCGATGCCGAAGCCGAAGCCGAAGCAGATGCAGAAACAGAAGCAGGAGCCAATAGCGAGCGTGCTGTGCTGTGCATCCTTCCTACCTGCGGGGCGTGATCCTGGCTTTCAAAGGGGTGGCCATGACGACGGTGAACTCGAGTTTCTCGGAGAAGTCGACCTCCTCGCCCGGGTTCGGCGTGGTGAATTCGAAGTTTTGGATCAGGCGCGAGAGGATGAGGTGCGCGTGCTTGAGACCCAGGCTCATGCCGGGGCAAATTCTGCGGCCTGCGCCGAACGGCATGAATTTCAAGCTCTCGACTCCGTGCGACGCCGTCATGTCGTAATTGACGTTGTTATTGAGGAAGCGTTCGGGGTCGAACACCTCGGGATGGTCCCAGATCGCAGGATTGTTCTGCATGGCTTGGATGTGGAAGAGTACGAAGGCCTCCTCTGGAATGTCGTAGCCTCCGAGCTTGCCCTGCATCGAGAGTCCGTGCGTGATTCCGAAGGGCAAAGCAGGGTGCTTCCTCAGAGCTTCTTTGATCACAGCTTGCAGGTATGGCATCTTGTCGACATCGTGCTCGCTCACGGGCGACGTCCCGCACACTCTCTTGATCTCCTGGAAGAGCTTGTCCTGGATTTGCGGGTACTTGATCAAATTGGCCATGGTCCACTCGAGCGTGTTCGCCGTCGTGTCCGTGCCTCCGGTGAGAACCTCCCCGATCAAGCCCAGCACGTCATTATCTGCGAGGTTCATCTCCTTCTGCAGAACGATCAGAGAATCCACGTAATCTCCCTTGGGTTGCCCCTTGGCTCGCAGCTGCTTGTGCTCCTCGATCAGGGGCGCGAACAGGTTGCGCATGCGACCCAGCAGGCCTTGGCACATGGGCTTGTGCTTGGAGAAGGGCTGCAGGAAGGGCAGGAAGTCGATCACCTGCGGCGCCAGGATGACGAGCAGGGCCTTGAGGATCCTGTCGAGCTCCTCGACGGTGGAGTCTGCGAATCGCTCGCCGAAGCACACGTGCAGCAGGATGCTGAAGACAGTGTGGCGGCAGTGCGAGAGCACGGTGACGACGTCGTCGTTGCGGGCCGCCTCGTCCTTCACTCGGGTGATCAGAGTCTCCAATTCCTCCTCACGGAAGGGCAGGAACGAGGCGACCTTCGAGGTGGACAGCGCATGCGTCACCAGGTTCTTGCGGATGCCTCGCCAGTAGGGGCCATACAGGGCAGAATTCACGCTCCTCCATCCTGTGAAATTCAACCTCGACAGCAGCTTGGGCCGCGACGAGAAAGTCTGCACGTCCTTGATCAGAGCCTCGTGTGTCAGCTCGGGCGAGGTCACCACGATGAAATACTTCCAGCCCGTTTTCAGACTGAAGATTGGCCCCCATTCCTTGGACATCTCCGACAGGATGACATGAGTCTTCGGCCCTCTCGTTCGAAACAGGGTTCCCACAATCGGCAGCCCCTTGGGTCCGGGCGGCATGTTCAGCTTCTTGGCACCGAAGACTCGGTTCAAGATGAACGTCAGCACCACCAGAACCACCGTCGCCACGATGAATGTCGGAAACGCCTTGGAGGCATCGAGCTCCTCCATCTCGAGGGTGCTACCATTCCCCTCCGCCATAATCACGACCCTCTCCTATCAGTGGCTGCGATCCCAGCTCTACCGTCAAATTTCCGATCGATCTCGAAAGCACAGAGCAGATCTGCTCTTATTAAACCTCCAGCTCTCTTCCACTCCCTCTCCCTCTCTCTCTCTGGCCACAATCTGATGTCGATTTCTAAGACCTGTCCCCAGAACGTACGAGTCGGATCGACTAGGCAGCCTCAGCAGCTGCAGCAGGAACGAACTTAATCAATTCTTCCAACTATTTTTTCTGTCCAGTGCCACGGCCGATGTACTGGAGTGAGAGGCGCAGATCTAGACAGTTTTTCACAGGTTTTTGCCCCGAGGGATGGATGGGACGAGATTCGACAGGAAACAGGTCCACTGAGCAGCGCTCCCACTCGCAAGCTAGCAAGGGCCTCTCGGGGTTCGACTCTGAGCTGCTTCGTGAAAAGTGGGAGCTTCCGGACCTCTTAAACCCGAATCTGAGGGACACCCCGGCGAGAGAGCGGGTGGGTGAACACGTAACCTTGCCGGTGTGGACGACTCTTGCTCCGCACCATCTCACCATCGCACCGCGAGCATGCACTGCTGCTGCTGCGAATTGTATGTCTGCGAAGGACGGGGCATCGTAGACTCGACGACCGATTCTCCTCCAGGAATCAAAGTCAACCTCGAGAGCCCGAACAAATGGCAAAGCGGGCTAAAATTGGAAAATTTATTAATTGGAGAACGACCATCCTGCCCGCACCATCATCCACCGCCTCGGCGATGCAGTCCAAATTTTACTCGTGTATGGAGAACCCGAGAATTGGTCAACTTGATGCCTTTTCCTCGATCGTGCCCGGTAAACTTTCTCCACTCGGCCCCATTCCACCGATTTCGTAATTTCCTTTCCATCCCTTTCCTTCCCTTTCCTTTCCTTCTCTCCCTTTCCGAGGAGGCTTTTCCTCTCCCTCCATCCATTCTCTCTCTCTCTCTCTCTCTCTCTCTTCGTCCGAAGCTCGGACACAGCAAAAAACGGTCAACTCAACCCGTTCTGGCCAACGGAGGGATCTGCTTACAGCCGTCCGATGCGTACGTGGGTATCACATAATGAGGACAAAACCCGCAACATGTCAACTACGAGGAGGTGCCCGTTCTCCTTCCCCCTCCCTGCAGCCGGCTACGAGTCAACGTGCAGTTGGGCACATGGCAACCGACCTGGTGACGGCTCCGGCCGGGACCTGGTCGAGTATGCGAAACCGGGACTCGAATTGGCGATGGGATGGAATGGGATGGATGGGAAGTCTGGGGAGTGATCCTCACTGTTGCGGCCGCGACGATCAATCGACCAGTCACCCGGTTCAGAAATTGCCGATCGTGTTTCGGGCCGGGATCCAGCGAACACTGTGTCGAACATGGCTTGCCTCGGGGCCCACTGATCGAAACGCTTGTCACGCTTTTTATCTTCACAATCTCTCCCTCGTTTCAGTCGGGGCCGTCTCACTCCTCGTCCGACATTTGCGCGCTCCCTTCGCACAATCTTGCGAAGATATTAGCCACCGAGTGCAGATGCTGTGAGTTTCAAAAGCGTTCGACTAGAATTTGGTGTATCCGGTCTCCCCGAATCAAAAGGTGTGACACTGTTGAGCCATGTCCTGCATTGTGATATTCCCAGACACCATGGAGGACCGTTCGCTGACTACTATATTGTGATCTGAATCCAGATTCACCTTCCACGTCCATGTGATCAGGAGGGAGGCATTCTTTCGAATACAATTGACGAGGTGCGCCCTTCCCCTCCAAGTATTGTTTTACATGCTAAAGTAATGCGAGGAAAATTATTGACACTGGAAAGGTGTCATATACCATTGCAGAAGCATGGAGATTCAACCTCATTCATTCACGTTCATTCATATTCTGCATGGTCGTGAAGGACATGAGATGCACAAGAGGAAGGTGGTACTTCTATGAATGGCCCTTGAGAGCACGATGATGTAAGAGCCCATGACGAGTGTTCTTCACACATATCTTGATGCGTTACTCTTATGTCTAATGAAATATGCTCGACGGAAAAGGACATCGCTAATCTTTAATTCGGGGGAAAAGGTACACCCTCCCGATAATGCTGAAGGTGCTATCTACGACTCGTTCTTTTTTATTATTTGGAAAGAATGAGTTGATAATTTTAGCATTACATTTAAAGAATATTATTTCTATGAAGAAAAATATAACAAAAATCAAATTTTTGTTAAATTCATATATGAAAAAACACCTTTTTAAGTGCTTTAGTATAGATGTAAGTATTGTCATGTGAAAAGGAAAACAGACAAAAATTAAATTTGAATAAAGTAGCACGATTTTGATAACAAGAGTTATAGACTTGAGTTTCTATCTTGTTTATTTATTATTTTTTAGAATGGAATAATATCTAAATTTCATAAGGATCTCATTTTGTTGTAATGATGATGCAATATTTATAGTAAACATATAAATTGTAGTGATTGCGGCAACCTACAATATATATGATGAAAAAGAATATTTCTTAAATGTTTGCGGCAACCTACAATATATATGATGAAAAAGAATATTTCTTAAATGTTTGCAGCAACATACAATATATATAAGATGAGAAATAATGTTTTAAATACTCGAGAAGAACGTATTTCTTTGTTGTTTCTAAGTCGACCTAAAAATTCTCATAATTACAAGTTTTTTGGAAGCTTCGTAAGTATTCTGAAATATATATTCCGATTTTTTCCGCAGTCTATTTTTATACTTTAGATAAGCTATTTCTGATGATTGAATCGAAATCTTGGAAAATTAGAAAAGTTAACATATTTTACAGATAAAAGTGATGAGAATAATCGCAACTTCTACTGTGTAGGTAAGGAGGAAAAAGTGAAATAAAATGACCATGGGGCCGACTGGATATCATGAAAGCATAATAAATGCAGTGAACAAGAAGAGAGGCATGCAGGAATAAAGGGACTAGGTGAGCCAAGAGTGACATGGATTGGGAAAAAGTAAGACGAAACCCAAATACTCAATGGAAAATCCAAGCACTTTGTCCACTGCCGGACAACCAAACATATTGAGGAGCAATCTATTACTAGCTGACCCAAGGCCTACAGAAACTAAAAAATCGCACGACAAAAATTCAATGATTAGAGCCAAGAAATGTTATCCGGCTAGATATTTGTGTCATGGAGGAAGAGAGTATGGACTAATCGCATCAGCTGTCAAACTTTGTCCTCCAATTGTTGACTTTGTGCTGAATGTGAGCTAAAAACAACGGGAAGTCTTCGAAAAGATGTCTACCTTAGAGGAAGTAGATAGAGAAAAAAAAAAACGTCCACGTGAGACACCCTTCTAATCCCACTCCTCAATCCTGCTGGAAGAAACTGTCGGCCTCGTGAGAGGACAGAGATTTGTTAAGAGTCACCTCCTTCGAAACTATATATTGTCGCGCTCTTCTCGTGAGACACTGCGAGCCTCAGCAATGGGGCCCTGCAGCTGCAACAGATGATGAATCTGGTTAAAGGTTGAAGATAGGCTCGTTACTTAGATATTTCCAAGAGCTGCAACAGATGGTGAATCTGGTTAAAGGTTGAAGATAGGCTCGTTACTTAGATGTTTCCAAGAGCTGCAATAGATGGTGAATCTGGTTGAAGGTTGAAGATAGACTCGTTATTCAGATTTTTCCAAGAGCACCGCGAGAGGCATTTTCCCGCACACATTTTGGCATATTGACGATGATATTAGAACTTTTGTGGAGAAACTCTTTTCTGGTTCGAGTATGTTAAGTGTGCAGAGCGTGGCGGCCACTAATTCACGCATCTACCAGTTCCACGCACGCACCACGCACGTGGAGGTCACCGAGCGAGAGTTTGCATGCACGGAAAATGAAAACCCAAGGCTTGTCGTGGAAATGAGTCGAGTTTAAAATAATGTTCGATGGCATCGAAGGGTTTGGGAGAGATGGTCATTATTTGCAACCTAAGCTACCTAAAATCGTTATATAAGCACACTCAGACCGGCTCACCTGCCGGTCTGAGTGTGCTTTCGAAACTCCTGCGGTCGTCGCAGGAGTTTCGAAAGTCCTTGGCTGGGGACGGAGCTCAAGCTTTGGACTCATTCGTGACAGCGGTGCGCAAGTCCGCCCGCGATTGCTGAGTCTAATGGGGTAGTGAATGCAACTTCACGTCGCCCGGTTCTAACAGATGAGCACAATTTCAACTCACAGGGACTCGTCCGCTGACCAGTTCCGTGCACTGGTGTCATGTGAGGTGAAAGAGTAAGCACACGCTGTTCTTGACCTTTAGCTGCTTATGGGCCGGCCGTTTACTTCCTCGTACTCCTAATCCGTAAATTCCCTTTCCTGTTTCATGTCACGGGGTAGATTGTTGCTGTTGCTGAAGCGAGCTTTCACCTCTGAGAGACTCCATCATTGATCCCGTTTCTAATCTCCTATGTCGGAAGCAGACACCGGCGGATTCAAGCTTGACCAGCGCTCTTGGATATCGCCCTTCCTTGATGTGCACGTTCTCGTGAACCGACGGACGAACCTTCGCTCACCCTCGCCGGCAGAAGATCTGGTCGAGCTGAAGGTTTGAGTAAACGCGTTTCGTTGGATTCTCTACTTTAGTTTGAGATGTGGTCAGACGGCAGTTCCCAGATACGGTTACTAAGTCACAAAATCTTTGACGTTCTTACACCTATTCAATCAGATCAACTCGGCAAACTCCAATTCATCAGAACAATCTTCCTCTGATAATAAGTCGTTCATTACAATCTTGCACTGAGGAGATCTGAATAAACGAAGAGATGTGATTCATTCTCGCCACCATTGAAGATTCAAGGTCAATCGATGGTCGATGTTAAACGGTATCGAAGACTCTGACACTTTCCAGTTCCACCTCAAGAGCTTTGGAACTCCAATTAAAGAGATTCATACCGAACAGAATCGAGGTACATCGTACACCACCTGCATGCACCAAAAGCTGGAGCGTCCCTCGCACTTTAATTAAGAACTTTAATTCTTCGTACCCAGAAAAACTGTTGAAACAATTCCAGTTTGCTGGAACTCTGCCCAGGGTTCAAACTGTGAGTTGAAGAATTACCGAAGACTCTTGTCTCGAGGTACAAGGAAGTACTGGGCAGTAAAAATCAGGTCTGCTGGCGTATAGCAAAGGGTTCACTGGCATGTCGTCAGCAGCAGGGCAGGCCAAATGGTGGTGACTCTACTGTACAATCCGCACCTTTGGGACGACGTACACGCACTATCGTCGTACGACTCGCGTGGTTGACATTCAGAAACTCTGTACGATCGTGCGAACGTCTGCAATGTACTTCTGCCTCGAGTTCTTCGACAGATCGTCCCTTCCAACCGGAGGACTCTTCACAGCGTTGGTTCCCGAGTCCCGTTCGAGCTCAAAAGCTTGGCTTGTAGGACTGCGCATGTGGCTTCTACTGACAGTCTTCAATGGGCTTTTTCACCACAGCAGCGGCACCGTCATTTAGATCGTGTGTTGCTAGCAGATGGGCTCGGATGGGGACGTGCATAACTAGCTGCTGATCGAAATCAGGCTGTGTAAATTGAAGGGTAAGGAAGAGCCTTGTGGGTGCTGGCCTCGGGACTCTCGAGATTTGGCACCGACGCTATCAACCAAAAGCTGGAGTTCAGATTTCTTGTCCCCTGTCTCTTCAAGGAGACGGATATGAGACGCAATCCGCGATGACGGGATCGAGGCCCCCCCTCGATAGTAGAGTAGGTTAGTGGCAGAGCTAGTTCTTCCTGATTTTCCAAACATGGAGAATCAATATAAAGTTTAGACTTTCGATTTTAAATGAGAGGTCGTAATTTGAGAGTTGATTTTTTTTAAGATTTTATTCTTGACTGAGTTCTTCCTGGGTTTAAATATGGCTTAGGAATCATTGGGGCAATATATATCCAAATTGTATTTCTTGTTCCAATTTCAAACATTTTTTATTTTGTTGGAAAATATTCTGAAGATCATAAATAATCTAAATCAAAATATCTAAAATAATTCTTGACTTTAAAGTCAAGAATTATTTTAGATTTTAGATTTTAGATATTTTGATTTAGATTATTTAAAGTCAAGAATTATTTTAGATTTTAGATTTTGGTGATTAATGTTTCAACATGTGAGGTGGGCTTTGTTGATTTGGGATCGTTTACAATCCCAGCTCCGATATTTTTCGCTGGCTCTAGTCTCGCTTTCCCGTCAGTTGTGTCGTGGTGTCTTTTCTGTGTAACAAGTACAGATTATAATGACTATTATCAGATAATTTAGAATGTGCACATCAGTTCTGCTATCGCATCAACATTTGACAGTTCCATGAACACATAAAGTAGATCTATTACTTCGTTTATTGTTTCGAATGTATCAATTGTCTTGTGGAAATAATATCCAGATCATGGTATATTTAAGGTTTGTTCAGGTTTTTGAATTTGGAGAGAGCATTTTTATGGCTTAAAACATGAACTCCATGTATGTTCTTATTGCGACAAGACTTAGAAACTTTGGCATTTGTGAAGATTTTGATCTGAAGACTATTCATCTTACTAGATTGAGTATTTATGACGGTGTAAAAATCAAAATCCCTATTTAAGATGGTAATCATAGTGATCAGTTTTCTCATTCTAGGATTATATTAGATAGAACATATTCGTGAAAAAAAGTGAAAAAGCCTATTTGATTCAGAATTTAAAAGAAAACTTTTTTCTTTATCATTCCATACACTGGCGCTTTTGATATCGAAGACTTCACGGAAAAAACTGTTACTGTATTCCTATATCCTGGAAGTTGGACTCCATACTTGGACTATTTCAGATGCACTGGAATGCCTTTCGTATTGCGCATAGCCCTATGAGCACAAATCTCCATGCCCCATTGTTCCATATATAGACTTCTATCGTATCTTCATAATATCTGAAGCTTTGTCTTCATATGGAAAGCTTCCCCAGATCAACTGCAGCTTGATGTGCAAAGAATGAGTAACGTGTTTTGTTGGTCGTTGACGGTTCTCACGAGAGATTTCAAGAACCGCATCGACTGCCCGCGTTGCGAGCACCCCTATGTCTGAATGAACTCCGATCTGGTCAGCATGCACGATCAGACCAGCAAGCTAGTGATCGAGTTCAAGATGATCACATTGGGTGTATTGGATTCTCTTCGACTCAGCTCCTTATCATGGGACTTGCTGAGTACATTATACCAAGTACTTCAAGTACTTCAGACATGAAGTCCCTGAAGTGACCGAAAGTACATCATCGAAAGTCCAGTCCTGCAGATCCAGAAGTGGAGAGACAGAAGCAGGATTGAGACCTTTTGGAGCCTAAAGCCTAAAGCCTCAAACTGATTAATTCCTTTCGAGAAGAAGTTATACGTACTGGGGGCACTTTTCAGTAGACAAACTTCAGAACAAGAGATCAGCTGATCAGAATACTGACCACAGCATGATTGATAGCTCAAATCATTCGTACGGGTTTGGGCTTTAATGTGAGCAGGAATTAATGTCTACGGTGATAATTCGATCAGTGATTGTGATGCATATTGTCCGTACTGTGAGTAAACTTCCTGTGCGTTGACTCCATGTTTCCTAACGGAATTTTACTTCCTCGTAACCTGGAAACAGTTAAACCTTTCTCGTACCCCAGTCTCACGAAAGGTCCCGTCGCTGATTCACAGTCTTCCGTGGAAATGGATAATTTCGGGGGAAGAGCAATCGAACTTCTCGGAAATCACACCCGAAGACTCGGAATCCTACGGCTGAAAGTATAGAGCCCAATTTTTATTGATCAGTACTTCTAATTGGAGGTTCTGAAGGATACTTCAGCTTCGATAGACCAGATATCCTCAATGTTCAAGGTCTTGTGCCACCAAAGACTTCGGCCGTGTCCTCTAGTATGTTTGACTCTGCATTTCCGACAGCTGTAGAGCCTCGGACAGAGATAGTGTTAGAAGTCTCTCATTCTTCAGGTCTGCCACATAATGGGAAGATGCTGTTTGCGTTGGTACCTCACTCACATGTACCCCAGTCCTTTACCTTACCCTTTTCAATGCTCCGAACGTCCTACGAGAGATGCAGCAGCAGCTCCCGCCTGAATGTCAGTTCAAAACAACCTCCATCGTCAAATACTTCTACGATGAGTGGAATCACTCACGAACTGTGGTCTCCAGCTCTTCTTCCTCTCCTCATCTCTGGCATTCTTCTGCGCCAGCTTCTCCTCCTCCTCCTCCTCCTCCCGCTCCTTTTTCAGCTAAGACGGATTCGAGTTATGCCGGTCCGATTTTCTCCTGGCTCCAGCTCCGCTTTGCGTTTGGGAGCCACCGATTTCTGCAGAGCCGAGTTCAAGCTGTTCCTGTCGTAGGGCTTGGTCACAGAAAAAAGGTCCCATCGACCACCAGATTGTAGCTGCCTATGTAAGCGGCGTAATCGCTGCAGCTGTCACTCAGTCCACGGTGAGAGCGGATCCTGGGATTTTGCTGTTCGCAGCCAGCAGGTCCTGATTCTATCGACCATGAAGTTTAGCTTCACTGTGTGCTTGAAGTTGTGCAATGCTCATCGAGGTGGTCCCCGTATGGGGGAATATGGATTTCACTCGGATCCCGTGAATGCCGAGCTCGGCAGCTCAGGAGTTCATGATGCCCATTACTGTGCCTTTGGCCGCTGCGAACACCGACGTCCCCGAAGTTGCGCTTCCTGTGAAGAGAATCATTTCCTTGCCCGCAGAGATCATCGTACTCATCATCGGGCACATCAATTCTCTGCCCGGCCACGGAACTCTTCACTCGCTCAACATGCCATCTAAATACCTCCGGGCCACCTCCAATTTCAGCCATGGCATTGCACCTCCGGTGCCGGCCGATGCGATTAGCAAGTTCAACCGAATTGGCCGATATTAATCGGGATATCAAGTGGCCCTGAACCAGCTGAATCAACCGATTCGAGTTATCGACTGGCCAGCAGAACCCAGGGTCAGTACAACCTGACTGACATCGATGGCCCCGTCCGTGGATATGGCCTCCCTCCCTCATCCTGAATGATCTGCGCAAACCGGCCGGAGGTTTAGGAATGTGACTGTGGCCACTCGCTAGGATATGACCGTACATCACCATAGTCAATCGGTTCAAGGCAGAGCTTGCGGTTTGTTCCAAAGGATTGAGGGAGAGGGTGCCACCGAAAGGCGAGACGAGGTATGCAACTGGCCAGTCAAGAAGTGCGAGTCTCAAAGCTGGCGGGCAAGTTTCGAGGATCAGATCTGGGGAGTAAGAAAAATCTGTCGATTATGGCCAGATCTCGATGCAAGCAGGCCGAAGCCAACCGTGACACAAGCGGCAACTGTTTGGACTCTGGACATGGTGCCACCGCGACGCCGGCCGCGAGAGCACTGTGCTGGGGCTGTTGCCATGGCAGAATCGGTCAAATGCAGTCCCTATTGGCCTGCCAATGCGTTGCAGCGTTGCCGCTAGCGCTCTCAGCTTGACGTGCACGGGGATCACTTTCTCGACCTCGTCCATATCCGAATGGACGACGAAGTCGAAAGGACGTCGAGAGTACCTCCGACTCCCGCGTTGTTGAATCTGATTTCGAGGTGCCTCCACGTCGAGATGGCCTAACCCACCACCGCCCCGGCAACATCGGCCTCTTTGGTCACGTCGGAATGGAAGTTGTGGTCGTCGAAGCCCACTTTTGAGCTGATCTTCTTTCCAGCGTCTGATGCAATCTCTGCAATTCTGACCTTCACGCCCTGTGACACGATGAGCCTGGCTGTTGCAGCAGCTCCTTTCCCGCTCGCCGCCTCTGGCCATCTAACCTGCACCGCGGACGCAGCGTAATTTTCCACCGTCACCCAAATACGACTCCATCGATCGATCTGGCTTTCGGCATGAACAGCCTCGTTGTAACACATTGTTACCTCGTAGTAGACGTCGATGGCCTTCCATGAAACAGCTCCTCTCCTCGTCATGAAACTGAACCAAGGATTTCAGGAAGTCGTTTACACATTTGATGATCACAATCGACAAGTCCAAGCAAGTATTCCTTATTATGAAGGATTTGCGTCCTCAAAAAATTCTGTCAAACCGGGATACGCTGCATTGAAAAATGAGTTTATGATCCAGAGTCTCGGACCTCAAAATTTAGTCACGAAGCAACTTGTATGGCAGATCTGCTCCGGCTTCTATGAAATTATACTTTTCGTAAGAATCGCATCTGAAGTTGTAAATTGAGTGAGGTGGCAGACTTCGATGACATGCTTTCGATCGTCATGTCGCAGAATATCACAAGACCTCGAATTCGAAAGGTTGGCTCGAGAAGATGTTTTTATACCGAGCGTATATACGCTTCATGGATCGATACCATCCTCACACTTGGACCTGCCCTGGTTAACGACACCTTCGGGCCCCGTAGTGGCAGTCAGTTCGATGGAATATCTGTCGAACCCATGTCAAGTTGGAGCCATTGACCTTGCATGGAAGAGCCATTTCACCGCCGCAAACAACAACACAAGCAGCTCATCGAGTCTTCAAAAGCTGCCACGTTCATGCGATGAGGCTTTCGACTCCCCAGAAGCCCCACTCATTCATCCTTCCTCAATCTTCGTATCCACTCAATCATCCCCTTGCTCGGAGGACGACGATACTGCAATGGGACTTCTCGTGTGCGTGCCCGTACGATGGTCGGCAAAAGCTCAAGTTACTGGGGGATTTGGGCCGCATGCCTTTGTAGGCTCTGAAGCTCAGCTCAGCCGAGCCGAGGCGAAGTTGAACCGACATTGCTGTGACATGGAAAGCGAGTTCCGGAAAATATCATCGAGCTATCGTCCCCTCCGTTTGTCGTCGAGCGATTACACCTCGAGCTCGAGCGTGCGAGGCCAGTAGCAAAAGGTGGATCCTACACTCCGAGAGATCGAAGCTCGCCAGCGCTGGGACCTACCGGACCTACTCCGAGACATTGTGACTCGAGCATTCTTTCGTGTTTGTTCTCGCGCCCGACGCCACTCTAACAGTCAATTCCTCCCATGGGAAATGATGATGATAATGATGATTCTGTTGCTGTTGCTGCTACTGCTCCACCGCGGTTGCTCTATCTAAGAGCGGGCACGCAGGCTGACTTGTCGTTCTCCCGCATGCCAGCGAGCATCCTCATCCCATAGGCAGCCGACAGGCACGAGGACAGGGGAACGCCAGTGCGAGCTGGCTGCCTCTGCAGCTCGTTCGATCGAAGCTCGGCCTTGCGACCGTCGAAGAACTCTGGGGACGTCTTTCTCTTCTCTGCCTTGCCTTGCGGCGGGTGTGAAGACCTGTCTGCTTCAAAGTTGAGGGAGACTGAATTCCGAGTGCTTAAACTCCGGACTGACGAGTTGAACTGGGTTTGATGTCGCTTGCTGCTGCTTGCAGTGAATCTAATGTCGTGCCAGTAGTACATATCTTTGACGCAGCCGTCTGGCCTTTCCGGCAACTTCGCCGTGCATTGATTGAGGTTCATGCAAGCTTCTGTCCTCAAACGGCGAACGCTCGTGATGCAGGCTGATCAAAGAGATCATTACTGTTAGTGCTTGGAACTCGTACTACAGATTTGTGATTCGAAGAGTAGAAATGCTTTGCGTGAATATCTTGCGATGTCTTCTCACTCTTATAGATTCTTCTTCTTCTTCTCTTTCTCCTTCTGATGTGATGAATATTACCCTGTCCAACGAACGCTCGTTGAGAACTGGAAAAGCGTGAAGGAGAGCAGAAGTGTTGAGGTTGATGATGATCGCGAGTGTCCGCGTAGGGGACGTTTGTTCTCGATGAGAGATTGGCCCAGCTCGGAAGAGTTCTAGCTGCAAGCTCAATCATCAACTTGCCCAAGCAAATATGCTGGAAATGATGGAAATGCTGCAGAGATTACACAATGCTCTCGAACGGTCTCATAATTTCGTATCGATCCTACTTTTCTGGAGAATCTTAATCTGCCCGTCATGACACACATTCTCCCCCGCCTATTCTATCGAGCTTGCACTCTAGCCACCCTGTCGATTCCACGATCCTACCATCTTTCACGATCAAGTTTCTCTCCACCACAATCCTACACTGTGTCCATATACCAGCACCCTTCACCACCCGACAGATTGCTTCGTATCGATTCTGCAGGCTGACGGGCAGAATTTATATCACTTCGAGGTCAGTAGGGTCGATATGGAATTATGTGAACGTTCGAGGGCCTGACTGCAAGTTTCACTTAGTTCTGCCTGAGCACACGTGATCCCTGGCTGCAGTGACAGGTTTGGTGCCCACCATTCTACTGCCTTGCTCGAAGACCTTGGATGCGAATATCCGATCGTCAAGATACATCGTGTTCCGGTTTTCACCATTGTGTTACCGATCTCGGTAACAATGGCCTCACTGAGCTGCCACCAGAGACGAGCATTATTGTCAATCTCTCTTTCAGCAACCAGTCATTAAAAGTATCTGCACTAAATATGAATCCCTTTGGGTCTGGTCAGAAGAACCGTCCGATTCTTCTGCGTTCAGGTAGCCCACTGGCGAACTCATCCTTTGTCAGCATTTCCAGATCCTGCAAGTTGCTTATTTCTTTGAGGGACGGACGTGTATCTACGACCGCAACTACACCACATGAATTGTCGTTTTCTGGAGTGGGATCTTTCACATCTTCGTACCGGTCTTGATACTGGCTGTTCTTTTCCCTTCCAAAATAGACAGTAGCCTTGACTTGGTGACATTGGAGCAAGCGTAGTGGTTTCCAGGTCTGTTTCATTATCACAGTTGACAACCATTGTCAACATACGAAAAACCTTATTTCATCTCAGTAGGCTTGACTTGGTGTCATTGGAGCTAGCGTATTAGTTTTCAGGTCTCTTCCAGTCTCATAGTTGACCACCATTGTAAACATACTAAAAACCTTCTTTCATCTCGAGGTGTGTACACCTATTTATGTTTTACACCTGTTTACACGCGTTACTGTAATGTATCATGTACTGGTGCGACAGAATCATCGCTTGGTGGTTACACATCCGTCTTCGCAAATATCCAGGGACGAGCGGATACAGTGCCATTTGTCAATACATACTCTAGAGCTTGCGATCATATCTCCATAATGCAGGCTTTCGTGGTTCTCTTCCGCATGTGATGTATCCGCTCGACTTGGGGCAGTCAATCAATTAAATATAATCGCAAAGTGAATCGCATTGACACACAGTTCATTTATCTACATCAGAGCGACCCCGCCCTGGAAGGAAGCAGTGGTTTACATCTTCGTGTTGATAAGAAAGGACCGAACTAGACTTGAGTTTGGTAATGCAGGGTTTGATGCTCAAACTCACGCTAAACGACCATTAGAAAAAACGTCCTTTTGAGGGCATTCACATTTACTCAGAGAATGCGCGCTTGAATTTTTCTTCCGGTGTGGTAGTACATTGTGGTAAATCTGTCAAAATCTGAGTCAATCACTCCACACTGAGGTATGAATCATTGATCTGCCCTACTTAGGTAGAGCTGCTTTACGAGAGATCAACGTCTCAAAATCCATCGGAGTACTCATGATATGATTGTTGGGAGCTATAACAGGGGAGACGTGTAACTGTCGATGCAGAGAGTCCCCTTTCTACTATCGGAGACGGACTCGATCGTTGGATGACCAACCAAACCAGCTCATTCTCTATGTCTTTGCTAAGTCATGTGTCCTCCTTGCCTAATCTATCCTAAACCCGGTAAAACATTTAACATCGAAACCTCTCTACATCTATAATGACTCGTTCACGGGTTCGACCGGGGGAACAGTAAACGGCTCATCTTTAACGTGAACTGGAATGGGAGGTTCAGCAGGGGCGGAGTAGGCACCAGTTCCATCCATAAACATCAGTCTTCCTGCAGCCATATGAAACAAACACATTTGAGTTTTACTAGAGAACACGACGTAGTCCACTGCTGAAGTCAGGACATTCAAACGAGGAACAAAGACATTCGTATCCGTGCTCACAAAAGGGGAAATATCTTTCCCTGCCTCAGCACAGGTGATATTTTCTTCCGCATGTCGCACTTTTGATGCTCTACGGAACCGACGTTTACAGCTATCTTCCATAGAACTTGAAACAAAGCAGGTATTGCGGGCTTCTACACAGACTGAAAAACTCACCGTTGTTCCGGACGGCAACCTCTCTGATACGCTTGATAACTCCGCTATTGGGGTCGTTGTATACTCGGCACTCTATGTTACCTTCCACATACACTTGGGACCTGAGGTGAGAAACAAAGATATCTCAGTTCAGATCTACTTCAGTGAAGGCAGGTATCAAATAAATAGCGCAATGGAATCCCACGTGTTAGAATATAGATCCAAGTGCTTACCCAACTTTCATGTGCTGCATGACAAGTCCTGCAATCCTATCTTGATACACAGCTACTCTATGCCACTGGGTGTAGCTTCTCTCTGCGAATTCTTGAGGACTTTCGCCTTCAAACGGCCTTCTGTTGTTGAACATACCACCTGTACCCACAGAGAATATGGTCACTGACTTCCCGCTTTTTAAAATCTTTTGGATCGGTAGCTGGCCGACTTCTCCGAGGACAATGGCCTGCAACCCGAGACAACGTCAAAAGTTTGTAAATACTTTGCACAAGTAAACCCCAAAATAGCTAGCGCGAGCGTGCATCAATTGACTCAAGCAACTCTGTGTCAAACATCTTTCAGGTGACCACTGAGTCTCACGGTTCTAAAGATGTTAAAACCCGAAGATGTTTCTACTGTCGTCCAAAAATCGCAGGCTGAGGCATGGTACATAATATAGAAGAACTGTGCATACCTTGTACACTCCACGAGGCGTTCGATAGTTCCTGGGAGGGTACTGATTTCTGTAGTCAATTCGATTGAACCCGCCAGTTTGCTCAGGACGTTTCGGTGCCGGCTCTGGGAATCCATCCGATAGAGGACTACCTGCTGGTGAGTCAAAAGAGAGACTTGGTTCTTCAGCCGCCGGAGCTGGGGTGGCTAAGAAGGGATCTTTCGACACCTCATCAGAGTAGCCTCTCGACTGTATTACGTTGGGAGAAGCAGCAAGAGTTCTTGAGATCCCTGCATTAAATACAGGACATTCTGTCATGGTTGAGCCGACAAGAGAAGAACGATATTCTTCAACGTTGTAAAGGGTAACGGTGACAGACGATTCACAGCCTCCACTTCCTCGTCGGTGGCGTAGGAACTCGTAACGAAATCGAAACCAATGGTTACACTGAAACGAGAAGTCCTACCCTCCGCCTTGAAAGAGAAGGAACTGCAAGATGCATACTTTTAGATACAAAAATATGGCTTACTACTGAAAAGTGTACTACCGAAGTACAAGTGGTACCGAGAGTTACCACTTAAATTACTGAAGCTGAGTAAGTCTCACTATCTAGTCAAAGTTACTGAGAACAAACGTGATGACAAAGATTAAACTTTACGATCGAGCAGGGAAAAAGGGCCACTTTGGAACGTCGGTTAAAACACATGCTAAACAGCAATCCAATGCTATCCTCGATCTTCAAGAATACCAACATGGGCGAAGCACACAGAATAACAGACGATGGTGTCTCCTTCCAAGAATGTAGATAGCACGATAATTTTTCGAGACCTTAGGCTACTCTGAGATAACGAACACAACGAATTTCACTCCAGAAAAATGACATACGAACTACGCATGATCCAGCGCTTAACGCCCAGATTCTATTTTTCGCAGAGCTAATCGAAGGAAGTGACCTCAGAATGAAGACTGAAGTATATTTGATTTTCGCCATGGGATCTCTGTAGAGAGATACGTCCGCCGCTCTTTCAAATCATAGGTCACGTTTCAAGACGATAGAGAACATTGAAATTGGTTGATACATGATCTATACAGACCTTAAACTACTCCGAGATAACGAACAAAATAAATTTGGGACTCCGACAGTGACATACGAACTACAAGTGATCCAGCGCTGAACGTCCAAATTCTAACATTTCTAAAGTTAATCGAAGGAAGGTGACCTCAGAATGAAGACTGAAGTATATTTGATATTCGCCATGGGCTCTCTACATAGAGAAACATCCGCCGCTCTTTCAAATCATAGGTCACATTCCTCTGTGAACAAACTACGTACGCAGTGACCAAGTAATGAGCTTATCTGCCCAAAGGAGGGCAGCTGTCCAGGATTCCTGAGTGCAACGGTACACAACCGAAGAAACACCAACCATGTACTCCCATAGTGAAACCCGGCAACACTATGATGTATGTACCCTCACAAGGATTGAAGACGTATTGAGCACAGGACTTACGTGTTAACTATCACCTGCACTCAAAGTGTAGCTGCGGAGTTCGATCTGCTTGAACTGCAGGAAATAGTGGGATCCCGAAGAAAATTGAGTTTTTCATAGAGACAAGAAACTGCTGACATCACAGACAAATTGAGCTGATTGGAAATTTAGTATGACAGTTGTTAGTTACGATCTGATGGAGCAGCAAATGAACTTGCCACGGAGTGGACACTCAAGTCATACTACTTCGCAGTCTCCGCAGCGCAATTGAATGAAATTATTCAACGCCAAATTAGTCGACAGTAAATGGCGAGCTTTAAGACAGTTGAGGTAGTGAGTGTCATCCAGCAAATGTCCCAGGGCGAGCCCAAAAGCAAAAAATGACGGGTCCCGATCGACAATTACAGATGATACTCCCACAGGAAGATCGGGAGAGCAGGCAATGTCCGGCGCGATGGTACCAAAATCTCACCAAGAGCGGATGAAAAACCCTCTACCAGCAATCCACCCCACCTACGAGCACAAACTGATCCATACTCGAAATCGGCAGTCACCAGTCCCACACGACCGACGTGAGCTACGATAGTACTAACCTGCGAACGCAGAGGACCAAGATCGAGAAATGGAACGCGATATCCTCACAGCCGGAGAAGCCATCGCCAGTTCCCTCGCTACCTTGCAACCGGCTCTTCACTTCCGAGAATTATTCCTGCCTGTCGGACGTGCAATTTCTTCAACACATCGACTTCTATGCCAGCGACGAGCAAAACCTCAACCCTGCGACCTGTCCTTTCCTTCCATTTCCTAGCCTAGCGTCTCCCACTCCGGCTTAAGCAAACAGCGCGACCACTCACAGTGATTTGGACACTCGCCGCCCGAAGTGACAGGGCAATCCAGCGCAGGGCTTAGGTTTAGGGTTTACAGAACATAATATGCTCTCCAATCCCGACCTGCTACTCCACGGACAGGCACTCTCTCTCTCTCTCTCTCTTTCAACTATCTGTCTGTATCTACTTTCCTTGCGTTAAACCCTAAACCCCTTAATCCCCTTCGAATTTGCTATTTGACCCTTCACACGTTCCGCCCCATCCCTGTTTTGGAATTTTGATGACGTTTCCACCTTCTGCGCCAGACTGACACCATTGTCTATTTACTTCCTTCCTTCCTTCCTTCCTTCCTTTCTCCCACAGCTTCGTCAACTTCCGCTTGCTGTGTGAGATAAATGTGCAACCGACTGTCTGGAATGTGCAGTTGCTCTAGCTTTAGCGACAATCAGATCGATGACATGTCGACGGTCCATATTCACTTGCCAGCACCTGGATGGCAAGTGAGATAGGAGAATAGTACAGATAGAGAGCACATGTCCTAGTTGAAGAAAAGTTCTACTATGAACATGAGTTTTTTTGCAATCCTCCCTAGCGCCTTGGTGTATTCATGTTAAGGTCTTTAGAAGACTCGTGTAGCCTGAACACTAGGAGACTTGTGTGGGTGATACCATTTCAAGTACTCGACGTATCATGTGAAAACCGAACCGGACTGGACGTTGTACTACCGTCACCACCCTTGAACTTTATATGAGCTTAATGCAAGGAAAAGAAATTGAGTCCCAAGGATACACCAACTCTCAGGAGCCTGAGAAAGAGCCCTTCGATGGTAAACTTGAAAATCATGGCCTGACGAAAAACTTGACGAAGGCGAAAACCTTCCAAGTCAGTAAGTAATGTGAAACGTCGACTTAGTGAGCCGCTTGTCGTATGACTAGTCTAAAGGACCCCCTTTGTCAAAATTAAGACATGACGCTCGAGTGATGGAGCTTGGGCTCGGGGAATAGCCATCCCCATTCCTTGGGGTTCTTTGGACGACCATGGTTCAGCAGGTGGTATGGCATCTACTCTGTGTTATTCATCGCCATTCATGTGTCTACTCTTTCTCTCACACACATTTCTAGAGAATCTTTCATCATCAATTATTATCACTATTATTACAAATATATTTTGATGCGTACTTAACCTGTTCTACTACTACTAGTAAGAGAAATGTTTAATTAGAGCTCAATAAATTTTCATGTGTAATTAACCAAGCACTTGTACTTGAAGCGGTAAGAGCACTGCTTTAAATCTCGCGAGACATGACATATATTTCTTCATATATTAATAATTTTTGTATCTGTTGATTCTTTTGCTATCAGTTTGACTTTGATATTACATTGAGGATTAAAGTATAACATTCATAGAGTATATGCATGCTTGTACTTTACGTTAGACTTACCTCGTATGAGAAAAGGAGAAATCAAATAAAGAATGAACTCTGGCTTCAAGTTTATTTCCAACGGTATTCATGGAAATGTAATGTAAGTCTTCCAGATCCACCTAGCCATGCGGGTTGAATACTACTTGCGATACCTTCTTTTGGAAAGAATTCCCTTGGTCCAATATTCCTTTGGTCATTTGTCTAAAAAAGTATCAAATATATGTCATATGTTGCTCGCAAGGTGGTCTTACTTTGTAGTTTAAGCAGTTGAGTATGTTTTGTATTAAAAAAGCTGAAAAAGAAAGCAAACGTAGATTTGAGACGAAAATATATTTCACTCTGTTTTGATGAGTTTGAACTAAAAGCTTAGGCGGGTGGAGTACACCTATAAATCACAAAGATGGCTGCGGTAGTGACATTAAATGAGAGTTTAACATCGTCCACATGTACCATGCTTAGGAAGCCTCGATGCATTTGAATAGAGAAGAAGATGTTTTGTCTAGAGTACGCAATGTTGGCAATACAATTTTATCTTGTCAATTTTTTCATCCTATGTATGAAACTCCTTGCATAGCAGCGAACTAGGAAAGGGAGGACAAAGCAACCCAGATGCACAACGTGAGCTAGGGACACCACCGGCCTGGCTGTTGTGACAAAACCTTGAACTAATTGCTGTTTGGCTCTTTAGTATAGATCATTATATCGAAAGGGTTTGGAAACTTTCCAAACCCTTTTGATGGAGTAGTATAAACCCTTTTAATGTTTTGATATAATGTTTTGATATAATGTTTTGACTTATGTTTTGGAAACACCTTTCAGTAATGATCTGTACTATAGAACAACCCAAAAGTTACCCTGAATTGCTTGGACATTTCACACAGAGTCATGGAGTAATATGTTCAACTGTTTGAATATCCGTGAGTAACCTCACGGATATCCAAAAAACTAATCGTTGAATTCTGCATTTAGTTTGTTAAAAACATTTTAACCTGACCATCATCTCCATTGGATGGAGAGTAGATGTAATATATTGCTCGCAAGTTTGTTTTTTTCTTGTGGGGGATTGTTTAATTCACTCTATTTGTTAAACCTACTCCTCACTCTAATACGCTATGAATCACTCGTGTTACTTGAAATCAAAACCAGCGATCAGGGATGAAGTTTACAACCCCTTTCTTTTTAAAATTTTGGATAGTTAAGACTACTAACGCTGAGAAAGTAAACGTTCAATCAAAACGTTCTAAAAATTCTCTCTTGGAATGTGAATACATTTCATTTCAGATTTAGATGTGCCACACATTTTCTGTATGCAAGTTGACACATCTATTGATATTTTTAGACAGATTAATTTCGAACAAAGTGGGGCCATCCATCTCGAACGGATGAAGAAGATGGTCATCGTAAACATCGTAGATTTGAACCACATAACGAAAATTCCTTTCCGTAACCTAATCCTTTTATTCTCACTTCAACAAACTTAAATCCAAGTTGAATGGCAACTCTCGCCGCATTTTCTGCATTTGCTTGAGCAACATAACATATGATGTTTTGATGTGAATCCTACTTAGAAAAATCACAGAATTGCTCAAGATATTTTCAACCATGCGGGACAAGTTGATAGTATATTGGAATAAATTTGCATGTTCAGCAATTAAAGTGTGAAGCAAAATTACATGTTTACGATTTGACAATAAAGTACATGACAAGTGTTTCTTCTTTAATATTGTATACAAACTCAATGATTGTATAACTAATGACATCCAACAATTGTGATATTCATGACGTCTATCTGACTAAATATTTCAGAATTTTTTTATTTAGTTAATAAGAGTTACATGGCACACTACCTATTACTACTACAATGCCTATTATTTGTCTATTGAAAAACATGGTAGCCACCTTCCTTATTGAGATTGATGAATAAAACTATAAGCTCACTACAACTCTACCTTAAACATTTTTTTCATACACAGATAATAACAAATTGTCATCCAAATATCATTGCAACAACTGAATGCATTTTGTTAGCTAACATAACTCAAACCTATAATCCATACTATATATGATAGCACATATTTTGTTGTGAGCTGGGCGATTAAGTTTACCACAAGATCTCATGATGTCATCGAAAGCTCTTTACTCCCCCAAATAAATGTTGGCGCATGAGAACATTTAATTTCTATTTTTGATGCCATAGTGATAACACATAACGATGAGTTTCATTTTCATCATGGAAGTAATCATGTAAAAAAAAATTTGCTACATATGGAGATGACTTCTGAAGCGATTTTACTTCTATTATAATGATGCATCTTGATCGATCATGGTGGTTACCATCTGACGTCTGAATTGCCCCAGCTCATTCCATCTTAACATGTTACCTCCTTCCTCTCTCTCACTGTTATCATGCCGCAGGATTAGAGAAGTATGAGCGTATTGGAGAAGAAGCTTAATGATGCATCTTGATCGATCATGGTGGTCACCATCTGACGTCTGAATTGCCCCAGCTCATTCCAGTCTAACATGTTACCTCCTTCGTCTCTCTCTCACTGTCATCATGCCGTAGGATTCGAGAAGTATGAGCGTATTGGAGAAGGAGCGTATTCCGAGAATCATGCTGCAGGATTAGGAACACTTTGAAGTCATACTTTCATAAGCAAGACGAGTTCAGGTAACATAATGCTATGGATTTTGATTATATGTTTGATTATCTACTCGAGTTCTGGATCGATTTTGCTTGATTCTGACGACATCTGTAGGATTGCACTTTTAGTTAGAGATATGAAAAATAAAATGAAATATCGGTACACATCGTGCCGCAGGATTCGAGAAGTATGTGCGTATTGGAGAAGAAGCGGAATACGAAGTAAGAAGTAGGAGCGTATTCCGAGAATCATGCTGCAGGATTAGGAACACTTTGAAGTCATACTTTCACAAGCAAGACGAGTTCAGGTAACATAATGCCATGGATTTTGATTATATGTTTGATTATCTACTCGAGTTCTGAATCGATTTTGCTTGATTCTGACCACATCTGTAGGATTGCACTTGCAGGTAGAGATATGAAAAATATAAAAAACTTATCAGTACAGATCGTGCCCGTGCATCTAGATCCAGAAGTAGTCCTCGCCTCGCCTTCGAATCATGTGAAACGTCAGTTGAGATCTGTCTGAAGTAAGCTCGAACCGTGGTCTTCGGATCCTAACTGAGATGACAGCGTCCGTGTCGTGTATCGATGTGCACCCGTTGTTTGAAAAGAAGTAAAGCGGCTGAAACTTTCGAAATGCAAACGCCGCAGCGTCCGCCGCTCCGCGCCCCGCTGCATGCAGACTCCAGTTGGCAACGGTCTGCTTGGAGCTCGAGAAGGTCCAACGGCAAGCAACCTTCCCATACAAGAGGTGAGTGTCCTCGCCCCAAGTGTTCATTGTTTTAGCTCTGCTGTGATTAAATTGTTCATTGGTTGAGCTCTGTTGTGATTAAATTGTCGGCGAGAGTAGTCTTCGTTTAGTCTGCGCGAGGAATTGCTCTTTGACTGCTTGCCTGTAAAATGGAAGAGTGTAACATGGAAGTGGAGGTTTCTCATCTTGAGAGGTTTGTTGACTTCCGAACCACCGATCATGATAGGAGTATGAAGAAAGTAGAACTACGATTATCCACAAACTCACGTTGGCATTTCATCGTTGAGAGCTCTCAACGATGAAAACTTTACACTGAATAGCTGTACAAGGCAATTTGGATGTGTTGTACAACAGTTATTTTGATGTGGACGGCTGTAACGATGTAGTGTGAATCGATTCTGATTTACACTACATCGTTACTTAAAATAGGGATATGAGAGACACCACGGCTTGGTTTAAAGTTTTCACCATCGGCTTTCTTCCATGGTTCAAATAGGTGTAGTTTGTACCTTGACGTTTGTACATAGGGGATATGATTGTAAGAGATTCCAAGCAATCTCCATCACCTTGTAGTAATTTGTTGAATTGATGCTTTTTATTAAACAGCTATGTCTAACATGTAAGAACTAGGCTCTGCTCCAAATTTTGAGAATTCTCCTTTGACTTCTTCTTCATGCTTTTACTTCTCTCTTTCATTCAATCCTTGTATTTCTGTTTACAAATATACTCTATATACAATGTCAATTAACAGTTAAAATCACAATATAAGTATTTTTGAAGAAAGAATGTAAATATTCTTGCTTTGAATATATATGCATTGATTTGATTTTTACTTGATAAAAGAAAAATACAAGGTTAAAATGAAAGACAAACAAGGAAAAACATAAAGATAGCTTTTGAAAGAGAATTCTTGAACTTTGTAGATTCGGTCCTTAAACTATCGTATATGTATTATAAATTAATTTACGGAGATATTGTCCGTTATCGTTAAGGTACTACTAACGACAAAGAGATAAAGTAAGCTAGTGTAATAAAGTTTTTATGATATTGCCAGTGTTGTTAGATACGTAAGCATTCTACGTTTGCTAGAGAGATGAACTACAATAGACTAGATAATAGTCACTGGCAAAGCCTTTTGTAGTAACGCATTAATTAATCATCACAAGTGCTAAGTCTTGTGATGGACTCTTTGATAAGTTATCAAAGTCTGGTTTGATAACTTTGAGATACAGTTGTGAAGAAGATTCTTACAAGCATGAACTACTATTGATTTTAGACAAAATTTGATGTCCGTGTCATTGATTTCGTCAATTTGTCATAACGTCAATCATTTAGGTAATTAGTAAATTCCTGAGGAGTAGAAAGATCTCAAGTACTTGAAAGAATATGTAGAAAACTTTAAGATTTTTACAAGAAGCCACCATTTGCTCTAGTTAGATGAAACATATGTGTGTGAGGAGATATTCTACGGTTATACAAAACTTTGCTGAAATGCAAAGGTTTGAACAATATTGTAATCTAGCAAATATGTTCAAGGTTTATTCATTTGAATCAACTAGGTAGTAAAATATATTTTTTTTAATCAGATTTCAATTCATCAGTTGAAAAGTTAAATTAGATTTTATTCTATTTTTACAATTCTCATTTCTTTAGAAAAAATTACCATGTTAAAGTTTTGCAATTGCAACGAACATTTTAGGCGCCCATTATGAAGTTGTTTGAGGTTCTAGAATACAATCCCTTTTGTACTTACAAGGAGTTTTACCCTCTTTGGTATTGAATGCTGTAAGATCCTTCCTCTTGTATTTTCTGCAATATAATATTTCATCTACGATAATATATGCTTGAGTTGAGATCTAAGAAGAATCAAATGCAGTATTAAAGAATGAGTTGATACTAACATCTAACATTTTTCAATACCAAAGAGTGTAAAACTTCTTATAAGTACAAAAGAGATTGTACTCTAGAATCTCAAACAACTCCATAACGGGGTCTAAGGAGTTTTTTCAATTGCAAAACTTTAATATGGTAATTAAGAAAAAAAAGTGCAAATTGTAAAAATATAATGAAATCTAGTTCACCTTTGCAACAGATAAATGAAAACCTGATAAGAAAAAAAATTTAGTTAATGGGGATTGCTTCCCTTTGATTTGTTGTTTTAAAAGCTAGTTCCTCTTGCATAGCAAATACCTTCATAAAGTACCACGGGAATAGGCGGTTATCAATGATAAGTATCTTGGTGGTGCCCTATAAGAATTGCACTTGTCCATTGTTGGCATTGTTTTGTTAAGGAAAATTTGAAAGACGACTTTCTAAGCCACAGGTCTCTTTCACAGATGGACGCTGATGAGAATACCCTGCTATCTTTTATTTTATGTTAGACCATATTCACCTGGATTCATAATGATCTTAATTCTGTCATCTACAAAATCCTATCGAGTTCAACTTCTGTATGCAGTATTAAGATGAAATTTGGATTTTTTAAGATTTTATTGATATCGTATAATACTTTTGCCTAAACTTTAAAATGAGATGCTCCAGCGAACAACGGGAGGTAGGCAGTCTGCTTTGATCGAGATTGTTAAATTGTTTAGGCTTGTAATTGAATACATCCAAGTCAAGCACAAGGGTTGTTCTTTCAAAGCTAAGGTAATCTGAAGTCTGACATTTCTGTCATTGCAATTCGTGCAGCAGTAAGAAGCAGCATGTTACGGGAGCGTCTTCAATGCGTAATCGTGTAGAAAGATGGACTCCTGAAGAGGTGACTATGTTACTGATCAATTTATTGTCTCGATTTGTAAATATATAATCTGAAATTTAGCTTTGGAATGCGGCGTTCTTCACTTCAAGTAAATATTGGAACGTAGCTCAGCTGGATACAAGGTTTAAGCGAACAACCCTTTATGATTGAGGCTTGTGAAATCCTCATTATTTTTAAGTACGGGAGAGAATTGTTTGCTCATGCGTCAATTAATGTATTATAATTCAAAAGTCTCATGAACTAGGCTAAGTTGTGGGCCATCTCGCTCTGCTATAGTAATTATTACATAGTACTCTGGCTGCGATGCAGTCTAGCTTGTATCTCTGGAGCTTGTATTTGGATTTACTAGATAAATCTTGTCATTATCCATTCATTCTATCGGTTTCGAGCTGAATGTCAAATGGTTTGGCTATTACTAAGTCAAAGCTTTGAACTAAGTTGACTAGATTTCTTATTCTTGCAGGATGAGCTTTTGCAAGAGGCAGTCGTCCAATACAAGGCAAAAAACTGGCGACTGGTCGGTGAGTATGAATCTTATTCTGAGAAGTCTTTGAATTTATTTGTTCTCCTGTAACATCTCGACAGTTGTGACAATCACTTGTATGTGGAGAATGTATCGGATATCTACTTTTAATAACGGCATGTGTCTGTCCAGCTAAAGCAGTACCGAATCGAACAGAAATTCAATGTCTATAGAGGTGGCAGAAAGTGTTGAATCCAGCCATTGTCAAAGGATACTGGACCAAAGAAGTGAGTAATCCTGACCAATGTGATGATTATCTCTACCTTATACGCAGTTTCAAACTCTTACATGTGAATTCCACATTTGCAATTCTGGATATTGATTGTCAGTTTTATATTTTGACAGGAAGATCAGAAGATGTTAGAATTGGTGGGAATGCTTGGCACGAAGCGATGGGCTGCGGTCGCTCGCTGTCTACCTGGCAGAATCGGCAAGCAGTGTAGGGAAAGGTGTGTATATGTTAGACGCCTAGTCTCCTCCAAGCTGTTTGAGATGACAATTCACTAAAGTTTTAAACGGCAGTTTGCATTGGTAGATTTATGTCCTTAATTTCTGCAAAGCATTCCATTTTCATCCTATAAAAAGAGCTTGTTACCCTCAGTTCTTAACAGTACCTTCATAAACAGCTCTTAGCTGACAGCGGTAAAAAATATAGCATTCATGAAACTTCAAATCCTCATTCATTGACCTCGGATTTCATATACATAATACCTCGGAAATTGATCTATGCGTCGTATGGAAATTAGAATAGAAGAGCTCATTTGTTATACTATCCATGAGTTTATGCTTCAGTTTTCTGCTTCAGTTTGTGTTGTTTTAAAAAATAATTTCTGAGCTGCTTTGTTTTACAGATGGTACAATCAGCTTGATCCCAGTATCAAGCGCGATCCGTGGACCGAGGTAGAAGACATGAGGCTCTTCTTAGCGCACAAGCGGTTTGGGAGTAAATGGTCTCAAATCTGTTCAATACTTCCTGGAAGGTATGCTAATTTTATGTATACTGACTACCGGAAGTCACCTGAATTTTTCTGAGGTTAGATGCATGATAGTAGGATGGTAAGATCCATATTTCCTTATTTTCTTGTCTGCCATTTAAACGATCTCCAGATCAGAGAACGGGGTGAAGAACCGGTGGAATACTCATATCAAGAAGAAGGCCTTCATTTTGGAGGAATACTGCAGAATGTGGAATAATCAACAAAACTCGTCTCAGAACGAGGAGCTTCTGGGCAACGAGGCGGCCATAAAAGATTTGCTGTCAATTTCAGAGTGATTCGCCTTGAACGAGCGAGTTGAATTCTATGTCAGTTTATTATATTAGTATATTAGTTCAATTCTATGTCAGTTTATCCTTTCTCGCTAAGTTTTATTACTTCTTATATTTTAGTTTTTCAACCGTGCAGAGATGGATTGTGTCCGAGAAATCAGAAAGAAGACTATTTAGTTGGCTGAAAGATATAAGTCTAGAAGAACTTGCATCTCCTTGTGAGTCACGTGAATTCAGCATTAATGAATCCGATGGATTGAGATAGAATATAATTGAATCGAATTGTTTCCATACTGATACATTTTACCATTGCATGGACCATGAATTCCATTCTGTCTAAAATACAAATTTGATCACGAGATAGCTGTACGAGTCAGATAGTTACTCCATCGAACTGAAGTATGTGAGTATTTGCTTCTAACAAGATTGGGTCTCTGACTCGCTTGCGGTTCCCAGTAACCACCACTTATGGGCCATTCTCAATGTCCCCATTCAATCCGATTTAGTCACTAACCAGAGCTTGATCTGAGCTAAACTCTACGTCTATTGGTTCAGAGTTTGGCCCTTGGCTTTATTTTCACTGCACTCGTTGATGGGTCGTGCTAGTAGCGACGTGATGTGAAGTGCAGAGGGTGAAACGGATGCGAGATCCAAGAGACCTAATTAGGAAGAACGTCGTAGATACAAAGCACTGGTAACTGTCAATATGCATTGATTGGCCTTAAGAGTCTAAATGTCAAATACCTAGCCTTTTTGGGGCTGTATAGCTTACTTTCGCAACATGAATTTGTGTCATTAACTGGCCTTTTACCATCGAAAGCGAGAAACTGCAAGAATGTTGGTGGCTTTGGTGGATGCATCTTACGAAGATCATTTGAATGCAGCTCAAAATACTCACTTCAACTCTATTGCCTAGATTCCCGTTCTCACAGGAAACTACGGATTGAGAACATGCCCGATTGTTGCATCGCATAATTTCTCGCATGTTCAAGCCATGCAGATATTACCATTTTAGTTTCACGTACAAGAAATTTGAAAGAAATATTTTCTGCAGTTATAACCCAACCAGGAGTCTCTCATGTTTCTACATGTCTTTTAAATACATGCTGGTAACATCCTCCTCAGTACTGTACTAGGATGATACCGTCCCATGTCAACAGACAACGCTGAAAAGCCCAGAAAGGTAAGGAGCCCGCAGATCCGTACATCCGTGTTGTCAGGGAAGGTTCCTGTAAATGTCTGATTACAATCATGAAGTTCATTTTCCTCTAGAAGTATCAGAATTTGGACGTTATTCTCACTGCACACTTCGCGATTGCTCGGGATCACATTTGTGTACTGTACATTGTAGCATCATCTGAAACCACTCGTGTTAAATCTACTTTCCAATCAACCTTTGCATGCTTTGCAATTTAGCCTGTTATTTATATACTCACATACCACAGGGCACCAAGATAACAGTTTCAGTTCGAAGGCTTAAGTTTAGTGCATCAGTTATTTTCCGTAGGCGATATTCGAAACACACCTGTTGTCCGTTGAAGTTGGTTTACGTGCAGCAGATAGAGTAGTACGAATTGGCACTCAGACAGGTCATCAACGTCTGCCACGCGACTGACTGTCGGTGAATAATCCCTTCGAATCCTGGCTAGCTTTACTGGCTGGCTGCTGTCTCTTGGGTCAATGGGTTGTGCCACTGCGCATGTCTGGTTCAATTGATTCTATTAGGAGTTTCACTTGAATCACTAACCTCCTGGACGTGCGATGTAGTTAGTGTGCGGCCCGATAATGGAGATGGAAGTGAAGTCTTGAGGAATATCAACGTGGGCTTTCTCTATGGATGTGCTTACAACAGTCAAGATCAGTTAATCGAAGGATTTTTCAAGCATGCATGAGTGTACAAGTACATTGAATATATCGAGTAGTAGATGGTGCTGGACGTAGTGTCGAAGAGTTTACTGCGCATTCTGCTGTCATCATTTGGACATTTAAGTTATACTCGTTGAGCTGCGAACGGTAATGTTTTGTCAAAACGAGTACAGCAGAACTGAGCTGAAGAGGTTTAGTCTGATCCCATCAAAAAAACTATCAATAAATAAATGGTAAATGATAATAGATCAAGCCCGGGGGACCCAAAGGGTCAAAAGGCTGAAAAACACAATACAAGCGATAGTCACAAACAAGGGAAAAGACCCCAAAGGCCAAACCCTAGCTAGTGCCAAGAGCATTAGAACGATAACTAATAATGTCCCTAATATAACAACCAAAATCAAAAGGAACTAACTGTAACAAAGAATAAAAATTCTCTACATCTATATTATGAGTCACTCTAATCTCTACATATCTAGTAAAAGTAAGAAATACATGCTCTTCATCCTCAACTTCTCTTCCATCACATAGCCTACAAATACGTTGACTCCTATCAATATTAAGCCAACGTACTTCCTCAATTCCTAGCCTATGAGATCTAGTTCTATGCCTAGCAATAATATGACGTAAGGACGTAGAGATTCCTGCAAGTAGGTAATCCTGTTCACAATAAACAAGCATAGGATTCACATGAAGTTGATAAAACTGCATCTTGGTGCCGCGCTTGCTCCAAATAATATTCAGAAACTCCTCCTTTAGACGTTCACGTAGTGCTATAGGTTGTAGGTCCCAATCGCGTTCCGTCACATTCCACCTCAAAGACCAAGTTATCACATCCGCTAACCATCCTTTGGCACGTGTGGCACTCAAAGCCTGAGTAGGAAGGCGAGAAGCATCAAGAGATCTCACCCTTGTGATGTAAGTGATGGTCAAGTATAGAGCTTTAGCCTCTAGAGGTAAACAACTTGTTTCCGAAAAAAGAATAGCATATGAGGTTTGGTTTTTCACACCCAATTCTTCTTGTAGAAATATCTTCTGCACCCTCTCCACACGCTCCCATCCTGTCTTCTTACAACCAGGACCCCACACTTGGGTTCCATACAATACTACCGGCAACACTAAGCTTCTGAATAAAAATTTCCTAAGACTCCAAGACACAAGATGAGCCCTTCTACACCGATTTAGCAATGAATATAGAGCTTTGTAACCACCTTCTACTCTCTTTTGCACACAAAGTGCCCAACTATAATCATTAGAAAAATCAATGCCTAGATATTTATAACTCTTCACCTCTTCTAATTGTAGATCCTGGTAATAGAAGGAAACTTGGATCTAGTGCCCACTATCATGACTTTGGACTTCTCTATATTTACCTCCATCTGATTCTCGGTACAAAAGCTAGCCAAAGTGTATAGGTGTTTCTGTAAACTAATTGCATCACGTGCTAGTAATATGATATCATCTGCATACAAGAGAGCTTTGATAACAAAGTTTCCAAGCTTGACACCTTCACTATCACATGCCTCCAACCACTCTTCGATATCATCTATAAAAACTCCAAATATAGTAGAAGAGAGAGTACAATCTTGAATCACTCCAATAGTACTCAAAACCTCTTCAGTTTGAGAAGTGTTGATCTTGGCTCGAACAGATTGGTAAAGCGTGGCCATAGCTGCTAGAAGATCTGATGGTACTCCAATGACTTGCAGCCTTTCCCATAATAGCTCACGAGGTACGGTGTCAAAAGCTTTCTTAAAATCAATGAAGGCGCAAAACAAAGCTTTGCCATTGCCCTTCGACTTCTCCCATAAAACACGCAAAGCCAAGATATGGTCAATGGTGTTGTATGTGGGGCGAAAGCCTGCTTGAAACCGCGCTCTCTTCCGATGAGATTCAGTCCATGTGCTCAACTTTGACTCCACCAATTTGCCAAACAACTTGGCAAAAACACTACTCACCATGATAGTGCGATAGTTTGTCACCAGGCCTTCCTTCCTGACTTGTGAATAGGCACAATCTTCCGTAATGACCAAGCTGAAGGAAAACCATACATAGCTGCATTCTCTAACGCTTTGGTGAGTCTCGGTCCAATAAGATCTCCTCCCCACTTCAAAAGTTCAATAGAGAGACCATCCAAATCCTCCGATTTACCATTTGCTAATTTTCTAACTTGAGCCATCACCTATGATTCAGAAAATAAGCCTTATGTTCCTTCACAACAAGGCATTGATGCAGCGTTGGGAAAGAAATAAAGCTTTTCAGCAAAGTCAATCAAACTCTTGGGATCAAGAGTAGGTTTTGAAGACCTTACAGCTAACCGTCTCCAAAAGGATTTGGGATTCTCCATCAACTCCTTTGTCAAGGATTCCTGCTTCGTCCTCAAAAAAGCTCTTTTTTTAGACTTCACCAAGTCTTTGTAAAGCCTTGTCAAGGTAAGCCGACTTTGGAAATCCAAAGACTTGTCAACTGATCTCATCCTCGCTTGCTTACAATCCAAGTCAAACCATCCATTGCAAGGAAGCCCCCTAGCTCTTCGATCCTTGTGCCGCAAAAAGAACTTAGAAGCAGTGTCTTTGAGCAACTCTATTAATTGCCCACTCGCTGTATGTGGATCAAGGCTCCATGAAGTGTGAGTCAAAAGGTTTTGAAAATGTAATATGTACAACTCTTTCTTACTAGGATCTAAACGAAACTTGGGAGAAGCTAAAACAGAATGGCATGGAGAGAGAGTGATTATTTTTGATAACAAGAGAGTAAATAAGAGAGGTGCATGATCTGACTCTGGCTGAGGTTCTAGAATATCAAATTTTGAAATAAAAGAGCTATGAGTGGCTGAGGATAGAAGATAATCAATGGTGCTAACACCTGTAGGAGAAAAGCACGTATTGGAAAGGGAGTTGGGAAAGAGAGAGATACCGTTGAGAACTTTCAAATTACATGTGGCTCCAAAGGTTAGAAAGTGTTATGTCAAAGGATTTGTACAAATATCAGAAGACTTTCTACATCACATACTATCTTCAAGTTCTTCAAAGGAGGGAGAACTCAAGAGATCATCAACTTGGGTAAATTGTGCACAACCTATTCGAGCATTGAAATCTCCAACTAGAAAAACTTCACCTTTGCTCTGATAATTGAGAACATCTCCTATAAGTCGATGGAATGGTTGACTCCGATTGCAAGTGCGTGTGGAGTAGATAGACATGGACAATGGTGCAAAGTAACAAACAGCCAAATAACTATAAGATCCTCCAACCAAACCAAGACGAAGCCAATGATATTGACCTCCAATATCCTGACCTTCTAAATGTATCAAAGGTAGAAATTGAGATCTGATGAAAGTAGCAATACCGCCATAGCCTCTTCCAGCTCATTGACTTCTCTGATTCCAAGTGGATCCCACCAAAGTAAACCCTGGTATCTCTCAAATAGTGTTGCTCTCATGTTCCCACGTCTCCACAATGTTGATGATGTCCGCCATTTTCCAAATCGGATTAGCACTCACATACTTCGTTATAGAAAGACCTCTAATATTCCACATTAACACCCTCAAGCTCTTGGATTGCTATGTGGATGATTGTCTCTTCCGTTGTGTGACAATTGCTTGTCCATCACGGAGATAAGCAAAAAATCCAGCATCTTGAGCTTCTTTGACTTTTGCAAGCTCCTTTCTCCTTGCCTCTACTTGTAGAGGTGTGAGATCGGGATCTAACCAAATCCTACGTCCTTTGAGTACAGCTTTGTTGGCTAAAGCTGTATCACGTTGAGTTTGGTCATTGAACTTAACTATGATGGCTCGAGGTTGAGTTCCTATGGTTCCAATGCGAAAAGCTTGAGCCACATCCGCATTAGGAACATCAAGTGTTTCAGCTAAAAACTTGGTGACAACACTCTTCACCTCTTCTTTCTCAGATTCAGGTAGACCAGAAATTCTCACATTCTTTCTACGAGCAAATTGATTAGTCTTTTCAATCTTTTGCTCTTGAAAGAAAGAGAAATGAGTAGACTTGGTGGCTTCTGCATAAGATTTTATCTTCAGCTCTAAACTTTCAACCACTTCATGCAATCTAGGAGTAGCAGCAGTGGAAGCTTGAGAACCAACTTTCTCTTGGATATCCTCTACGTGTTCTGAAATATCGACCACAATCTTCTCGAAACTCTTTTGAGAGAGCTTCAACTCTCTAATTTCATATTGAGTTGCAATTAAAGTAGAGCTCTGTACCTTGAACTCTGCACGTAGTACTTTCAACTCTTCCAAAACCGTTTGCAACAGATTGAGTATGAAATTGTCATGAGACGCCATCATGTGAATGCTCTCTCGAAAAGCTCAGAACTCCAAGGCACGTCAACTTCTCGCTCCGAATGGCGTTCGGCTTGAAATATTGCAGGCTGATGCGCCCTGCCCTACTCCAGCGTTCCATCAAATTTCAGCTCCAGATCACTCTGAACGTAGAAGATACAGCTCCCGTAAGAATCTCTTGCCCTCAAATATTGAAACTCAAAGCTCAAAACTCAAAATTAAACTCACTCTGACTCTGAAACTCCGTTCAACCTGAAAATTGACAGGCTTGAGCGTTCTATCCAACGTCACAACGCCACAAAATTACATCCCCCGTTCACACTCGAGCCCAAAGTTACGGCCCCTGCAAGATTTGGCCCTCCCCTCTCAAAAAGCTCAGATCTCCAATACACGTCAACTTCTTGCTCCAAATGGCGTTTGGCCTGAAATTTCGCCGGCTTGTGCGCGCTGCCTTACTGCAGCGTTCCACCAAATTTTAGCTCCAGATCACTCCGAACGTAGAAGATACAGCTCCCGTAAGAATCTCTTGCCCTCAAATCTTGAAACTCAAAGCTCGAAACTCAAAATTGGACGCACTCTGACTCTGAAACTCCGTTCGACCTGAAAATTGACAAGCTTGAGCGCTCTATCCAACGTCAAAACGCCACAAAATTTCAGCCCCCGTTCACACTCAAGCCGAAAGTTACGGCCCCTGCAAGATTCGGCCCTCCCCTCTCAAAAAGCTCAGACCTCCAAGGCACGTCAACTTCTCGCTCCGAATGGCGTTCGGCTTGAAATTTTGCAGACTAATGCGCCCTGCCGTACTTCAGCGTTCCACTAAATTTCAGCTCCAGATCACTCCGAATGTAGAAGATACAGCTCCCATAAGAATCTCTTGCCCTCGAATCTTGAAACTCAAAGCTCGAAACTCAAAATTGGACGCACTCTGACTGTTGACTCAATGATCCGTGACGGTCATTTTACAAGAACTCATGGTTTCAGATCATTTTTTACAGCTTTTTTTTGGAAAATTTCCCTTTGCCCATGGTTTTGGCGTGCACATTTTTTCTTTGAGTATTTGATTATATAGTATATTATTTCAATTATATATAATTGTTATATTTGTACAAGTAGTTTTTACTTTTCTATGTACATATAGAGATTTTACGAGTATATATTTATTTTTTGTATTAACAAAACCTATTCATTTGAGAAAATGAAATTTTAAACATATCCTCATTTTTGCATTTGTTAGGATATAGAATGTATAGCATTTAGTTGCTTTTTTTTTCTTATGCATATGTCCTTTGGTCCTTTGTCTAAAAAAGTATCAAATATATTGTCATATGTTGCTCGCAAGGTGGTTTTACTTTGTAGTTTAAGCAGTTGAGTATGTTCTGTATTAAAAAAGCAGAAAAAGAAAGTAAACGTAGATTTGAGACGAAAATATATTTCACGTGTTTTCATGAGTTTGAACTAAAAGCTTAGGCGGGTGGAGCACACCTATAAATCACAAAGATGGCTGCGGTAGTGACATTAAATGAGAGTTTAACATCGTCCACATGTAACATACTTAGGAAGCCTCCATGAATTTGACTAGAGAAGAAGATGTTTTGTGTAGAGTACGCAATGTTGGCAATACAATTTTATCTTGTCAATTTTTTCATCCTATGTATGAAACTCCTTGCATAGCAGCGAACTAGGAAAGGGAAGACAAAGCAACCCAGATGCACAACGTCAGCTGAGGACACCACCGGCCTGGCTGTTGTGACAAAACCTTGAACTAATTGCTGTTTGGCTCTTTAGTGTAGATCATTATATCAAAAGGTTTTGGAAACTTATGTTGTGGACACATCTTTCAGTGATGATCTGTACTATAGAACAACCCAAAAGTTTACCTGAATTTCAGGGACACTGCACACAGAGTCATGGAGTATTATGTTCAACTGTTTGGATATCCGTGAGTAATCTCACGGGTATCCAATTAACCAATCGTTGGATTCTGCATTCAGTATGTTAAAATTTTCTTAACTTGACCATCATCTCCATTGGATGGAGAGTAGATGAAATATATTGCTCGCAAGTTTGTTTCTTATCTTGTGGGGGATTGTTAAATTCACTCTATTTGTTAAACCCATCCCTCACTCTAATACGCTATTAGTCACTCGTGTTACTTGAAATGAAAACCAGCGATCAGGGATGAAATTTACAATCCCTTTGTTTTTAAAATTTTGGATAGCTAAGACTACTAACGCTGAGAAAGTAAACGATCAATATAGGCGCTAAAAATTCTCTATTGGAATGTGAATACCTTTCATTTCAGATTTAGATGTGTCACACATTTTCTAATTGCGAGTTGACACATCTATTGATATTTTTAGACAGATTAATTTCGAACAAAGTGGGGCCATCCAACGGATGAAGAAGATGGTCATCGTATACATCCTAGATTTAAACCACGAAACGAAGATTCCTTTCCATAACCTAATCCTTTTATTCTCACTTCAACAAACTTAAATCCAAGTTGAATGGCAACTCTCGCGGCATATTCTGCATTTGCTTGAGCAACATATCTCGTTGAGCGACGAGATCCCTTGAACCCGACTGAACCAAAGGTTCTTTGAAGTTGGAAAAAAATTCAACAAACTGAATAGAGAAAGATATTTCTGTTTGGAAACCGTGAATGACCTACAGCGGAGTACAACATATTTTTTCATGACACTGTTTGCAATTACATGCAATTCAGGCTAACTCCTTGGTGATTTCTTCGTACACATTTATATTGCAAGAGGTTTTGGAAACTGAAGTTTTGATGCCAATCCTACTTAGAAAAATCACAGAATTGCTCAAGATTTTTTCGACCATGCGGGACAAAATTATAGTATATTGGAATAAATTTCCATGTTCAGCAATTAACGTGTGAAGCTAAATTACATGTTTACGTTTTGGCAATAAAGTACATGACAAGTGTTTCTTGTTTAATATTGTATACAAACTAAATGGTTGTATAACTAATGACATCCAACATCTGTGATATTCATTACGCCTATCTGACTAAATATTTCAGAATTTTTTATTTAATTAATAAGAGTTACATGGCACACTACCTATTACTACTACAATGCCTATTATTTGTCTCTTCAAAAACATGGTAGCCACCTTCATTATTGAGATTGATTAATAAATCTATAAGCTCACTGCAACTCTACCTTAAAACATTTTTTTTGTACACAAATAATAACAAATTTTTTGTCTTCCAAATATCATTTCAACAACTCAATGCATTTTGTTAGCTGACATAACTCGAACCTATAACTCATACTGTGTATGATAGCACATATTTTGTTTTGAGCTGGGCGATTTAGTTTACCACAAGATCGGTTGATTTCATCGGAAGCTCTTTACTCCCCCAAATAAATGTTGGCGCATGAGGACATTTGATTTCTATTTTTGATGCCATAGTGATAACACATAACGATGAGTTTCAGTTTCATCATGGAAGTAATCATGTAAAAAAATTTTGCTACACATGGAGATGACTTCTGAAGCGATTTTCCTTCTATTATAATGATGCATCTTGATAGATCATGGTGATCACCATCTGACGGCTGAATTGCCCCAGCTCATTCCAGTCTAACATGTTACCTCTTTCCTCTCTCTCTCACTGTTTTGATACCGCAGGGTTCGAGAAGTATGAGCGTATTGGAGAAGAAGCTTAATGATGCATCTTGATCGATCATGGTGGTCACCATCTGACGTCTGGATTGCCCCAGCTCATTCCAGTCTAACATGTTACCTCATTCCTCTCTCTCTCTCACTGTTATCATGCCGCAGGATTCGAGAAGTATGAGCGTATTGGAGAAGAAGCGTAATACGAAGTAAGAAGTAGGAGCGTATTCCGAGAATCGTGTTGAAGGATTAGGAACACTTTGAAGTCATACTTTCACAAGCAAGACGAGTTCAGGTAACATAATGCTATGGATTTTGATTATATGTTTGATTATCTACTCGAGTTCTGGATGGATTTTGCTTGATTCTGACGACATCTGTAGGATTGCACTTGCAGTTAGAGATATGAAAAATAAAAAAAAATATCAGTACACATCGTGCCCGTGCATCTAGATCCAGAAGTAGTCCTCGCCTCGCCTTTGAATCATGTGAAATGTCAGTTGAGATCTATCTGAAGTAAGCTCGAGCCGTGGTCTTCGGATCCTAACGGAGATGGCAGCGTCGGTGTCGTGTATGCACATCGATACACGACACCGATCGTGTATCGATGTGCAGCCGTTGTTTGAAAAGAATTAAAGCGGCTGAAACTTTCGAAATGCAAACGCCTCAGCGTCCGCCGCTCCGCGCCACGCATGCAGACTGCAGTTGGCAACGGTCTGCTTGGAGCTCGAGAAGGTCCAGCGGCAGGCAACCTTCCCATACAAGAGGTGAGTGTCCTCGCCCCAAGTGTTCATTGTTTGAGCTCTGCTGTGAATAAATTGTTCATTGGTTGAGCTCTGTTGTGATTAAGTTGTCGTCGAGAGTAGTCTTCGTTTAGTCTGCGCGAGGAATTGCTCTTTGACTGCTTGCCTGTAAAATGGAAGAGTGTAACATGGAAGTGGAGGTTTCTCATCTTGAGAGGTTTGTTGACTTCCGAACCACCGATCATGATAGGAGTATGAAGAAAGTAGAACTACGATTATCCACAAACTCACGTTGGCATTTCATCGTTGAGAGCTCTCAACTATGAAAACTTTACACTGAATAGCTGTACAAGGCAATTTGGATGTGTTGTACAACAGTTATTTTGATGTGGACGGCTGTAACGATGTAGTGTGAATCGATTCTGATTTACACTACATCGTTACTTAAAATAGGGATATGAGAGATACCACGGCTTGGTTTAAAGTTTTCACCATCGGCTTTCTTCCATGGTCCAAATAGGTGTAGTTTGTACCTTGACGTTTGTACATAGGGGATATGATTGTAAGAGATTCCAAGCAATCTCCATCACCTTGTGGTAATTTGTTGAATTGATGCTTTTTATTAAACAGCTATGTCTAACATGTAAGAACTAGGCTCTGCTCCAAATTTTGAGAATTCTCCTTTGACTTCTTCTTCATGTTTTTCCTTCTCTCTTTCATTCAATCCTTGTATTTCTGTTTACAAATATACTCTTTTTACAATGTCAGTTAATAGTCAAAAATCACAATATATGTATTTTTGAAGAAAGGATGTAAATATTATTGCTTTGAATATATATGCATTGATTTGATTGTTACTGGATAAAAGAAAAATACAAGGTTGAAATGAAAGACAGACAAGAAAAAACATATAGATAGCTTTTGAAGGAGAACTTTTGAACTTTGTAGATTCGGACCTTAAACTATCGTTTATGTATTATAAATCAAATTACGGAGATATTGTCCGTTATCGTTAAGGTACTACTAACGACAAAGAGATAAAGTAAGCTAGTGTAATAAAGTTTCTATGATGTTGCCAGTGTTGTTAAATTACGTAGGCATTCTACGTTGGTTAGAGAGATTAACTTCAATAGAATAGATAATAGTTACTGGCAAAGCCTCTTGTACTAACGCATTATTTAATCATCACAAGTGCTAAGTCTTGTGATGTACTCTTTGATAAGTTATCAAAGTCTGGTTTGATAACTTTGAGATACAGTCGTGAAGAAGATTCTTACAAGCATGAACTACTATTGATTTTAAACAAAATTTGATGTCCGTGTCATTGATTTCGGCAATTTGTCAAAACGTCAGTCATTTAGGTAATTAGTAAATTCATGAGGAGAAGAAAGATCTCAAGTACTTTCAGGAATATGTAGAGAAATTTAAGATTTTTACAAGAAGCCACCATTTGCTCTAGTTAGATGAAACATATGTGTATGAGGAGATATACTACTGTTATACAAAACTTTGCTGAAATGTAAGGGTCTGAAAAATATTGTAAACCAGGAAATATGTTCAAGGTTTATTCATTTGCATCAACTAGGCAGAAATTTTTTTTTTGTATCAGGTTTGCATTTCTCTATTGTAAAGGTAGACTAGATTTCATTATATTTTTACTAAGAAATTGTAAAATATAATGAAATCTAGCATTATACTAAGCTAGTTTTTCAATCTAATTTTTTTTAGAAAGCTAACATTATATTTTTACTAAGAAAATGTAAAAATATAATGAAATCTGGTTCACTTTTGCAATAGATAAATGCAAACCTGATACGAAAGAATATTTTACTGCCTACTTGATGCAAATGAATAAACCTTGAACATATTTGCTAGATTACATTTTATTTTTACTAAGAAATTATAAAAAAACTAGCAAGAAGAACTAGCTTTGATTTGTTGTTCTAAAAGCTAGTTCCTCTTTCATAGCAAATACCTTCATAAAGTACCACGGGAATACCCTGCTATCTTTTATTTTATGTTAGACCATATTCACCTGGATTCATAATGATCTTAATTCTGTCATCTACAAAATCCTATCGAGTCCAACTTCTGTATGCAGTATTTAAGATGAAATTTGGATTTTTTAAGATTTTATTGATATCGTATAAATCTTTTGCCTAAACTTTAAAAAGAGATGCTCCAGCGAACAATGGGCGGTAGGCAGTCTGCTTTGATCGAGATTGTTAAATTGTTTAGGCTTGTAATTGAATACATCCAAGTCAAGCACAAGGTTTGTTCTTTGAAAGCCAAGGTAATCTGAAGTCTGACATTTCTGTCATTGCAATTCATGCATCAGTAAGAAGCAGCATGTTACGGGAGCGTCTTCAATGCGTAAGCGTGTAGAAAGATGGACTCCTGAAGAGGTGACTATGTTACTGATCTATTTATTGTCTCGATTTGAAAATATATAATCTGAAATTTAGCTTTGGAATGCGGCGTTCTTCACTTCAAGTAAATATTGGAACGTAGCTCAGTTGGAAACAAGGTTTAAGCGAACAACCCATTAGGATTGAGGCTTGTGGAATCCTCATTATTTTTAAGTACGGGAGAGAATTGTCTGCTCATGCTTCAATTCATGTATTATAATTCAAAAGTCTCATGATCTAGGCTAAGTTGTGGGCCATCTCGCTCTGCTATAGTAGATATTCCATTGTCCTGTGGCTGGGATGCAGTCTAGCTTGTATCTCTGGAGCTTGTATTTGGATTTACTAGATAAATCTTGTCAATATCCATTCACTCTATCGGTTTCTGGGCTGAATGTCAAATTTTCTGGCTATTACTAAGTCAAAGCTTTCAACTTAATTGACTAGATTTCTTATTCTTGCAGGATGAGCTTTTGCAAGAGGCAGTCGTCCAGTACAAGGCAAAAAACTGGCGACTGGTCGGTGAGTATGAATCTTATTCTGAGAAGTCTTTGAATTTATTTGTTCTCCTGTAACGTCTCGACAGTTGTGACAATCACTTGTATGTGGAGAATGTATCGGATATCTACTTTTAATAACGGCATGTGTCTGTCCAGCTAAAGCAGTACCGAATCGAACAGAAATTCAATGTCTACAGAGGTGGCAGAAAGTGTTGAATCCAGCCATTGTCAAAGGATACTGGACCAAAGAAGTGAGTAATCCTGACCAATGTGATAATTATCTCTACCTTATACGCAGTTTCAAACTCCTGCATGCGAATTCCACATTTGCAATTCTGGATATTGACTGTCAGTTTTAAATTTTGACAGGAAGATCAGAAGATGTTAGAATTGGTGGGAATGCTTGGCACGAAGCGATGGGCTGCGGTCGCTCGCTCTCTACCTGGCAGAATCGGCAAGCAGTGTAGGGAAAGGTGTGTAAATGTTCGACGCCTAGTCTCCTCCAAGCTGTTTGAGATGGCAATTCACTAAAGTTTTAAACGGCACTTTGCATTGGTAGATATATGTCCTTAATTTCTGCACTGCATTCCATTTTCATCCTATCAAAGAGCTTGTTACCCTCAGTTCTTAACAGTACCTTCATAAACAGCTCTTAGCTGACAGCGGTAAAAAATATAGCATTCATGAAACTTCAAATCCACATTCATTGACCTCGGATTTCATATACATGATACCTCGGAAATTGATCTATGCGTCGTATGGAAATTAGATAAGAAGAGCTCATTTGTTATACTATCCAGGCGTTTATGCTTCAGTTTTCTGCTTCAGTTTGTGTTGTTTTAAAAAATAATTTCTGAGCTGATTTGTTTTACAGATGGTACAATCAGCTTGATCCCAGTATCAAGCGCGATCCGTGGACCGAGGTAGAAGACATGAGGCTCTTCTTAGCGCACAAGCGGTTTGGGAGTAAATGGTCTCAAATCTGTTCAATACTTCCTGGAAGGTATGCTAATTTTATGTATACTGACTACCGGAAGTCACCTCAATTTTTCTGATGTTAGATGCATGATAGTAGGATGGTAAGATCCATATTTCCTTATTTTCTTGTCTGCCATTTCAACGATCTCCAGATCAGAGAACGGAGTGAAGAACCGGTGGAATACGCATATCAAGAAGAAGGCCTTCATTTTGGAGGAATACTGCAGAATGTTGAATAATCAACAAAACCCGTCTCAGAACGAGGAACTTCTGGGCAACGAGGCGGCCAAAAAAGATTTGCTGTCAATTTTAGAGTGATTCGCCTTGAACGAGCAGGACAATTTCGAGTTCCAGAAGCACGTGCCCGAGGTCGCACAACGGTAAGAACTTTGGAGCTAAGGATGGCAAATACATGAGTTTGACAGACTATGGCGATATTCCAGAGGAGTTTCTCTTCTCTCTATGATGAGGACGCCGATAAGAGTTCTTCACAGTGTGCCCGTTGCGTACGAGGCTTTCAGTTTTTTTATTGACGAGCTCAGTTTTCAAGTACAAGACTCCGATGATGATCTTGGTTAGGAGTTTGAAGCCAAGGGTCATGAGGACATTGGTCAGGAGACGAGATTGGAGTTACATAGAGACTCTCCACTCGTTAAGAGTTGGTCCTCTCTATATGATGTACATGTCGCTTCGCAAGTTAGTTTAATTCTATGTCAGTTTATCCTTTCTCGCTAAGTTTTATGACTTTTTATATTTTAGTTTTTCAACCGTGCAGAGATGGATTGTGTCCGAGAAATCAGAAAGAAGACTATATAGTTGGCTGAAAGATATAAAGTCTAGAAGAACTTGCATCTCCTTGTGAGTCACGTGAATTCAGCATTAATGAATCCGATGGATTGAGATAGAATATAATTGAATAAAATCGTTTCCATATTGATACTAATTACCATTGTATGGACCATGAATTCCATTCTGTCTAAAATACAAATTTGATCACGAGATAGCTGTAAGAATCAGATAGTTACTCCTCCATCGAACTGAAGTATGTGAGTATTTGCTTCTAACAAGATTGGGTCTCTGACTCGCTTGCGGTTCCCAGTAACCACCACTTATGGGCGATTCTCAATGTCCCCATTCAATCCGATTTAGTCACTAATCAGAGCTTGATCTGAGCTAAACTCTACGTCTATTGGTTCAGAGTTTGGCCCTTGGCTTTATTTTCACTGCACTCGTTGAAGGGTCGTGCTAGTAGCGACGTGATGTGCAGTGCACAGGGTGAAACGGATGCGAGATCCAAGAGACCTCATAAGGAAGAACGTCGTAGATACAAAGCACTGGTAACTGTCAATATGCATTGATTGGCCTTAAGAGTCAAAATATCAAATACCTAGCCTTTTTGGGGTTGTATAGCTTACTTTCGCAACATGAATTTGTGTGATTAACTGGCCTTTTACCATCCGAAAGAGAGAAACTGCAAGAATGTTGGTGGCTTTGGTGGATGCATCTTACGAAGATCATTTGAATGCAGCTCAAAATACTCACTTCAACTCTATTGCCTAGATTCCCGTTCTCACAGGAAATTACGGATTGAGAACATGCCCGATTGTTGCATCGCATAATTTCTCGTATGTTCAAGCCATGCAGATATTACTATTTTAGTTTCACGTACAAAAAATTTGAAAGAAATATCTTCTGCAGTTATAACCCAACCAGGAGTCTCTCATGTTTCTACATGTTTTTTATATACATGCTGGTAACATCTTCCTCAGTACTAGGTTGATACCGTCCCATGTCAACAAGCAACGCTGAAAAGCCCAGAAAGGTAAGCAGCCCGCAGATCCGTACATCCGTGTTGTCAGGGAAGGTTCCTGTAAATGTCTGATTACAGTCATGAAGTTCAGTTTCCTCTAGAAATATCAGAATGTGGACATTATTCTCACTGCACACTTAGCGATTGCTCGGGATCACATTTGTGTACTGTACATTGTAGCATCATCTGAAACCACGTGTGTTAAATCTACTTTCCAATCAACCTTTGCATGCTTTGCAATTTAGCCTGTTATTTATATACTCACATACCACAGGGCACCAAGATAACAGTCTCAGTTCGGAGGCTGATGTTTAGTGCATCAGTTATTTTTCGTAGGCGATATTCGAAACACACCTGTTGTCCGTTGAAGTTGGTTTTCGTGCAGCAGATAGAGTAGTACGAATTGGCACTCAGACAGGTCGTCAACGTCTGCCACGCGACTGACTGTCGGTGAGTAATCCCTTCGAATCCTGGCTAGCTTTACTGGCTGGCTGCTGTATCTTGGGGTCAATGGGTTGTGCCACTGCGCATGTTTGGTTCAATTGATTCTATTAGGAGTTTCACTTAAATCACTAACCTCCTGGACGTACGATGTAGTTAGTGTGCGGCCCGATAACGGAGATGGAAGTGAAGTCTTGAGGAATATCAACGTGGACTTTCTCTATGGATGTGCTTACAACAGTCAAGATCAGTTAAGCGAAGGATTCTTTCAAGCATGGCATGAGTGTACAAGTACATTGAATATATCGAGTAGTAGATGGTGCTGGACGTAGTGTCGAAGAGTTTACTGCGCATTCTGCTGTCATCATTTGGACATTTAAGTTATACTCGTTGAGTTGCAAACGGTAATGTTTTGTCAAAACGAGTACACTAGTCTCTCGGTGCGTACTTAAGAAAATTGACTTCCTAATAGTTTGATTTGAGTGTATTGTCAAAGTAACCTTATATGAACATTCCTAAATGACTCGGCGCTATTTGATATCATAGAGAAACTGAGCAAAATCATGATTCCGTTGAAAGAGCTCGAACTTACAAGTGACTTGATCATGAAGATGAAACAAACGGAACAATTCACAAAGCTAAATTGAGTTAATGTTTGATGAAGTTAAACAGAAGTCTTTGTAATCTCACTCTTCTAACATCTACTGACACCGCCAGATAAAAAAATATTGCATTGAGTTTATTAATTTCACAGCACATATTTGCAATTGCTAAGTTGTATCCAATTGCCAAGTGAGTTGTAAAAGGTTTTGCTTCTAGGAGAGTGATTTGAAATTTATCATGGACTCTAACAACTTTGATTGTTATAGCCCAATATAATCTAAAACCTCAAAAAAATGATATAATCTTTTCTTCATTTTGCGATAATAGCTTGATTTTTTCTCTACTATGAGAGTTTGTCTCTAATGTTAAACAAGTATATATCAACCACTAGAGGTTCACGCTTCTAATCAGATATGAGACAATCACTAAGATGAGTAACAATTTTTGACCATAAACCAAATGAACGACATGTCATGGGTTAAATCTTATTTTTGTGAAAACATATGCGTTCTTAACCGGGATGCTTATCTAAATGGGTGCGTACTTAACCGGAAGACTACTGTACAGCAGAACTAACCTGAAGAGGTTTAGTCTAATCCCCAACAAAAAAACTATCAATAATCCATGATAGTCATTTTAAAATTCGCTACTTGAGGTTTCCCTGCTTATGGTATCAGATGATATCTCACATTGCACTTCTAGGTAAAGTTTTATCTTTTCCCATGCTTTTGGCTTGCCCATTTTTTATTTCAGAACTAAAGAATTCAAGTAATGCATTTATTTAATACAAATTTTATTTTTATATAGGTTATCATTTCATCTTCATTTTCATTTTTTTTCTTTCAGAATGTAATATTTTACTTCAGAAAGTTAGGTTTTCTCTTTGTAAAGAAGTTATATTATAGTATTATTCTCAATTTTTATACATGATAGATTTATCTTCTTTTCTCTTGCTTTCTTTCTTCGGTTTACTGTTTTGCAATTTATCTCACCGAATTTTGTCTTCACAGTTACTTTCATTTGAGAATTTAGAGACAAACGATATTCCATCTGAAATTTGCACTGTTGACAGTTTATTCCAAGTCTTTACGTCACATTTTCTGATTACAATCACTTTACGATCAATACACCATCTCGCCTGAACAACACAAAAGTTCCTTTCAGGTGAAAGTTCGCGGGTTGATTCTCGCAACGTTCTTTATTACATTGCTGGATCCGCTAACGGGTGAACAGAAGTCTGTATCAACTTTGTTCCCAGACGGATGAATCACCAGGTCCAACATTATACAGCCAATGTATCTAAACTAAATTCGAGTGTTGAGATCAGTGTCATGATCTGTGGCAGTGGTGTCAACGAATGATCTAACGTTCACGCGAACGTACGAAATCTACTGGGTAGGCTGGTGGACGATGAACATGGCGCATTGCACCTGTCTCGTGTTGTCGAATCCCAAGCATCTGATGTAACACTTGGTTCCGTAAATCTTCTTGCATTCCTCAATCTCCCTCAACACGGACGCAGAGTCGGTGCATCCGAACATGGGTAACTTCCACATGGTCCAGTAGCGACCATCGTAGTATCCGGGCATGGTGCTGCCCTCACGAGTGACGGTCCCTTGCTGTGAATAGCAATCAAGAAAAGTACATCAGCAACCAGATCGTGTCGACGCGGCGAAAATCGATGGCAACCTGAGCAATAGATGGAAGAGATGACATTCACTTACCACGTCGAATTCAATGCATGGAGCCCATCCGCTCTTGATGACGTAGTCGATCTGCTTGGCGAGAGCATCCTGGCTCAAGGCTGGCAAGTATGACAGGGTCTCGAACTTCAGGTTGTTGTAAGGTTCCCACACCTGACACAGAGCAAACGAGGAAACAGGTCATTGCGAGTATGTCGCTATAGTTCTATTCTCGACCAACTGGGCGGGAGAAATGCCCAGAAAACGTTTAAAATCGAACATCGGCCTAGCCGTATCAGACTACAGATAAGCCGTGACGGCACGAACGAAGACTAACAATCGAGCACTATCAGAGCAAAGAGGAGCAGCCGACAATACTGTACCTGCATGCAGGAGACACGGCTACCATTGGTGATGGTCTTCGACTGCCACTCGCTCTGGCCAGAGACGGGCTTGAGGCCAGCGAAGGCGCTGACGGACACGGCCCCGGAGGTCGAAGTGGTGCGGGAAGCAGCGAGAGCTGCGACCGGGGTGACGACGGCGGAGGAAGCGACAATTGAAGCCATGGCGGGATGCTGATCGCTCGCTCGTCGTCGAAAGCTGCAGCTCTCGATGAAAGTTTGTGGGAATCTGCGACAGGCTTTCGGAGGCCTTGGGGAAAAGCTAAATACCTCAAACTGACGTACGCGGCGAAGAACGACGATCCAAAGAATGGGCCGAGCGCTCGCTCTGCAGGATAAGGCAGCGCTGTTGCTCCCCTGGATAAGGTTGGCGCGCTCCACCGAACTCCACCTCCACGCCCGCGCCCACACCGTTGTCGCCGCGGTTGGTCGCCCGTCGCCGGTCGCCGGTCACCTCCCCCACGCCCGCGTCATGCGACAACTCCCGTCCACGTAGGTCTTTACTGCTAGGTCCGCAGCTCCAGATTGCCTTTCCGTGCCCATGCACAAAGTTCGTTTGGAATGAATGTTTCATGGCATCAATGATGGGAGGCCCATCCATCCCATGACACTTTAATCATGGAACGAAAAGCCATCAGCAAGTGCAAGTTACCAATCGTGTAGTAAATGAAGCAGTTTTTTAGAGTTACCAATACTGTACTTCCCAATAACTTATATCCAGAGGTTTAAAACTATAGTTTCTCAAGAAATCATTATATAATAATAACAGTTCGTAATTGATTCAATTTGTTTAGTTTATAATACTACACTTTAACTTTCTTATTGTAGGTTCTTTTTAACTGAATGTGATTTCTTACATGTCTTTATGTTTGGAGCCTTTGGAGCAACCTCTCCGTTACGCATTCACGGTATAATTATCTCTCAAAACTGCGTGACATTTGAGATTGATAACCACCATAACTATGTTAATAATTTGGAATTTTTTTCTATTATATTTAGTTTAGTGTCAAACTTCATCAACTAAAAGACACATCAGTACTCTTTTATGTGAATTTAGACATTCACATGCATGATTGTAAACATAATATCTTCAACGGCAGCAGGTATAGTAGTGTCTATTAGCTCATGCAACAAGTCATATGAACATTTGGAAGTTTTTTTCTTCACTCATGGAGATATAAATCAATGAATCAAACCAAGATATTTTATATATAGCTTTTAGTAAAGATTCTAGATGGGAGAAAAAGTAAGATGAAAAAGAAATATTCACTAATAAATTTTTTGAAAAAAATATCAATATCTCAAACACAAAGTGCATTAGGTTTAGCTTATGGAGAGTTTGTAGTTCAATAATTAGATTATTAACATTAGTATGTTAGAATCTAATACAAGTTAAAAATTATAACAATCAATGGATATGAATACAGAATTTCTATTTTTTATGAAGTTTTTTTATATGAATATTTTAAATGAAAGCTTTGAAATTATCAATATGGTGTATAAAAGTTTATGTCAAAGCCCACCGCTTTGATTTTTAACTTTTTGATTTTTTATCTTGTAAGCAAAATTTTTAATACATATCTCAAGATTAGATTAAATAATTGCATTATTTTTACTATATTATGATATTGATATATTTTTTGATATTATGTACACCACATCAACTTATGTCATCTTTTGTCTTTTGATCTTTTCATGAATATTTAATCATTTTTAGTTAGTTCAAATAATTATATAAAAAAATTAAACTGAAAATAATATTGTTATATAATGAGAAATCTATAGTAGTCATATTAGCACTTCAAATTCAAATTGATTGATTGAACAAGATAAAACATCTCACAAAAGAGTATTGCAAAATGAAAAGTCACATAAGTTTCAAAGTTCAACATATCACAAAAGCAGTATATGGATTTTGCAATACAATATTTCAAAGTCATGATACATCATTGCAAGGCGTGTGAGAATAAACAAGACATTATTAAGAATATAATAAACATAATACTGGCCTAATATACAAAAAATTTAGGAAGATTTATGTTCAAAACTATGTGGTTTGTCAATAAAAACAACACAACAATTAAAGAATTCTAACTATTTTCTTACAACCTTTTTTTATTTCATAAGAAGAATAAAAACATGTCACCATGTATTTTATATTCATATATTAAAATAATGGTGATAAGAAATTAGATATAAAATGATTTGATTATAGTTTTGTAGACAAATTTAGCAATATGATTTACAAATAAGAAAAATAATAGTTCCACAACGTGCTCAATTGAATTAAGATGCATTTTTCAATAATCATGGCTTAAGCAAAATTTTCATCATTTATAGAGTCATTCATTTCACTAGTTTGAATTGGAATTTTTACTTTTTTCATATGAAAATTAGCAATGTCAATAATTTATGATACTTAAATTAATGATAAAAAAATAAATAGAATTGTAAAATATGTTATGTGCATTTGGATAAAAAAACAAAAATGTCATGTTCTTTTGCATCTTGTTAAATTTGCATATAATACATCTATTAATGCATCCAGAAAGATATCTTCACTTAATCTCATGTATGGTTTTTATCCAAGAACTCCATAGTTTATTGAGGTTTTAAAAAAAGTAGCTTTTGATCAAAATGAACGTTTTTAATATATTTGTGTAGCATATTTACAGAGTATAACATCATGTCAAGAAAAAATATTGAATATGTAGAATTGACTAAAAAATTGTAGAAGTTCATCACAAAGATATGATTTATGATGAACATCATGTTTGTCTTTGTAAACACACTAAAGTTTAACAATAGATTTACTATATTTATGAAAAGTCATACAAGAAAATTTTTTTGTTACATATGTATATACATCATAAATTTCATTTGTCACAATTGCTAAATCATGTATCATGATCTAAATAATTCATCTCTCAAAAAGCTTTACCTCTTGTATTAATCTTGATATTTGATCAGGAATAATTTAAGGTAGAAAATATAAGAAAAGAATTGATTGAATTTTATAAATATCTCAAAATGAAGTAATTTGATATAATATATAAGATATTTTGGATCTCAATGAACTTAAAAATCAACTAAAATTCTAACGTATGCATTTTTGGTATTTCAAAGGTTGATTGCATGTGCTACATATACAATTACAAATTTTTTATAAAATAAATTTTTTTATCCATCTTTAGTAAATAAAAACTAAAATAAAAATCATTAAAAATGAAAATAGAAATTTCTAATGACTTATTCATATTTGGACTAATGGCAACAATTTGTGTGTTTGATAAATAAAATAATATAATTACTTAAAAACATATCAACAATCCATGTGCTTGTTAGATTGAAAGTGTTAATTAGTGTGTTAGTTGAAATCAACACATAAAATTTTTATGTGTTTTTTAAATAAAACTTGATTGTGATAAGTAATGTGTTAGTTGCAAATAGTACATTACCATACCAACTGTTTGTTAGCTTTATTCGTCATGTCATGAATTTTTTAATAGTGGAGTGATTAATAAGTATGAAGTTTTATATGCTCTAATTTGTTGTGAAAATCTATATTAGAAAAAAGAAACCAGTGTAAGTATATATCATCTTTATAAATTGTGTTTCAAGTTCAATTGAGTTCATTTCATAATTTTCAATGTAACATGATATTTGTGTTGGGGCTTATTCATCAATTATAAATTTTCTAGTCACTTCATGCTTTCAAAATTTGCCATTTGTCTTTTCATCATTTTTCCACTAAATTTTTTATTTTTTCTAATAACATTCGTTTGAATTTTCATTTATTTTGAAATTTGACAACTTTTTTTACTTGATATTTTGAAACTATTCCTTGATTGTTTTTGATTTGGAATTTATCTACTCATTTGTTTTGAGTTTATACCAACCCACTATCAACGATTTAGGCGTTTTTGTAGCAATATTTTTCACCAGTATGAATATCTTTGTAATGATATATTTTCACTAGTTTGATTCACTGATTCACTGATTGTAAGAAAACAGTTTGGTAGCATGTGGAGAGGGTGCATAAGATTAATTCTACAAGAAGAACTGGGTGTAAGATACAAAATTTCAAATGCTATACTTCTTGCTGAAACAGTTTGTCTATCTCTAGAGGCCGTTGCTCTTTACTTGACTATCACTCACATCAGAAGGATAATACCTCTTGATACTTCCTCTTCAAGCTTTGCGTGCTTTGAATCTATATTAGGACCTACAACCTATGGCACTTCGCGAGCGTCTATAGAGGAAATATTTAACATTTTTTGGACCAAACGAGTCACCAAGATGTAGTTTTCTCAACTTCATGTGAATCCTATGCTCGTTTATTGTGAACAAAAATACCTACTTGCAGTAATTTCTACGTCCTTACGTCATATTATCGCTAGGCATAGAATTTGTTCTCATAGACTTGGAATTGAGGGAGTACCCTGGTTTAATACTGATAGGAATGAACATATAGGCATAGAATTAGTTCTCATAGACTTGGAATTGAGGAAATTGCCTGGTTTAATACTGATAGGAGTGAACATATATGTAGATTATGTTACGGTGAGTATATTGAGGATGAATAAAATGAATTTGTAACTTGTCCTAGTTACGAAGAGATGGTTTGCTCATAATATAGATGTCAGTGATTTAAATTTTTTATTACAGTTAGTACTTTTTGATTTAGGTTGTTATATTAATGACATTATTAGTTACCATTCTAGTGATCTTGGCACTAGCTAGGGATTAATCTTTGGGATCTTTTCCCTTGTTTGTGGTTTTTTGTTTGTATTGTATTTTTCAACCTTTTGAACCTTTGTGTCCTTCGGTCTTGATCTATTAACTTTTACCATTTATCTGTGGAATAATATTTCTCGCCACTTTGAATCGATTTGTATCCATAATTTGATCCCAACCATATTTTCTTTTTCTATATTATCACAAAGTAGCATGATTGAATCTGTAAAATATATGATTCACCTTATTGAATCAAATTCCATATATCAAATAGATAGTACTTAATCATCAGACCTAGTGTGTCATTTTGACCAAATCTCTTCTATAAAATTTTCAATTATATTTTATTAACATCCATCCAAATAAAATCAATCGGTATCTAAAACTAAGCTAAAATATATTCTGGAAGTAATTGAATTCTATATCATAAATAGAATAGAATCAACCATTATCTTTGGATTTTATTCTAACCTTAAACTTGATGAATGACCATAAGGACATGCACATTAATCGAAAAGCCTTTGAGTGTAACTCTCCTGAAACTGATACAAGATAAAGTATAAAAACTAAAATGCCACCAGTAAAAAGATAAAAAACCCTTAATATCAATGTTACTAATTGGTAAAAGTAGTAAATTTTGCACTAAATAGTAGCAGTAATAAATGTAAATACACTGGGCTAATACACTGAACTATGAATTTCAATTGGCACGATGAGAATAAACATCATCTTACACCGATGGTATAAAAATTCAAGGTATCTGATCATTCTTAAGTTATACTAGATAATGACATTATGACGGTCGGCTGGATCCAACAAGTTGTTCTCAATAAATTTACACAAGTAACGTCTTCCAAGTACAGTGAAGTTCACGAGTGTTTTTCACGTCATTTAATGCATTATGACATAGTCGAGAAATGTACTTCGTTGTGATGCTCAGCATGGTTTTCTAGCCTACCAACTGAAGGACAGACTGCACTATTGTATGCAGCATTGCACGGTTTACCATAAATCTGATCAGCACATTGTAATCTCCTATAACAAGTTGGGATGACTATACATGATGATCTTTCTTTGCAATCAATTTCCATCTGATGGCATGAATTCAATCATAAAAGATTAATGATTTTGATAAATTATTTGCTTTTACAATTTGTCACACTAATAATATATATAAATATGAATATACACATTTGACAATAGGATAATAGAATAATATAGAATTTGACATGCAGGAGTTGAGACCTTTACACTGTGAACAAAGTTTTGAATCTATGCAAGTTACTGGCTTTCCTATTGCTACGTATCATTTTTATGGCATTTACTGTAATTCCCATAATTATTATTCTTCCGAACACTGTATACCTTGTGAATATCTACATTTAAATTACAGAGATTATTAAACCAAAACATATACCATATAGCATAAACCCTGAAACGAGGTGAGATCACATGTATAACATGCCTGTGGGCTCATCCACAACTCCACTCAAAGCAAGTACAACTCAGCTTTTATTGCAACATTGAATGCACTTCGGCGAGGTCCTATAACTCGGCTTGGAAGATGAAGATGGCAACTTATTCTGCATTGTGGGTCAGAGTTCACCTTGCGCTCTACTTGCGGATTTCATTTCTCTTGTTTTTGAAGCTCATTGGACGACAGCGGTTATATCAAGGTGAGACTGGGCACAACCACGTTATTTTTTTCTCCATCAAGAAGTGAAGCTAAGGATGGATCGATTGGAGCTAACTATGGACGAGATTTCTACTCTTGTTTTGCATGTGCCATGAGTTCAGTAGTCTATTTTATCATATATATAGCGCTTTTTAATTTGATGATTGTCGATGTTTTCTGCTCGTGTCTATCATTTTAACAGTTGTTGTTTTCAACAGATGTATTCGAGACAAATTTTGAGTGTAAAATTGTTATCAAATGTGCATGTTATTTGTAAGAAATACGTGTGAAACATCTATTGGGTATGAGTATGATTTCTCATGGTTGGAATACACTATGAAGACTTGTCTTTGATTTATTGACGATTCTCCACTTCTGACGTGTTCTCAATTCTCGCAAACAAAGATTTTAGTCTGCTACAATTTTGAGTGAGTCATGTTCTCTTAGAACGTAAATATCCAACTCAGTTGTGACTTATACTTAGTCACAACTCCATGATATTATTCCTGATTACGCGATATCTCAAAAAAATGAGATGAAAAAGGAGTCAACTTAAGTTAACACGTGATTCACGGTAAGTTGTCATTACATTTTATAATTCCTTCTTCTACTATTTTCTAATGTTTCATGAAAAGTATTTTTTAATGCTTCCTAGATTGTCTGGTTGAGGAAAATATGTTTGATTTGTCCACAACATTGTATTGTTTTGCTCATCACAACTCAATTGTTGTAATAGTTCGCAATAATTTTTTCAAGCGTGCAAGACAACTGTAGAGATCTCCACGAACAATAACTGGAGATATTGGAGAGAAAAGTTGACATTGTTGATTTTTGATAGATTAGTATTGACAAAAGAAACTTTATAGAATGAAATTTATAATAAATCATCTGGACTTTGAGTCATTTTTATCGTAAGAAAACTTCCTGCATACCTTCGGATTTATGGTAGTATAGATTGATATTATTTGACTTCATTAGATCATTGACTCAATACTGATTAGATGGCATTCTTAAGATATATCTATGAAATAAGAACTATAGATAGAATAGATGTGAGATTGTTTCATATGAACAAAATATCGATTCAGTCTTACTTTCAGGAATTTACATTCATCAGATAAAAAATTATGAAGCTATAATTCTAGCCAAGTCTGATTAGTATACCCATATATAGTTCTTCGTGTAGGATATACGTATCCACGAAGAATATACAAGCATCAGAATACTTCAATTTTCTCTTGAATCGACTCTAACCTTCATTATTTCATCTGACTTTTATATATGGTGTGATATTGTGAGAATAACCTACTTGCTAAGAAGACAAGAGGTGTACGTCAGTTCTCTTTCGTTTTCAAAACAATGTCCGATTATTATAAGCGTCAATAAAGATCGCAATGGAGTACAATACTTTCCCAATTTTGTGGAGTATGTATTTTTCATTTCTCTTCAGATTCTCCTGTGATATACTTTGACATCAGTATATATCGTGATAGATTCATGGAGGTTGAAGAGCTTGCATCTACGGACGCGCCGTCAGCGGAGCCACAACGGGCTGTGGAGGCGGAAATCGTTGAAGAGGAGATTGAAGAGCTGTTGCATGGAGTGAACTGCGACTGCCATCCATTCGACGCTGTAGCTCTCAGCGAGTACATGTTAAAGCATGCAAAGAAGGCTTTCATGTCAACTCAAAGACGTGATTTTATTCTCAGGTTCGTTGAGGATTATCAGCGGAGCTCTCCTCAACCGCAGAGGGAGGAGTATTCAAGCGATGCTGAATTCCAAGGAGCTCTGCGAGCTTGGTATTGCATCTTCCTCCTCGCCTCGGACGAAGCTTTAAGAAACTGGGAGCGACGGATGCTGGCGCAGTTCCAACACCCACGTAAACGCTTTCTACAATCGGTGATAGACGTGTTCAAAGCGATCAACGATTTCCTCAACCTCCAGCTGGAGAAACTGAAGGAAGAAGGTTGGATTCTTCTCGTTCATGCTGCAAGCGACTTCAAGGACTTTATTCAGATTCAGCTTCCCATCTGTGTCTTCTTCATGATGGTTGCGATTTGTGCCTTCGCCTTTTCAAACTTCTTGGATACTCAGACCAAGAAGTATCTGACTGAATGAACTTTCATCAGTTCGATCAGTCGTCGCCAGTGAGTGTAGAGATGAGTCCACAGCATTACACTCACTCTCTGTTGAGTTTTAAATGCTGGTGCACATTAAGGTGTTGATCTTGCGTGATCCAGCTTGTAAGTTTCTATTATCATAAGCAAGTGTCTTCAAAATTTGGACTCGTTGATTCCTCTATATTTGTTTTTTGTGATGGTCGACTATTTTCCTACCTTTGACTATTTTGTTTGGATAGGTCGAGCAATCTATGAACATGACATTGCAATCGGTGGAAGCATGAGATTCTTTACTTGGTATTAATTTGATAGCATCGGTATCATATAGCATATAGCTCACTGCTAGAACATTGAAAATTGTTGAAATGTGATTTCTACTTTTACGGTGCACATTTTGCTACTAAATAAAACACGATTCACTTCAGAATTCCGGAAATGATTGACTCATGAAAAATATGGACTCTAAACTTGCTAGGTCAGTAGATAATATTATACTTTTGGACTTTTATCAACACCTTCACATCTCCGTATTAAATAAAATTAATCTTTTAACCCCCTATACGATGAGTACACAAAACTTTTGAAGTCAAGTATTGTGGCGATATCAACCGCTAATTTGATGTTATATCTTTTCAAACTAATAGTAACATAATTACTATAAGTAGTGCTGTCACATTTCTAATATGAAAACAACACACGTAGTATGTTGAGATAGATTGAAGCAAGTCTCTCTGAATAGGAGTTCAAACTTTGGGGCCAACACGTCGACCTGATCACAATTAACCATATATGAAGAGTCATAGGAATGATTTCATTTGTGGAAGAGTTTCTAAATGCAGGTGCAATTATCTTAAAGCATGATTCAAATGTATGATTTTCTCTCATTCCCGCTGCTAGGAATGGCATTCGTCAATTGTAAGCAGTTTGCCTCGTCATCGGCTGCACATCAGGCAAGAATTGAGGTCAATCGACATGTTACAAACAAGGACATGCTTTTTGAGTTGCATGCTTAAGGTTGAGATGCTCTAGTTTATATCATTCGTAATATAGTTCAAGAAAATCTTCACATCATGGCCAACTACAAAAGAGCATGTTCCACGGTAGTGGCAAACTTACTTTTGGTATATCTTGTATCCTAAGATGTAAATAATGTGTTGAAGATGCTAAGATCGTTATTTTGTGATGAATTTGTAGTAATGACATTAGTCTTGGTAACTTAGAGGGTTTTTTTTAAGTTTAAGAAGCCTTGTGAATAATTTTTTTTGGATGTGATGTCATGACAGTAAAACTAACGGGAATAGCTGTAAGATGGCTTAAAGAAGGCGAATTTGAGTGAATGGACATAATGATATGATTTGTTCGGGTTAGAGAGTGAAAATAATATATGTGAGCATATTTGGGTTGCTGAGTCGACTAAATTAAGAATCTGTTTACAAATCATCAATCAAAGTAATTTACTTCATTTAATAGTAGTTTGAATACGAAATGATAACCTAAGGTTGTGTAGATGGTAAGAACTGCAATAATAAACTTTGAGACTTTGAATGAATAATGATTATGTAAACATGTGTAGAGATTAGAATAAAAATAAGTAAATGATTAGCACGTAGTTAGTGTATTAAATAGAAATTGTACCTCCTAATTAATGTTTCAAAATAATAATAATCAATATAATCTAAAAGCAATTGAATTGTTCAAGTTGAAATTTATGATGTATTTGAAATTATTTTTTTGTAAAATTCGTTGTGATACGAGACGATGTTAAAAAAAATCTGAAACATCTGAAATAAAAAAACATAGGCTTTTAAAAAAATTCATTAGAACATCTTTAACAATTTTGAAGTCTCTAAAACAATTAAAATTTTAATCTTTGAATGTTAAAGTCAATGAGTTAAGAAATTCTAACCGCTGTATAATGCATTTGTAGAGTAAAAATAAGAAAAAGAAAACAGAGTTACCTCAAGTAAATGACAAAATTTATGTTGAATAGAAATAGCGTAAAGTACTCCAATTGATGTTCATTTTATGCAATAACTTTTGTGATTAGGACTTGTGTAATGACATTTTGCATATGTAAAAGTGTGATGAGTTTTTGAAGAAAGTGTAGTTTTGTACCATATTTAATGACAAATTTTTTTTCATATATATATATATATATATATATATATACACACGTTGACTACAAGTCACTTGACATAAGAAATTGAGAAGTTGAAAATGCATTTTGAAATCAACCATCAATCTTCCACTTCCAAGGATTAATTAACCAGTATTGAACCATGTAGCCAGTATTCTTCTCTTTCAGATTGGAAGATGATTTCGTGCTATGGGAATTTAATTCATGCATTTTTCGATAGATAGACATGAATGAGCTTCATAGTCCAAGAACTATGATTAACACTTATCATGATTAAGATTTAAATATTACTAACATAATTAATAATAGAATGGGATATACGATAAGATAAAAACAGGATTAGATATACTAATTAGAGTTAGATTTTCTAATTACTTTTCATGAGATAAAATTCTACTGCAATGTTTTATAATTGTATAAATATGCAAGTTATAATCACACATGACCATAATACAGAATAAAATAACTATTGAATGTATCATAATATACTATACAGATAAAAGCGTGATGATAGATATCACCTTGATCAATCTATATGAAATAAGAATATGTCATAGCACATAATTCTTCATCTAATCTTATTAAAATTTTAAAAAATATAATTATCTTGGACATTTTGATAAGTAAACCAGTATATAACTGAATGAGAGTGACACAATGTAAACAATAGGCACAAAGATTGTGACCATGCATGAAGAGCTGAATTTGAAGAGAGTGTTGAAATATGTGTTGAACTTTAGTTTCAGGTGGCAGAAGCCAACAGGACTTCTACCTGGAAAACCTCAGCCTCAATCTATAAAAGCCCTCGAAAGAACCCATGAAGAGTTAAAAAAATCGATGACAATAAATGCTGAAATGAATCAGAAGTGAAATATTCCAGGATTTAGAGTCCTGCTGGGATGACTACTACCCGAAGTATCGGTGCGTTGCGATACATATTGAGGATATGCATCTTTCATCACTTGAACTGATTCTACGTTACCAACCACGACCATAGTCCTGCACAGCAAATGCGACGGCGACTCGGAGCGTACGTGCCACGCAATGGCTGCAGGCAAGGCTGCAGATGGTTGGTGTAAATCCCTATATCTGCTCCGAGCTGTGGAAGATCATGTCGAGACTCGCTGGAAACGAGAGACGATTGTAGGCTGAATGAAAAACAATCTCCTGTTCGGCCTTGATGTTGCTTGGAATTGCCGTCTGAACTGTCCTCCTTCTCATCCACGATCATCAAATCCTGCACAGTCTGCATAGATTCACCTTCCACTACTTCCACTAGAGTTGGTGTCTTCTGGACACATGATCTCGATGGCGACGAGTCTCCTTTCTTCCAGGGATACAGCTCATACGTGTTTATCATCGGCATTTCCCAAGGCCACGGCATTGTGTTAGCATGCGAGAGCGATAGAGATCGACGCTTCCAGAAATGGACTTCCGTAACGTGACAGGAAAGCAAGACACATGGAGACGATTGGACAAATGAGAAAGAAAGAACGCAAGGAATGTATAGCCGCTCGCCCTCGAGCAAAGAGCTTCTCCCGAACTCGAAAAGATTGAGAGATGAGAAATCGAGTATCGTTTCGAGTTCATACGGTGGACAGAAACAGGTCTAATTGTTTTTAAGTGAAGATCAAGAAGTGTGGAAATGAAGATGTCGATCTTGAAATCTCTACTTCGAGACACTCGCAACTTTCCTTCCCATTTGAGCTGCGGACATGCTGCATGGGCAAAATCCAGTCGCCCGTGGATGGTACAGCATCGAGGAATATTCCACACACGCCAAGAGTGTGCGAGAAATTCTACCAGACTAGCGTGACCATGAGAGTTTCACAGATTCAAAATTTGAAAACAATGGGGGACGTTGGATCTCTGACTTACCTATGGTTTGAAATTAATTCGGATTCACCGATCTAACTTGCATGAAACTTCTTCTAGAACACAAACAAGTAACAATATATCAAAGATAATTTAAGAACAAATGATTATTGGAAGCTTAATCAAGCATTGCAAGAGGAAATCAATGGAAAATCACGAACTAAAAATTGATATTAGAAAAGTAATTCTTTAACTTATGAAAAGTAATCTACATATACATTCTCATATTCATTTCGGGGATGATTCTAGTCACTTAATTCGATGGATGAGACATTAGAAGATGAATATTAAAAGATAATGAAGGTACTTAAGAATATTCAACTGACCAAAACCGCTGTTACGAACATGATTTATATGAAATTTGATGTATTTAGCATAAGATTCTACGACATGCTCCTCTTGAGTTAGATCATCAATGAGTAATGGCTGTCTTCATTTTCATTCATCTCTCTACTTTGCACTACCGTTTGAAGGTATCGAAACTTTGAGGTCGTCTCATGCTCACTATCTACTCGCTGTAATCTCAGACAATACATTAAGATTGTATTTCAGGAGTTTCTGAAAGGTGTTTACAAGATTACATAGGCCAGAATCTTCACATTCATAATACTTGTCACTAGTAAGCGAACACAAATCCTTCAGTGGCGTAGTGGAATAAGGCTCGGAGTGACAGAAGTCAGTCCATCATTTCCTGATTGAACATCTTTATTTGCCTAAGACTTATCTCATTGTCTTCTATTACGTGACAATGAGATAAATATTTGTGCGAAAACTGCTCAGAATTTATTCGATAATTGATACATTTGTAGACAGTTGGACGAGTTGAAAATTGATGTGACTTTGAAGTAGATGTGAATCTACAGATCACGAAAGGAGAGTACAGGACTAGTATTGTGCAACCAGTCACATGCCAGCTGTGCATCAAGAGAGTATGTGTGCTCTCGCCTTGTCAGAGGTCTTAGTCGGGCCGAACATCGATGGTCAAATCCTTTCCGGCTCTATTAACAGGTGCAAGGTGTGTGACAAAGGGTTGATGATTTCTAGAACGAGGCTTCACTGGCAAATACTCTACGCTGAAACTTCCGTGAGAGTCTGTAATTATTGTGTGTGTATTACACGTGACAGTACAGCTGGCCTTCGAATTCCTTCTTTTGCAGTTGCTACAAGGTACGTCATTACTAGGTACTTCACAACAACTGGACATCCCAACAATAGTTGAAACCATCGATTACGTACATTCTTAAATGACGTTGTTCTTTTCCAAAGGTTCATCTCTACGCATCAAATTCTGATTCACATGGGTGAGTATTGTTCATTGAAGCAAGCAAAATCATTTTAAATGGATATATATATATATATATATACATACATTATAAAAAAATTTATTTTCTTTTCTTCGAATTCTAGTTTGTTATTCAAAATAGGTATCATCATAAGTTTTTCTTTTTCATTTCTACAGTTTTGTTCATAAACCTCAATCAATTTCTTTTACCTATTATATCCAAAAAATCTATATTTTTCAATGATAGTAAAAATCAATTGAATTTTCCATGAACAGTTTCCATGAAATATTCAAACGGTTAGAGAAACCAGAACACATTATATTCCTACCTATTTCATATTCGAAAAATGTCACTAATTACAAGTGCTCAAAATATTCCTCTTCAAGTCGGCTATGTTCTTAAAGCTTCAAAAAAAGTTTCTTTGGACGGGCTTCAAAAGATGTCAAGAAGAAGCTTTCAAGTACTCTACTGGCGACATCTTGAGGAGCTTATGGAAGGTACTGATTATGAAATTTTTAGAAGATTGTGTATCAAAAGTTAAATACATTTGGTTGAATTGAAAATTATAAATTTAAGTTTGCAGACAATACTTAAAGTTGAGATCTGCCGCTTTGTATTGTAGATATAGAAAAGTATGTTGAGGAAATAACAATATTCAGTGCTTTATCATTATGGACTGACAGCCCTGCGTGTTATGCTTTCGTGCATGGACGATTCGTGTCCCTTCAAACTGTAGAGACTTGGTGAGATCTTTGGTAAGTTCATTGTACCTTCGAGTTGGTAATGTTTGCAGAGAGTTTGGTGAAGTCAATGTGAACCAACACGAACAACCTTGGTGTGAATCCGTATGATGGGTAGCTTGAACCTTCTCTCTTGACTTCGCTTTGACCCAAGCTTTGAAACGTTTAGCTTTTTCCCTTGGCTCAGCTTCACCACCGTCACAGAGACATGCCAGCATCCACAGAGCATTCAATGTCCAAATTTATGTTTTGTTTGTTTTGATGAATGTCCACTGAGTGTTTGATGATTTGTTTTATGATAAGTCGAGCTAAGAAATAAATACAAAATCATTGGACTTTTAAAAAACTCATATACATATATGGTCTCTGAAAAACCATTCCATGCAAGAAACCTCCTGTCCTCGAGAAACTTACTCGAGGACAGGAGGTCTACTCGAGGACAGTAGACCTCCTGTCCTCGAGTAGACAGGAGGTCGAGTAGACGAATGAGAGCAGGCAGAGGCATGCAGATGACAATTAAAAGTTTTGAAATATTTAAAACTTAAATGTTTGAGTTTATGTAAAGAAGGCCGGTGGGTGCATCATGTTGGGATCTACAGTATTAAACATATATTGGTTCCGGATCGTTTCTAGTCTATGTGGTGAAATCTGAATCCAAAAATGACATATTCATATCTTAGAGATCAATATGTGGTACACATACAGTGAAGATTTCTCGGCTGCATGTAAACTAGTAAAAGAACTGAATAAAGTTCTTTTATTCACGCTGCTTCTGATGATGGTGATATTCATCTCTTTACAGGATAGTTTACTTCTGATGAAAAAGCGGAGACTTGTTTAAATGAATGTCATTCAAGCTAGTTCACATCAGATAATATGTATAACAAAATGGCTGCAATCACTCAATCATTATTTTATATACAGGTACAGTTATCTGCCATAGTTACATAAAAACATTTACAAGTTCAATGGTCTTCAGTATCCACTATTCTTAGTGTCTATGTTCTATTTCGACATTGAAACTTTGACTCCCATTTTAAGATTGTACTCAATTGGTCGAGTAAAGATAAATTTCTTCTCTAAAGTTTTGAAAATTAAGTAACACTAGAAACAATCTCAACATGATGATCATTGTACAAATCGACCCGGTTTTTGTTGAAATAATTGTGATTGATTTCTTTACCATGTATATTGTATGTAACCTCGGAATGGTACTGTAACTTGACACCGCAAGAAGCCTTGCCCTTATTCGGGCTTTAGTACTGATGCAACAATCACAAACCTACAATTTGTCTCCTGATGTATCAAATCTCATCTATGAGAATAAAATATATATTTACATGCAAAAGGAGAATTTTCATAATATCTAAGGGTACAACGGAAAGCATGAGAATTAAGGCTTCAGGTTCAATTAAAGAGAAAGATTTGTTTTGATCTTCCCGTACCATGCAAAATGAAATGCAAACACAATTGTAAACTTAAATCATTAAATGTGGAGTACAAAGTTCGCGTAGATAGGTAGATGGTAGAACGAGCGAAAGCTAAATCAAATTTGAGGATTATGACTGTATCTTGTAATGTCAGATAGGGTAGGGTATGATGGACGACGTACTCTTCTACCAAATTTAAGTAAGGCCAGCAATCAGAAGGTACGCGAAACCAACCTGGTTCAAAATGGACTGAAAATGGAGTTCCGCCAAAGGAAGGCGATGCAGCAGTTGCATTGCAACTCATAAGATAAACGTCCTGAGTGTGCAGAACGTAAATGATAACTCGGTGCCAGGCCGGATACATTTTCAGTCTGGGCAGAAGATCAGACTGCACAAATTGCATGTGGAAATTTGATATATGTTTCCAAAGTACTATTCATTGAGTGTCAGATATCCCACCAGGTACTAACAGCTACTGTAGATAATTCTCCTGTGCGTTCATCCTTTCATTGAGGGATTGCAAAATAACCCAACGCAGATTTGAAGAGTAGTCTGAGTATTTCTAGACATGAAGTGGGACCACTAGGGACAGATGTCGAATTAAGGGAATAGACTTGGCAAAATTGGTGAGGTCTGTTGAGAATTTGAATCCAGTCTCACATGCCTACTCAGGAGGCAGGCTGAATACTAAGTTCGTAGGAAGTGTATAAATTAGAGCAGTAGGCCTGAAATTGAATATTCAGGCACCTCGATTTCTAGCTCAAGTCTGAATCATAGTTTCTCTCTGCTCTGTATCTTGATCAGTCCATTTCATAGTTCCAATTCTTCTTCTTCTGATGCATTCAGACAGAGTGAAAGTTTTTTAACACCTCCAGCTTTGTATTACAATCAGTCAGTTCTGGATTTCAGTTTGTTTCTTAGTCAGTGACAATACCTCTGTGGAGTGTTGAGAATCCACAAAGCTCAAGCTGCCAGTTTCACGTATTGAATCCTGAAGCACTTCTGATTTTCCAGTCTCAGTTTCAGGATTACACAGTCAGTGAGGACTAACATTGAGTTGGATTCTCTTCCAGTGGCATTCTTCTTCTGAAAATTTCAGAATCTTCAAGTCTCAAGCTGCCAATCGTTTCAGTACTTGACACCTGATGCATTTTTTATTGCATCAACTTTCCTGTCTCAACTTCGGAATTACACATTCTGTGAGTACTAACATTGAGTTGTATTCTCTTCAAGTGGAAATCTCTCCTCGAAATATTCTGAATCTACAAGGCTCAAGGTGCTAAGCCCTCCAGTAATTGACGCCTGAGGCACTTGTGATTGCACCAATATTATCGTTTCATTTCTGAACAGCTCAATTGAGACTAACAGTGAGTTGGAATTTTCTTTAGTTGCATTTACTCTTTTCCTTCTTGACAATCCAATGTGCTCATTCAGCCAGTGAATCTCGGTGCAATTGGCACGTTTCTTCATTAGAAAACGGTCACTTGAACCAAGAGTTCTTGTCTCTGCTCAGCTTGCAAAATTTCTGAGATACCATATTAGCACAATGGCCAAATTGCTATCTCCGTTCCTGAAATCTAGCGTAAAAGCAGATCAAGAAGAATCAGAAGGGAGCATCAGTATTCTGGAGCTAACAAAGGAGGTTCTAGTGAGGGGGATTGATAAGGTTCCGAATAATCTGCTTGTGCCAGAAGAATGCCGCCCCAAGAGAATTCCATGGGGAGAAATCCCTGTTGTAGATCTCTCCAAAAAGCACTCCGACAGAGGACAAATTTGTCTAAAAATGGGAGATGCTGCCAGGAATTGGGGAGCATTTCAGGTAATCAACCATGCAATTTCACCTTCAACCTTGAGGAAAATGGAAAGCGAAGGAAAGGACTTTTTCTCTTCTCCCATTCAAAAGAAGATGCAGGTAAGGAAGGGAGTTACTAACCGAGCATATTACACTGGAAACAATTCTGAGGAAAAATGGCACAGTCTCCATTGGGCAGAGAGTTATGTGCAGCTCTGGAACAAGTGGACTGAAATGGATGACACTGTCGAGAAGCAAACATCTGTCCTCTATCCTCAAGGAAATGATGAGTACAGGTATGTACATAGGTATTCAAGTTATTTTTTCTAAAACTGCATTCTTTGATTAATAGTGAGTATACAAGATTATTGATTGATTGGGAGCAAGTAGAAGTATAAATCAGAAACTAACGCATTTGTATAACCAGGCTTTTGGTTGCAGAATTCATGGAAGGGATCAGGTCAACTACGGAACTGATTATGGAGCTGCTAGCAGAGTACCTGGGCCTGGAGTCGAATTTTTTCTCAAAATTCTGTTTTCCAAATGGCACGTCAGTGACCAGATGGAATTACTATCCACTTTGTCCAGTGGCAGATATGACCCTTGGTGCTCGTCAACACACCGACCCCAATTTCATCACTCTCTTATATCAGGATGGTGTAGGAGGGCTGCAGGTGGAAAAAAATGGAGAGTGGTATGGTGTTCGACCGATCAAAGAAGCACTGGTCATCAATATTGGTGACGGCTTCCATGTGAGGACTTCGACTTCACATCAGATCTTTTTATCCACTTGAAAACAGTCATTTAATAAAAGCATGAGTATGATGTAGTTAGAACTAACTAAATTCCTACTGATATCAATGTGTTCAGATAATCAGCAACGGTTACTTCAAGACGGTGCTTCATCAAGTGGTGGTCAACGAACATTCACATCGGCTGTCTATGGTGTGTGCAATATATCTGGAAAATCATGCAGATCTATCTGCTCCAGAACAGCTCGTCAGTGAAAGAGTTCCTCGTCTGTATCAGAAGATATATTCTTATGAGTACTGGAACTTAATATTTGCTGGAAGAGAGAAGTCGTCGCCCATGGATGCTAGTGTTTTGAACGGTCTGAATGTCTTAAAGAATTTACGGATCTTCTAAACATGTCACTATCGACAAGGCATAGTTCTGAGGATGCTGATGTCTTTAGGATGTCTCTTAGCATGGACTTAATAACACAGTTATGAGCATGCTGATGTCTTCAGTAAGTCTCCTAGCATGGTTCCAATAAAGGCAGCCTGAGTCACTGCCTGATTTCACGTTTTGATTGAGAAAAAAGCGAGACTATTATTTATAGGTTTTTGTAGGATGATCGTTATCTTTCTTCTGCTAGAGGAGTTTTACACATATACGTGTATCCTCTTGTCACTAAAGTTAAATAAACAGAAAGAGTGATGATTCCTAAGCTTTCTTCACATGCCATTGAGACTGATTGTCGCGTCACAAAAAGGTGAATGAATTATCAAATTCATTGATCTACTTATAAACAGCATTCTATCTGTCAAGAGATGCATTTGACATGGTAATCAATTTTTGCACTACAAGATGTTGAGGGCACATGCGATACCCATGCGACTGACATCCATTGAAAGTTAACGCTCAATCAATGAATGATCTTCAACTCCTAACAGAGAGTCATATGAGTTCATAAACTTCAGAATCATTGACGAATGTATTATTCATAAAGTAAAAGTACCCTCAGTATATCACAAGAAAGTTGAGAGAAAAATCGAAATATACAAGTGGTCCAGGGCATGGAAATTGTTACAAATACTAAATGCATATTGAGATATATATGAATTAAAGGTTTCTATGGTATAACATTGACATGCATCGGTCCCTGGTTCTGACATAACTCTGAGTTCAAGAATTCATCAAAACGATGTGGCAATAAATATTAACAGACCAGTGCACTGGTCTGTTGATATTTATTGCCACATCGTTTTACACATATTTTGTAGAATAGAAGTAAATTTTCAGCAGATTTTCCCTGTTTACTTCACACTAAGAAAAAAGACTCCATAAGATTTCCCAATATATTTCAACGTATTGTAATGAAAAGGTATGCAATGATACCATTGTAATAGTAGCTTGGAAACTTGTTCTCTGCTAATCTTTCCCTTTCCACCTGAGTAAGGATGTGCTGAAGATCTTTCAAGTAGATATCACCAACGAAGACATTTCATATTAATTTGTTTGAACTCGAAAAGTAGAATAAAGATATTGATTCTATCACGTGTGTTCTAGTACTCGATTTCTACTGATTTTACAATCATTAGAAAATGAGTGTCGTCAAACACCTTCTTTGGCAAATTCTCTGTCGTGTATAGAGGGCCTTTTACGTTGATCGCTGTATATATGTATATTGAACTATCTTTAGACTTAATTTTGACAAAGATTTCGCTTAAAAAAGCTTGAAACATCATGCGCAGATAAATTAAGCAATCATACCCATTATAGTTAATATAACAAGTTGTAGCTCTTTTTAATCTGAGAATAGGCAAAAGAGATCGTTGGAGTAAAACAGTTTGCTTTGCGTAGTATTCGAAAATACAAACAAGGGGCAAATCTGTGAATTATGAGTGAAACAATAAAATGAAAAAACAAAGCCACAATAATCCCTGAATCAGAAAATCTCAGAAGTAATCTGAGGGGGGTTCCTCATCTGAAAATACTAAAACTTTCATGGGCGAAAATTTCGAATACCGACAGTAACAGGATGATGAATGACGCCTATGAAGGCAATCTTGTACTCAATTCGGGAAGCAAATTCCTGTTATGAGAAAATAGCATTTCATACTCAAAGCCGAAAGAGTGTAAGAACTTTGACATGTTCAGGGATTTCTTTTTTCGAAACGATGGACGAACTAGCTAATTAAACGTTCCATGTTACGTCATGGCGTTGCATCTCCTGGGCCAGTGGAATGATTAGAAAACTCTCTTGCAGTCGAGGATTAAAACTTAATTGTTATGCGGCTCGATCTTGCATCTCCAATGATGATGGAAGAAAGATGTGACTCTCTCTTGGATGTAGATACTTGGGAAACCTAGCAGTCATATCAGCTGGATGTCTATGACGTCAACAGAATCAGACTCTTGTTTCAGATTTCTAACCACGAAATCACCGTTTTTCCTTTAAATATCTGATTTTCCTGTAAGTCAGTATCTGGATATGGTTCGAAGAGGAAGGTTGATCGTCAAGGTCTATGATTTATGTCCTATATCCATTTCGTCCAGGCAATTAAAGTAAAATTCTGCTCCCGGTCAAATCCACATCAAAGCTGTTCATCCCATGATCTACATTCAAGTCAAAAAAGCATTACGTAACAAAAACACTAAAAGGTGTTATCGACATGAATTAGCTGCTAAGTTTGAATATATAGTACCAGATAAATAATTTACTATAATGATACTAAAGTTATAAACAATACCATTAACTTAAAGCTAGAGATCAAGTCCCCATATTTCAGCATAAATTTTTAATTTTTAATTTTAGATCATAATCTATAATTTAAGTTACATGTAAGAATTTGAGAAGTATATGTCAAAATATCCAAAAATCAATAAATGATTTCACCAACTAATTTTTTTTAAGAATCTTGCTCTTTTACGTTTAGCACCAGTCAATACACAGTAAAAGAAGATTGAGTAAAGTACATCATATAGAAATCTTTAATATTTGATAGATATATCACATTACATAGCCAGCTCTAATGCATTCTCTCGGAATTAAATCTTTTCAATTTGACATCTAAAATGCTAAATTAACAAAAACTTGAACTTCATCCATACTTGTGAAACCTTAGTTACACTTTTTCCATTTGCCCGTACATGTAAGAGATGAGTAATCATCATTTTTTTTTTGCTTTAGTTCCATATATATACATATAAGAATATGAGTCATCATCACTTCTACACTTTATAATGTGTAACATACCAAACATCAACCTAAAATTTGATACATTGCAAAATATATTAGATTCATACAATCTTTCCAACCATATATGAACATAAAATCATGAACCATGTGTTCCACCTAATTTAATACCACATTCATGTGGGATAAAATCGATCTAGAGAAAAATAGATCAAGCTTATCCTAACTATAATAGAAGTAACTTTTGTCATTTGAATGTAAATGAAATTTTCTTTGGGTTAACCATATCTTAAACAATACATGGATTATGGATATTGTTCGGATTGTAAGTACGCCGTAAGTTATACTATATACACATGTACTCATGCGATATGAATCCGGCTAATCTTGCATTCGTCTCATTTTTGCCATGTATGAATAATACAAATTTGAGTTGCTCTTCTTTTCATGCTTAATCCAATCTTCCGAATGTCACGATCTCTCAAATCGATGCTGCTGAGCAGAGAAGTCGAAGGACAATGACATTCGTAGTCCAGTAGCCTTTCTCGTGAAGATGTTCATGTTCCATGTCGGGATCAAGCGATTTCGTAAGATCAGTGCGGAAACCATCTTTTGGCTTCGGGCCTGATGGACGAATATGCTATCGCTTGAAAGTGAAGGATAGTGAAGGCAATGTGACGCTGCTGCCTAATCCTCTACGAATAAGGACTTGCAGTGTGGTCGATGTCAGCTTGGAGAGAGGAGATGAAAGATCGTCGTTTCCCATCCAATGTGCGTACTGCGAGACAAGACCAGAAGCAAGGTGGATCTGGTCCGAACCAGACGAGCGAGAAGCACAAGCAGAGGAGATCATAAAGCCCAAGAGTTTCTTCAAAATCCTTCTGAAAAGCATTGCAGATTTCTTGGGTTTGCGAAGGAAGAAAAAACGATGAAATTGTCCTCCATCACCTCCATGTGAGTTGAATATTTTCTCCAACTCGACAGTAAAGTCGTACCTTATGATAATTTTTTCTTGATTCTCTTCCTAGAAGATGTTGCGCTTTTCTCAATAGTAAACCTTATGTTCTTAGTGTCTTCCGCTACTTTCTCTCTCAATATTATGTATGCTTTCTTAACTTCAATATCTGCATCCTTCTGACGAACCTTCTCATGATCGGAAGAATGTTCCGTTCAGTTTTCTCCAGAGACTCCTGCTGGTGGTACTCAATTTTATGATGGATTTTTGTATTCGTTTGTGTGTGGTCGAAGCCTCTAATTAGTTACAGAATATGTCATATTTGGTAATTTTATCATCCCGATCTCGCCTCCAGAGAATAATGTTGGCGTTTGTAGGCTCCAATGTTCTGAAACTAACTCCTGTTTTTTTGTAACACAGCTTCCCTACACTGCCTATTTAGTTTTGTGTTTATACCGTAGTCATTCCTGCAGCTAAGAAGGTTCTCAAACAACATAAGGTGCTGAGTTACTGTAAAATGGATACATGAATCGAACTCATGAACTGAATATTTTAATTCTTTTGTATGTAAAAGGTCTTGGGATTTTCAATGCTGTTCTCAACATCTTGTCCAATTTCTTACTGTAAATTATGTGTGGAATTTTTGTCCACTGTGGAAGCGAAATCTAGTGTAAGAGAGGCTGCTCATAATTGGGAGCTGACTCGTTTGTCCTGTGCATCAGGAAACTGAAGATTTGCAAGATGTGTACATTGGGCGACAACTTCTTGGAGACTTGCAGTTTAGAAAAGAGGATTTTGTGGGGTATCAAAGCTACATGTTTTTCCTTAATTCTCTAAACAGCATCACTTAGTAACAAAAAGATGGCATACGATATCAGTATACTACCGATAGACATAACGACTTGAAAGCTGACATCATAACTTTGTGTCTAGAGCTTCACTTTTTTGTGGCAGTCAAGTAATGGGCTTTCAGACCTCAGTTCGATCACCGTCTGTAGTATACTGGCATTGATGTATGGTCTTATTTATGTAATCCGTTGAATACTGGTTTGGTGGTCACGCTGAAATTTTATGTGCACAAACTTGACGTTTTTATTCAACAGCGAATTTGTGAGTCTTGGCTACCAAGTCAACAAATGTTTTCAAGTCATACCAAGTGCAGACTTTTCACGGGAGAATACTTGATATTATGAAACCTAGATACAACGAAAAAAGTATAAAACCCTGACAGTAACTCAATTAGACAATGTCTTGACTGCTGCTCGATCAAATATATTCTCCGATAAACTGAAGCCTTTTTCCTTGGTACGGGTATAGCATTAATCGTATAACCTTCTTTACCTTTTAATCTCTATCTATCTAATATCTAAATATATAATCTTCTATTCTCTTGCACAAGATGGACATAACATTGACTGGATAGCGCTTGCTGGTTGCAAACTGATGGAAGCTGGGACGGTAGACAAATATCTTGGTGCAACTGGGATGGAAATTACCTCTGAGCATGGTGATGATTTATGCATGGAAAAGGTGGCCGAGACTCTCGGTGGTTGGGATTCTACTTTCCTCTCCTGTGAATCGCGTCATACTCTACTACAGCTTGTGCCGCAGGCACAAGCCACTTTTTATGTATCTTTGATGTGTTTTTCGGCTAAAGCTTGCAAAAAGATTGAACAGTTGTGTGGACATTTTTTATGGGGATATAACAAGGAGGGCTCTGCAAAAATTGCTCTTGTCAAATGGGAGTTTGTTTGTAGGCCCAAGTCAAAAGGAGGTTTGGGAATCAATCATCTAGTTGATTGTAATACTTCTCTCATGTAGATATGGTAAGGAGCCATTATTGATGGTGATGCTGGCGTATGGGGAGAACCGTTCGATGCTATTGTTAAGATCAGTGGGCAAAGATATGGCAAGAATATTGTTAGAAGCAAGTATAGCTTGGTTTATCTTATTTTGACCAGGCAACCCCTTCATCTGTCTAGCACTGATATGGTATCTCTTATTATGAAAAACTGGAATTCTATCAGACCAAATCTTACCTGGTATCCTCTTGATACAATTATATTGGAGGCCAGTGCTAATCGGAGAGAGTAAAATTTCCCCATACATATATTTTTCCTATAGTTTTTTAGTTCTTAAAGAATTGGTGATTTTCCTTTGAGTTCAAGCACTCGCTGGAAGGTGAGAGACCATCAAGTGACTAGTAATTTCACTAAAGCGAGAAATTGCTGGTATAGAGAGTGTGTCCATCACGTTTCTCTTGCTGAACATCTGAACAGAAAATGGCACTATGATAAATCTGAAGACGACTGGTGTAAGTTGTTTGCTATTCTTCAGTCGTGTTGGAATGTAAATCGAGACAAAATTTTCATGTGGCGTGTTCTTCATCATGGTCTATACACAAATAAACTAACCTCTTGTATAGGCCACGGTGACTGTTTTTGTCGAAGGGCATATAACGATACTGAATCTGTTCGTCATATTTTCTCTGATTGCCCCTACGCTCGGAGTACCTGGGATACTTTGGCCAAGTTGCATTGGAGCAATGCTAGCCACAAGAATATTTTCCAGCAAGCAAATAATCTACTGTATCTTTTGGAGCTTGGCCTGCAGAAATCAATTGATGTTCAGGGCGGAGATGATTGGATGCTGATGACGGAAATATGCATACATCTTTGGGTTAGTAGAAATCAGGTTGTTAACTCTAGTCTTGATGTTATAACTCAACATTCATGCTTGATTTTGCAACATTATTGATAAGCCTACCGTTCTTTGGAAAGAGTCAAAACCTCCGTAGTCTTCCCAAGAAGCTTTTGGTCATTGCTCAAATGCTCCAATATTCATTAGTTAGTAGGTTCACTACTAGAATTGAAAGATGTTTCAACAAACGTGTAGAATGTTACTCTAATCTAGATGGTAGAACAGAAGTTCACCACAGGATGCGGCAGCTTTCGGAACTGATCTTTTTGAGCCTTGTGCTAGGAGGGTTATAGATTCGTCCCAATCCTAGCTTTATCTTTAGGGTTCCACGTTAGACCTAGTTGTTCTGCAATTTTTCTTGAAGGTGCATCTCTCCAACACGTGGTTTCAGGTAAGAATCGGCTTGTGGTTCTGGGATGAGCTGTGAGATTATCGAACTTATCTTCGTTAGAATTCTTTCCCTTTGGAGCTTTGTTTGAATCCTCTCTCGCAACTCTTCTCAGTCCAGTACATTTACTTTCTCTTTTCTGCTTGGTTGTGTAGATGCTTTTTCTCGGCTTGGTTTAATGAGCCCTTATCTTCGTTAGAATTCTTCCCCTTTGGAGCTTTGTTTGGATCCTCTCTCGCAGCTACTCTTAATCCAATCCATTTACTTTCTCTTTTCCGCTTGGTTGTGTGGATGTTTTTTCTGGGCTTGGTTTAATGAGCCCTTGCTTCGTAGAATTTATAACATATGCTATATATGTGTATGCTTTCTCACATACACTCTAATACAAAGTGAGTATAATCACTATTTGACCTCTCAAAAAAAGATTTATAAAAGATATAGGTGATTCTATCACCGCTCTATAATACTCTTCTCCATAATTTTTTACAAAAAATCTCTCTATAATCTCTTTTGTCGATATACTGTTGAGAGGAGATATTCTAACTTATAGGCTTGCAGAGCTACTGCACATGATGATTAGCTGGTGGTGACACATGCCTCATATGACAGTTAGATTTCTGGTTGTTTCATAAAATTAGGCATAATAAGACTTCGGTACCATGATTAAGTTATGCAATGAACTAACTCACTCGCTCCAAGATGGGCTTTTAGTCATCACTCCGCTCAGCTCCATAAATATGGTGTGGCCGTAAACAAATCATTCAGTCTGTGTCGATGCTGGAGTGAAGTACTGGGCCATGATCCCATGCACTCTGGGACAATCTGTGTGGAGCTCGAAAGAGTTCATGCATCCATCCACTAGTTGTGATCTTTGACTCCAAGGCGGAGTAATTTTTTCTACGGTGCATCTATTAATTGCATGTATCAAGCCCTCAACCTATTTATTTCATGGGTCGGTCTTTGGTCGGCCTATGGGCTTCAACGGAATGTGATATACTTAAGGTCGGTTCCACGAGGACTTCATTTCTGGTTGGATTTTGAGGTCTCGCCAACTTTGTGTGTGGCACTTCGTTCACGACATGAACGTTTTAAGAAAGATAAGCAGCTTGTTTTCATTGCGGACGAATGTGAGCAACTTTGAAGAAGTTCATTCTTCTTTTGCTCTTGTTGGTGGAACTACAATTTACTATGGTATACTATTGTTGTTGTTTTTTGACACACCTTTGTACTTGAATTTGCCAAAGGCTTCGGAGAAGTACAATTCTTTGCTAGGCCACGCTTTCGTCCAGCCCAAGAAGTTGAGTCACTTTAGTTGCGCTTGAGTCATGGATCCACCTTTTATATCAACACAATCTTGGATATAACATATGCTTGCATGAATCAAGAGCTGCTTCGAGCTCTCTCATTTTCTTGTTTGGACGGAAGTAAGTCTAACGTTGGCATCTTGTCTCGAGTCAGTTAGTCTGTAGCTAGCGGACGAGTTTCCGCTGATCATTTCTTCATGATCAAAAGGGGGTCACGCCAGTGCATTGCTTGAATCAACTATAAAAGTTTGTTGCTTGTCTCTCAAAAAGCATCACTAAGATTTCCTCATCCTTCTGGACGTGACGGAGTCCCAGCTTTGTGAAAGAATCTTTTTCTTGATGATCATGTTTTTCATGCAGACTTTTAATGGTATTGAAATGTTATGGCATAAGTTCCACTTTTATGTTCAATTTATCAATTCAGAGTTTCACAATTGCATAGTGGAATTTCAATGGTCTAGTTGGAGCCGCTCCAAAAATCATGCAGCCATATGTTGCATGACAGCATGTCCTTTGATATCACATATACTTTACTTCAAGGCATGGCTGGCTCCTTGGCACTTCTCTAGTGAACTTTCGGGCTTTGGAGTTTTTCATGACATTGTTAAACAAGAGCTCCCTTGTGTTCAACGTGGCAGTAAGATGGTTCCTGCTGCTGCTCATTCATCCATGCTCACATTTCACAGTATTATAATCTGAATAAGAAAGATGTGTGCTCGGCCTCTCCCTCTGCCAGCTTGCTCGCGAGGGATCTCTGTTCCTGAGCTTGTGAATCGCGCAAGAGCGTTGGTAGTTTTCATTCGTTGATAATTTAGCTCATTCAGATACTCATCATGTCCGTCCTATTTCAGAATTTTATTCAGCTCTTGACTTCTCTTTATACAAATGTCCAAGAAAAGGTGTTTCACTTTTTGTACAAATACAAGCTTTAGTCGTACAAATAAAGGCTTTAGTTCTTGCAGCTCGCTCATTCATGAACCTTCAAGCTGTGGCTGCTTCGGATGACCTTCTTTATTGGCAATAGAGCTTCCGAGAAGCGACTTCTCTTCCTAGACACTAAAGAAGACAATCTGCTATTGTTGTAAATATTTCTTTGACTGTACAAATATTGGGGTGTACCAAGAAACCAGTATGGTACAGAGAAACATTTAATGAATATGATCGTCTAGTCTCTTGCGAACACCACGATAAATATTATATCATTATGTGTTTCTTGCTGGTGAGCATTTGGACGACTGTTGAAATCAATTGCTCATGAGGGTGTCGAAGAATGGTGTTTCTTTTCTTTGAGTACATCCATCGGTTGATGTAGAGGATTCTAAATATTTCAGCAGAATTGGATCGTACGTCGTGGCCCATGTGAATATATATTTATTCACATGATTATTTGCATATTCATATTTGAATCATTTTTGGGATCATGAGTATAATTGTGTCACGGCTTTGAAGATATCTATCTTTGTTCATCTGTCTTTGTTCGCATGTTTGCAAAGTAATAGATAGTGTTGATAGTGTGTGAGGTTTGCAAGTTTTTGTTTGTTGATTTTGCACACGTTCAGAACATGTAGCACATCTGAGATCCATTATACCATTATCATCTATAATACTCTTCCCCATAATATCTCACAAAAAAATCTCTCCATAATCTTTTCTGTCAATATACTGTTCTAACCTCTACATGAGTGTTGAACCAAATCAAGACGGGTGATTCGCGATTCACATCCATGAAACATTCGCGATTCACATCCATGAAACATTCAGTATAGAATGTATATGGTACAATATCAAATCTCTCCATAACTTACTATGGAAAATATCAGTGGCACTCTTGACTTCATCACTCTGGTCATAAAATATACATCCCAACAAGCCACAAGGTACATCCAAAAATGATGTTTTTCCATGCAACGAATGTGAATATCAAACAAGTTAGGAATCAGCCAATGAGGTATTGCATTCCTGTCAAGCCCGTCCATATCTGCAAAACCACAATTTTCCCCTTCTTTCTCTCTCTACATGCAGATCAATGATCTCTGCCAACCTCTATACACTCTCAAAATTGCACTTCATCATCACTAACTTGCTATTTCATGAGGGGTAATCCACATTCAAGGAAAGAGCAAGGTTTCTCTAATATCATTGTAACACTAGGGTTTGGAGAGAAGTTCACTTGAAGAGGGAAACTTAAACTTTTGAAGATCAAAAATATCGACAAAAGTTCTCCTCTCCTTTATATAGCTGTCACTAACAAGTATAATGAGATAAGATCATATCTCCACTATCCATCTCACTCCTAGTGGATGAATGACGTGGCAGATAATCCTAACAAGCACGCGGATTGTTGACGTGATGCTCCCAGCTAACACACTAACTATACACTCAATCCTAACCTAACAAGCACACTGATCACTTACATGATACTGTCGACTAACATATCTACTCTCTACTTACCAAGCGCGCGGATCGTTAACGTGACAACTATGAGTAGTGCGTGCTAAAGTATCTATATCCACATTTAGATTAACATGCACTTTAGTTCTAACTAACTAAAGATGGTTAGAATACATCACAAAAACTAATGATTCAATTTGACTTCTCATTTGAATGGAATCAACATTGAGGTTAAAATAATTTCTAAATTTTTATGTCTTCCAAACACTATAGGCTTAAAATGATACGCACGAGATTGTATGAAAATTTTACATCATATTTAAACTTCAAAGAAATAATTTGAATATCTGACAACGGTAAAAGTATGTTGGAGTGACATGTACCATAAACTAATGCTTCAGCTTGTGCTAACCCATATGTAATGTATAATATAGCCTTGAGCAAAGGTAGTGAAAACTATCAATAACCACACAAATGATGCACACATGCATAGTTAATTGCTCCACGTCAGTTAGTAACTCACATAAGCTAAAGACAATAAGAATAAAATTAACAAAGATGACTGTGAAACTTTTTCATCCATGCGAAATTATAACTATGAGAAAGTTAAAATTGATAAAATCGTTTAATTCCATGTTTCAAAATTTCTATGCTTTTATGTGAGAGATTGGTTTTCTAAAAATGAGGCTTGTAGCCATAATGATTCATCCAAATGAGAAGAGATGTTGATCTTTAAACTTTAAAAAGACCAATAAGTTTTTGATCCATGATACAATGCATCTAAGGAAGTTAAACTTTGTATGTGCAAGATAAATATTTGTTAAAAAAAAGTCAAAAGAAAATAGTATGTTTCGCTACAAAGCATGACTTGTGGTTTGAACAGCTTGCTTTGAATTATTTGTATAGATGGATGTTCTTATAATGGATGTCATCTAGCACTTCCTACAACTAATAAGAACTTGATGTATGACTGAACAAAGTTTGTTATTGTTTATTTGGATGAAAAATTTTAACATCCACATATAGATGAAGGTAACTGCATGTTGAGACTATGATTATCATACTCAAGGACAATTTAAATGCCTCAAGGTGGAATGAGCTTTGTTTGGCCTCAAGTGGATGGATGATCTATCCGCTTGAGGTCAAGTCAACTGCTTTAAATCTATGATTGTGTATGCCCGTGCATTTTGCTGCCTTGCTTCAACGCTAAACCTATGGAGAAACACAAAAACGAAGTTAACAAATCTTCACTTTATCATAAAAGTACTCATGAAATCACATTGGCTATGTTGTTTTAAACCGGGAGCATTCATGTGTTGAATTTCAACAAAGCAAACTTTGGCATCTGAATTTCCACGTTACATGATGCATCACATAAATGCTTGTGGATGAGTACAATATGATCTTATTCTACATTGCTATGATTTTCCAAGTTGTATCTCCTTCATCCCCTTCCTCAACAACAACACAACACCATCGTGCCCACAAAAGCATCAATGTCTTTATCATTGAACAAAATTTGTTTCAAATTTATTTTTCACACATGAACTTTTGGACCATCAAGTGATTTGAAAACAAGTTTGGTCAAACAAATCAACAAATTCTACCTACTTGAAGATAATAAAAAGCCTTCATGTGAAATATATTTGAATAAGATAGTACAATGGAGACTTGCAATAGTAAATGCATTGAGCTGATTTCATTATATTTTCCATTCAAGTTATTACCTCAAAAGAGTTTTTAAATATTTCTGCAAGATTTTTTTTACCATGAAAGCTGACATGAATACATTTAGTGTACTTTTAGACACAAACTTGAGTTAACTCCTTGACAGAGAATAATGTAGAAAATCAGTAACCAGTTTTACCTGAATTGAAATATAGCTATCAATATGTCTGCCATGGGAAAAAAGTTGTTGTCTATATTCATGTGTTTTCAGTAGTTTTTATTTCCAGAAAATTCAAAACTTGATATCCACATCTCAATGAACTTGTAAAAGTTGTTCTTCTGCGGAGTACCTGCGCGAAAAATATGCGTTGGACCCCGTACCCCAAGGGGATTTCATTACGACGACTCTAATACTCTTGGAGTAAATAACAGTAGCGGGGCAGTGGAGAGAAGTTGATGCATGTAATTTAAGTAGACTTATGATGTAAATTATTAACACGATAAAAAAATTAATAAATATTAATTTTTTAAAGAAGTAATTGAAAATGCCAATTTCTTCGCATACATGTGATATCCGTCATGTGCTTTAAAAAGCTCCAAACATTGACCAATTTGTAATATATAAATAATCTACAATTTCACGGACGTCAGCTTCTATAGCTCAGTTGGCTAGAGCACCCGTTTAGTAAGCGGGAGGTCCTGAGTTCAACTCTCAGTGGAAGCAGCGTTTTGTCCCGGTTTGTCTCGAGGAGACCATCATATTGAAAGAGCCAATTCAGTTCTCCAAGCATAGAACACGATTCTATGCTCTCGGGGTCTGTCTGGACCTGGGCTGCCGGACATGCGGATGCGTATGCAGAAACACCTTTCTGTTGAAGGGCGAACTCTCTTCCGACTTCGTACTGCGGGTTAAGTCTACCCTGGAGCAACACAAGCTCCACGACCTTGGTTCGACTTGGACGCAAATCCCACTGACCAAACCAGCAAATAATAGTTTTGTCCACCAAGTGCATGGTGTATTGACTACCATGCTTAAAAGCAATGTTCGTTGGGCAATAAGGCAATAATGACACGAGGCAAGTACGAGAGAGGAGAGCAATAAAGAAAATATTTGGAGTTTCACATGTTGTGATTCTGTGGTACGGGGCAACACAATGTTGGTAGTATGGAACGTGGAGAGTATCTTCTTGATTAAGAGTTGCTCATTAATGGATGTGCCAAAAAGTGTAAAGAGAGACACAATCTTATTGTGGGACTATTTCAATTCGTGAAGTTCATTAAAAGTCTGAAACCTCAAGCGTGTCCAATTTTTGTGTTATCAGAAGCTTTGACTGTCCTTCAAGTCTAACCGCAGTGTCGAAGTATTAGAAACAGTAGAAAAGTGCAACTGTAACGTAGGGTCTAGGTGAATGTCCAGGTGAAATAGGTGTGTCCTTTTTATCCAGTCTCGAATTTTTCCTGTTGATTCACGTCTCTAAAGTCTTTGAAAATGTCGTTTTCAGCCGCGCATATGGATGTGGTTCGTTCTTCCACAGAGACTTCTGTCGTAAGGAGAACGGTACAGTCATCAGAAAGGAGAGTTTGGTGGTGAAACCTGTGACACGAGAGTTGTCCCAAAAGAGATTTGTAGCCAGGACATACTTGCTGGACAGAATTGCTCCTCGAGGCGAATGTTTCACCAGAACGGAGGGCACTAGCCACTAGAACTCCCTCATCCTAAACATGGTGGAATATGTGCAACGAAATCGTCATGCTTAGCCAAATGCGAGTCCAGAAGGGAAATCCGTTCCTCGTTGCTCACAAAGTCAGATACAAAAGATAAATACGTGAACAAGACAGAAACTGAAGTGAGGGTGATGCAGACATCCGCGATTTGTTAATATTTGTTTGTTATTATTGTGTTGTTGGTTGACCACTTGTTACTCAGATGCTGAAATGCCCCGGGCACCATATGATAGTACTAGAATGCTTTGTACTTTATCTACGTCAGGATCTGCTCATATGGAAGTACTTTGAACGAGGTCCGTCTCCATACTTGACGGTGTGGCTTACGATGGTGGCATGCACGTGCCCCATGCTTTTTTTCAGATGTATGCTGTGTGTGTGAAAGAAAGGTTGAGCTGATTGCTAAGTGACCAATGTGACCGCAGAGGAAGGTTTCAGATTTTTCGAATCACAAAATTCTAACTGTGTCAATCTTCTTCAACACATCAAATTGACCATGCATTCGTTGGTGAAGTTATAGTTTCCAAGTTTGGTAGGTTTGTAAACGTACAACTTGAGAGCTGTTTGAAATCTCGAAGTAGCTGCCTGCATAAAAGCAGAGTATGTAGATGCCTCTGCCTGCCGCATTTTATAAACCAGATTGCTTGAGTGTTTGACACAGGCCTGTAAAAAGCGTGGGGATCCAAACCTATGAGCGCTTTGGAATCTTCTGTGGGCAAATAGTCTGCTGCGATGTACAAGCACCAAGTCATCAGGTATCTGTTCCAAGCGTATAAGAAATTTATTTTTTTCTATCCTACGTCTTGTGAACGTAATCCGATTCGAAGGAAAGTGTCAAGTTGAATACCGAAACTCACCATACAGTAGAATCGAGCGTACGAGGTATCAGGAAGAGTACGCTCGAGCCTCGAGCATGACAGATCGGTTACATGAATTGAATGCACAAGAGCCAAACGAGTGAATTGGAGCATCGGGTGCAGGCAGGTGCAGGACAGAAACAGGGATAGCAGAGGTGTTGAAACAAACCGAGGCAGAGCTATCGACAGCATGCCTTTCCTCTGCCTGGGAGGGTCCTTCTCTGCCCATGTGGGTCGTGAGATCATGAAAGGTTTTTCCTCACGCTGAATCAGGTTCTGTCTAATGTTCAGAGGCCCTATGCAACGACCCTATCGAGTGACAAGGCTTTGACAATGTCCTGCAGACCGACCGGGCAGCTCCTACTAGCGCAGCACCAACTTCACAAATAATTACGGGAACGCACCACAAAGAGAACAAAAGCGATCGCCCGCTGCATGGTTGGGATACTGGAAAACGCCCATGCAGGACTTTGCTTTATAAGGGCCGGACCAAAGATATACAAAAGACATGGCGCGGTGGGTAACAGCGCGATAATGATTTCTGACAGGATCCGCGTGCCTTTTGGTCGTCTCAATTATCAGGCTCGAGCTGCCTAGGATATGCACATCTCTGTGCCTCGTTGCTCGGCTCGCATGCGCATTTCACCCTACGTCGACAAATCGATCGCCTTCCGTCCGAGCATGTCTCGAATATCCTGCGTTACCACCACGTTCCCGAGTTGCTGACCACTTTGACGCCACTTTCAGAACCATGAAAGCGCCGCTCGTACAAATCTGGAAGATACCGGAAATTCTTACATTCTCTTTGCAGCTGACAGGCACTACAGGAGCCGGATATTGAATAGAGCAGAGGTCCGCGTCTGACATGAAAAGCTGCGCGCTTTCGGGGGCTGAGGTGAGGTGAGGTGAGGTGAGGCGAGGTGGCAAACGGGGGAGGCCGTAATCCGTCGGGCTCGGATCCAGCGGTGGAAGGGCCGGCCCCCTTCGGATTAGCGAGCGGAGGCTTATATGGCGATGGCAGAGTTTAATATTGAAAAAAATTGGAAGAAGGTACATCGACGAGAGTCTTATGCAGGCGAGGTCACATTCTGGATCGAAAGGACGATAGTTCCGGCGCTAGATATCTCCGACCGAAGTGTGGGGACGATGTGCGTGCAGACTCGGGCTTGTAGGTGCCAAGGGATGTGACCCACTCGAGATGCATGTCGCGAGAGAATCAGTTGAACCCGCCTCGGTCACCATGATCCCGGACGAAGAAAGGCTCAAGGAATCTTCGCCAATTATATCACAATTGCATTCCATGTTGCGCAAACCATTCGTCGTCTCCTTCTGCACTCACGAGGTTCATCATCTTCATTATCAAATTCTACCTTTGCTGCTGAGCTCTTTGTCCTCCGCATTCAGCATTCATGCTCTTAGAATAAGAACACCGACGAGGCGGGTTGAGTGCACTCTGTCTTCCGGAGTCTGTCTCAGTCCTCCATGTTGCAACTTGGGCGTCTTCACGACATTATCCCACCCACACACATCAACACTTCAGCTCCAGCGATGGCGAAGCTTTTGAGCCGATTTTTCCTTCTGCTCATGGTCAGCTCCTATCTGGTCACCGGATCCGCTGCCGCCAGACCAGCACCAGGCCTCGGTCATCGTTCCCTTTTCGAAATTGAACTCAGAGCTTCTGTCAAAATCACACAGGTTTCGACGACGGATGCATGTGAGTAGTCGATCAATCCCCCGCGAGTAGTAGGAGGTTGCTAAACGAAAGGTAAAGGTAGACGGAGTAACAGAGTCCCTGGCATGAACTCATTTCTCGATGCATCGGTCCTTAGCTTCGTATGGGAAACTGTGTAATCTATTATGATTGCACTTACACAAATGCACATTTTGTCTGCAGACGCCATTCAAAGCATAGACTTCGACGAGTCTTGCGAGGACTTTTTCGTGGAAAATCCAACGGTGCGTGCTGTGCTCCTGAATGCCCCTTACGTTATCAATTCCTTAGTCGGGACGCTATGGAAAAACTGCTAACTCTTTTTATGTCCATATGAAATTTGTGATTATTTGCATCTTTAGTGTGAACATGCAGGGACCTGAAGATAGCATTTCACTTCTGTTAAGTCATGGATTGGTTTTTCCAGTCCCTTTTTCATGTGTTGGTGCTCCTGACTGGTTAATTGATCGATGAGTATGACATCTATGTAGCTTGGCACAGTCATCACAAAGCTCAGTGACTGCGTGCTCCTGTGTGTAGGATTGCCCGAAGACATACAATGCGCAATCGAGAGTTGCACAGAACAGTAATTTCCGTCAGATTGGCCGATAAGCATTTGAATGGATCTCTCGTATGTACATTGATATTACGCATGGAGAAAGGTTAGAACCGGTAAGATCAAATGGCCTGATCAAAATTCGAGCTTCGTTCGACCCACGTAAGAGGGAGACTGACGAGACAGATCTGAAACTCTCTCATCTTCACGGAAATTATGGAGAGCAGCGGACATTTTTTATTTGTTCGTTGTAGTGGAAGAGCTGAGCATCAACTTTGAAATAGCAAGCAGCTGATTGCTGGGCTGATGCTCATGGCATAGACTTCCATTTAGATGGACTATGAGCAAAAGTGATCTCTGCTAAGGTCTAATAAGGAAATTGATCTCTAGCTCTGGACTGCTAAGTAGAGATTAGCTGAGAAATATGCTCGATCATAGACTGCTCTCTGTTTCTGAGCATCACTGAATGTACTGTCAATTCCAGATGTTTCATTAAGCCAAACTTAAAGAAACACCGGGAAAGTGTGCATTCGAGTGGATAAATTAGTGCAACCCAAATTCAAATGACTCGTTGTAAATTTAAGCTCTTGTACCTAATTACAAATGAAATTCACTTTTGTTTCTCATTTTAGCTCAAACATATTGCAGCAAATTATTTCAGCTTCATACGTTCTTTGCCTTGTTGGCAAACGAGAGGCCAACTTGTTCACATGTGCTTCGTCTCGAATCCAGAACGCGCTACACGCAATTAGCGGAGCAAGCGTTGCGATTGGAAGAACTATGATGCATGATACATGCGTGATAGGAGGATTTGCACATTCTTCCAAACTAAATGGAAGGAAGTAATTGTAGAGAATCAGATTACAATACCATCAAAATGAACTAAGAATTGATCTGTTGAATATGCCAAAAATATACATAGCTTTGAAGATCGTCTCCCAAGATACATCTGCATTGTCATGAGTTACTTCCGTTTTGGTCAACGCAAATTATTCTATGTATTACCTTTTAAAATAATTGAGTGAAATTTTCAATAATACAAAATTCTGGGAATCTGAAAATAAATTCTGGTTGATATGAATTTTTAATTTTTTTTGTCTACAAATTTCTGTAGTTTGGAATATCTCTATCTTCAAAAATAAATTTCAATTCATAGTCTACATTTTATAGGTTTAGACTAATCTATTTTAATGATTTGCTAGTACAAGATTAAGATTGATCTATAACTTTTAGTGTAATTAAGTAGATCGCATCAATTATAATATGTTTGTTTAAACTTCATCATTAAGGAATTGTTTCCTATATATTTGAAATTTTATCCTTAAATCTGTATATTAATTATAAAGTTTCATTAAAGCGTTGATCATAATGAGATTAGTTATGAAAAATTTAGCTAATTAAGATTAAATTAATAAATTAAATCAACACTTGAAAACATAATTAAAATACTTCTAGAAATTATGTATGAACACTACAATTTTGTCTCATATTCAAATTTAGATTCAAATGAAGATATATTTCAAATACATATTATTTTTTATTAGTTTGATTAAGTATTAAATTTTTTTGTTGCTTAGACAAAATTTATTGTTGACTTCGCTACAAATTGAAATTGTAGAATTTTCAAGCTATCCAATTGTATGTTGTCATCTCAACATATAAAAAATATTTCTAAAGTATTTAGATAAACCAATGAAATGTTGTCAAGTACAGTAGAACCTCTATAATCTTATCAAGCTGGGACCGGCCCTTTTTGATAAGTTTATAGAGGTGATAAGTTTCTAGAGTTTATTAAAATTAATTCATTTAATTTTGCTTGATTGATCTCAGAACCATCCGGAAGGTTGCAGAAAGGTATGGAAGGTTAGGAAGTTTACGGCAAGGAATGCAGTACCTCGAAAAGACATAGAAGTTGTTTGATACCCAGGTTCCGTGTGTATTGGCTGTGGTATTGTAATGGGGTGTGTAGGGCATTGTATCCTTGCGTAATGTATACAGTTGAACTGTGTAGAAGAAAACTTCTCAAAATGTAAACAACTTAACCCAGGAAAATCCCTAACCCACGTCAGATACTTAAGCAGCCAACAAACAAATGTGAACAAAAGCTTAGGCAGACAACCATTACAAGTTTCTTTAGTCGATCATAGTCGTACAAATGTAGCTCGGAAAGCACATCAACCTGAATATAAGTTTATAAAAAATTCGGGACAGCCAAAACTTGATAAGTTATAAGATTATAAATTTTTGGCCTGGTCCCATGCCGGGAGCGCACAATTTGATAAATTTTTGGAGGTTATAAATTTATGGAGTATAAATTTATAGAGGTTCTACTGTATTAGTGTTCATGAAAGTTAGTCATATATATTAAGATAAATTTTTATAAAAATAAATTAGTTAATAGTGATCATAAATTACCTTGGTAATCTATCAAATAGTATAAATAGAGGTAGAGAAAAGATTTCAAAGAAGATTGGAAACTTTTTTGTATGATAACTTATCGGAATATCAATAAAATATTGTGTTGAATATTGAATGAAAAGATTTTATGAGAGAATGTTAATGAAATCCAAATTTTTATAATCATGATAAATTATCAAAAAACCATCAGAATATAATCTAAATGAGTGGCAGCACATATATAACAGTATCTAAACATTTTTTCTTTTACATCATAAAATACATAATGATCAAACTACTGCTTCATGAAATCAATGAGTGAAGATTTATCTCTGTAAGTACAAGATGCTTGAAAATTCTTGCTCTTTTTAAACAATCTAGACTTAGCAAAAAAATATTCCAACTAAAAATAATGTATACTCTAATCAAAATAATTTCCTCTTTCATATCATTAGCATATCCAAAACAATTACACTTCTTCAACGTAGGATTCAACTTGGTTGTATTTTTCTTAGATATGGAAAAAAACACTTATTTTACTCTTTGAAATTCTTCATAATTTTTGTAATCTATATAATCATTTTGCATGAAATTTTAGAATGAAATCTAACATGATACAGTCTCTAAACTAGAGCTAATTAGAGTTAGGACGTAAGTAAAAGATAGTAATAGATAGTAAATCTGTATGTATGTGTATATATATATATATATATATATATATATATAGCTAATAATTTTTATTTTTTTCCTCATATAAAATCTGCAAAATAAAATCACAATATTTATTCAAATTTTCTGAAGAAATAATCTTGGTCAAAGCGTCAGCTAAATTCAATTCATCATCAATATTAACTAGTTTAATTTTCTTATCAAAAACTAGATCATTAATTAAATAATACTTGATGTTAATGTGTTTAACTTTATTATCCATCATTTAATTTGGAGCAAAATATAACACATCCATCATCATATATAAACACAACTCAAATTGTAAAATTTATTTTATTTATAATTTGCATCAACAAGTCTAACAAGGATTTGGCATTGTTTAATAAATCATCAATGTGGTGTTTGATGTTGGTGTTTTCAAAATATTCAAATATCAAATTCATTATTTTTCAATGCAACTTCTATGAATTTGACATGTATGTGTTCATCTTCTACATAATCAAAACAAGATCAATTTTTGTGCATAACAAGAAATACATGACTCAATCCAAGGCTTTGTCAAATAAGATTGATGACATCTTTTTAAATTCAATGAACTGAATTTAAAATTAAGCTATATAAAACTTGAAGTGTGTTATCAAAAATGTTCATATTCTTTAAAAAAATTTGTCATGTTAAACAATCCAAATCTTGACAAACCTTGATTAACTCATAGCTTGTTTTGATTTGAATATTAATAAAATTTTATTTCCAATAGGATTTTGTACTTATTCAAATTCTTTATTGTGAATAAAAACTTCAATATTTTTGGTTTTATTGATGTTGAATTAACTTTTTGCAAAAATGAACATGTCATCTAACTATATTATTGCATAATGAGATTAGAAGACATAATTTTCATCTTCTCCACAAACATTTATGTTCATATGATCACAATGATGCTTTGTGATCTTCCTGCCGAGATATTTATTTTGAATCCCATTTGCTTCAAAAATTCATACAAAGTATTGTAAATTGTGTGTAAATCTATAATGACAATATTCATAACATGTTCATGAAGATCTTAGCATCTTTAGATTTTAACATTTTGCTCTTAACATCTTGTTTTTAATATTTAGATATTGACTATATTAGTTGACAGCAACACGTCAACAATCCGTGTGCTTGTTAAAATTATATTCCATATCATCAATTTACTACGAATGAAATAGGTGGTAGAGGTGATATCTTATCTTTTTGTACTTATTGTAAAGAGTTAAACCATATCTCATCTTTAGAATTGTGTTTTATTTTCAAGTGAGCTTTTTCCTTGATACCCCAGTGTTACACATGCATCTTGTTTTGAATGTTTTATATTTCAATGTTTTGTAGATCTATTATAACAATAATCACATATCTTAACATTTTAACATCTTGCTCAATCTCAAAGTTTTTGCTTTGTTTTTTAATTTTTTTTATCATGATAAATATCAACACATTGTATTTGACACCCTTTTTCTTCTATCATCTCCTTTCATTGAATACTTGAAGTTATAACTTATGATATCTATATGAATGGTTCTTTCGTTTGAATCTTAAGACCAATAAAATGATTTGCGAGACAATCTCTAATATTTTCATGTCTAATCATCACAAAAACTATCAACTTTTCGGCTGGAGGAAGTCACTTGAGAAAAAATCGCTCAATCACAATGATCAAAGTAAGTATTGTGAAAAGAAGAATAGTATTCAAATGTATTAAACTGACAACTGTATTTTCATTTTCATCCAGCCACATGAAGTTTAAATCAATACTCAATTCAAGATATCCATTATTTTGAGGTTTGTATAGAAACTACAAGATGTTTTTACTAACGCTAACATGAGTAGCAAGAGTATGGAGTTGAGGGAAAGCACTTCACATGTTTTGGTTTGTACACAGTATACTTAGGGTGTAAGGAGTCAAACTAGAAGAAGTCTGCAGCTGAAAACTGCCTTTGTTCAACAACATTGATCCATGATTAGACGCATTGGCACTCTCTACGGTCTTCGTACATTACAACGTATCACTTACCTCTCACTCCAACAACTAAAGCATTCTAAAGTGTATGGATGTGCTTGCCGAACTTCACCTCGTTGTGATATTAGTTTGCAAGAATTGCGTCATGTAATTGTAAATTTTCCCCGGTATCTTTAAAATACTTGTGACTTAAATATCGTCTCGTAGAAAGTATATGATTGCGATAAGAATTCGGAGTCGCTGATTTGCAGGTACAGTACTAGTTGTAGTTGAGAAGCAATTTTTCCGATCTCCCGCAACTTCAAACATGTCTAGATTAACTTCTTTCGATCCTCTTGTTGAAACTTCCACAGTTTCCAATCCTCAAATCATGCACAATAGGGTGCATGATTGAGGATCTATGACAGGATCTATGATTTGAGGATCTATGATCTATGATCTATGACTTCTCCTCTGTTCTCAATAACCACCACTCCCCTCGAAGCTCGTCTTTCGCCTGCGAGTCGGCCTGATCTAACGAACAAATCAAGCTCTCTTATCCTTCTCATTTTCTGCTGCACGCATCTCAAACTCTTCGTTCAAAAAAATGCAAGTTAAGCTCTCTTATTCCTCTCGACTTTTTCTTCCACGCCTCTCGAACTCTTCGTTCATCAAATCTTATGTTCTTCTCGTCTTTGCGCTTCACTTCTTGTCTCCCATACAAGAGCATACAGGATCGACATGTGAAGACTTGATTAGACGTTCTTGCAGTGAACTGATACGACATTAAGAACTTTGGATTCTCAGAACAACACGCACAAGTTCATCCTCTGTTGAAGGTGAAAACCATAAAATCCTCAATTTTCATCAACACATCCTACGAGAAGGCAGAAATACACCTCCAACATTTCTCCGAGACTCTAAGGACCATCTCCGACTCTTGCACACATGGCCACAATATAACCTGCATCTCATTGTCATGAGTGCATGCTGCGAGTAGCTTCTCGTGTTGAACGATTAAGGACTAATCCAAAAGCATACTGTTGAAACTCGAATAAAAAATGGAGTTGTGCCAAGGTAAGTAAGATCTCCCGCGGAATCTTACCGTGATTTGATATTGATTGTGAAATTTAAATGCATCGAACACAAATATTTAACGCAATACCTCACTCATGCGGTCAATGTCTATTCATCACGAGAACTTAAGAAAATACAGGGACAGCGGACCTGATGGTTCATTAGTGCGGACTAAGTCCAAAAAACATGACACTTTACTGAAAATCCCTGAAAAGTATGAACTCTTTCTTATATAGTATATAGTGATAATATAACCAGTTTCACTAACTAAAATAAAACTAATCTAAGTTTAAAGAAACTTGAGTTAGCTTTCAAAATCCTTATGGTATATCTACTTTACAACCTTCATGTTGAATCATACATCTTTCTGTACTTTTTATTTCCGCCACATCATATTTTGTGAAAGCTTTGATGACAATTCAGAGTCTCTCTCTTTTGCTACTTAAATGAACAAGAGTGCGCTGAGAGCCACCATGCTTTTCAAATCTAAATACACTAATCTTTTTCACTTACAAACTATGCATTCAACCTGTAGGGGTGAGAATTCGCTAGATTCTCTTTAAACATCATTGATATCATCTCAACATCCTCATGTAATCTTTGTGGGCTATCGCGGCTTTACCCTCATGTTGTATTATATTATCCAGTTTACGTACAGTAAGAGATAATATTCGTGATTATGCAGGTTTGTATGTGTAAGATCCTTCATTAATTCTTTCCTTGACATTATGTTTATTATCTTTAGGAGGACTTCCTCCTTTAACTGGCTATTTGTAAAACTATATTTATTTTGGTGTGGACGGCAATCTGTTCTTTATTTTATTAGGTTTTATTGCATCAATCACAAGTGTAGTTTCACTTTGTTACTATTTAAAAAATATTAAACTGATTCTTTTACCGATGGAATGGTATGCGTGGTTCGTAAGAAACTACAAACTCGAGTCGTCGGGAAGGCTCACAGCCAAACTCGACAACTCGAGTCGGTAAAAATATTATTATCGGAAATTGATTATTAAAAATATCAATAATATCTGAAATATTTGGGATCCATTGCCGCCAGATTCTGATCGAACACGTGCCTTTCGACAGTCGGACGTCAGGGGTCTCGACGACCGTGCGGAAAAGTGTCTGGGCGTCGAGGGCAGCGAAGACTGCTTGTGGCCACAAGTCTGATCGAGCGATAATCGAATGATTGGTCGTCGAGCGATTTCGATGCCTGGAACGATGTTCTGTATTACTACGGTAAGCATGGGGATTCGACCCGGCCATGGCCATCGCGACTTCCAGAAGGATGGCCGAGACCTCGGAGTGCTTTTATAATCTCGTCTAACACGTTCGCCTTTTGATCAGTGCGTCAATTTCGATCGTGTTGGGCACGCGCCGCAGCCATCCGCGCACGAACCTCAGAGCGCGAGTGTGTGTCGTGCCTGTGCTCGGAAGAGGTTTGCGTGCTGTCGAGTTCGGTGCTGCTTGCATTGAGGGCAGAGTTTTGGACATGGCTTCGATTGCGACCCAAGCTTTCTCTTCCCTGGCTGCGGCTGCCACGTCCTTGAGGGGCGTGGTCGTCCCCCAACAGCAGCAGCAGCAGATGCTGAGGGCGGGTGCCGGTCGGAGCTTTCGGTTGGTCCAAGTTCGCGCCGAGAGCGCAGAAGCAACTGCTTCGGTGGCCATTAACCCGAGCATCAAGAAGGAGTCGGACAAGGTTGTGGACACCGTCGTCGTCGGAGAGCTCGCCAAGCCTCTCACTGCTTACTGTCGGTAAGTCTGCCTCGAGTCCTCCCTTCGTGCAGTGTCTTCGTGCAAACTTCGACCATTTATCGTTTTTCCAATTCTTCGCTTCAGTTTTCTTCGTTGTCCATCTTAATCTTATCTCGAGGACGAGCTTCCAACACGCTTAAGATCCTAACGGCGTTCTCGAACCGACCGGCTTCTCGCTCTCTGACGCGCACATGTCTCTGCAGGTGTTGGAGATCGGGAACGTTCCCTTTGTGCGATGGGAGCCATGTGAAGCACAATAAAGCAACCGGTGACAATGTTGGACCTTTACTGCTGAAGAAGTGAAGTGCTTGGAAACCACTAGCAGGTTTTGAACCTCGTCAGTGAGGATAGGATCATATGTCTTGTACATTTGTAGAGATTTTTTATTAAAGCCATTCTGGCATTCACAATGAAGGTGTCTCTTACTTAGTATCTAGGTTGCCTCTCGTCGTGCCCAGCGCATACTAGGGGGAAACCCCAGGGAATTATGGTTGAAATGTCACTATGGCTGCACGCATTGACCTCATCATTTGTAGTCTTGGATTAGTCACTTTGTTACACCTATTTGGTCGTTTCTGCATGTAGAGAAGGACGAAATGTCAAGATTATGTTGCAATTGAAGCACATCAAAATGTGTTGAGCATATATTGACACGCAGGAGAACTGCGAGTTCTCTTCATTGTCAATAGTGAGTGTATCAGATTCCAGTCATTATGTTCAAATCCTGAGTCTCGATTGAGGAACTGGCGGAACAAACGCAAGAGACGCTTATCCTGAAGATTAAAACCTCGTCATATAACAGTATCGAGTGTCGTTGTCTGGACGAAAAATAGTCTACTCCTTTGACACAGGGTTATAATACATACCATTAGCCAGTACCGAAAGTAAGCGAAACGCACGAAAGTCCCAAAAGATTATTTCAGAGAACTCTTCTTAATTCCCTAGTCCCAACAAGTTAAGAAGTTCCCTAGTTAACAATGGATACGTTAATGTCGCCTGCGAACAATGACTGTTACATTCATACTGATGTGGCGAGCAACTACATCAATACTGATCGTACCCTATTTAAGGTACAGTTCTCTCGCTTCCTCCTGGTGCACAACTCCAAACTTATAGTACATAAGTGCACTTGGAATAGTGTAGAAATTTCCCTACCCAGATTACAATGATTACACAATGGTATTCTCACTTTCTGTATCTCTCTGCCTTAGCTTCGAGACCAATTACAGGATACACGAGACACAACAAACCTCCAAGAGAAAGGGAAAACAAAATTCGTTCATGAGGAAGAAAGAAAATCTATGAACGGATATGCCAGAAATAACAGTGACCATGAATGATAAATGGATTGTGCAGATGATAAAGAATGTAGAACAATTACATAAAACAAATTAACTTGTCAAGGTAACAAACTTTCACCAACTCAAAATATTTGAACATTCTAAGATCAGCCATTGTGTACAATTCATCAACGACGTGTACAATGCTCCCTATGCACCAGAGAGTATGCATCAGAAAAGATAAATATTTTGTCAAAATCAGATGGGTATCTGCCTTAGATCGCATCTTTCAATTTCTCTTGGACGGTCGTCAGTGTTTTAGAGCATTATCAACCCAATCGAATTTCCTCATCTTCAAATGCCAAACAGAACATGCCACCATGACAACATTCAACACTTCGTGTTGCATGGTGTCCATTCGTGAAAGACAACAACATCAAAAGCACCTCATCCAAAGATTTCTCAAACCCTGTTAGTGAAAAAAAATACTTGACGCAATGAACATTTCAAAAATTCACTTTTGCTTTCGATGTTCACTCCATGATTATGATAACATTTTGAAATTCTCTACCTCGCCCAGATCATTATCCTATACGAACTGCTCCGCTCCTTTAACAGGTCGAACTCGTCGGCCTCGATGTACACAAGGCAATCTTCACATTTTTCTCCGCTGCAAAACTGGTACTAGGATTGAGGATAAATTGCTCCGCCATGTATAGAATCAAGTTCTGACCTACTGAAGACTGTCCGCGTTCTGGACAACTACTATAACTAAAGCCTTTGACTATTTCACACTCTCAATGGGAGCATTTCTGCTCTGATTAGCCTACAAGAAAAATCGTCTGCGACTGGTGTCCATGTCGGGCTGCACAAAAAGACACGTAAAATGGTCAATAATCAAGATAGCTCCGAGCTTAGTGCTGAGAACATTTCCTCGAAGTATGCCAACGTAGAGTTAAAATGTGACCTCAGTTCCAAAACACCACCATGTGCTTATGAACTGAAGGCCTTCAGATGCAAACCGAACACTAACAGCACCCAGTGACACCGAGCCATATTTGGACAGTCTGAGCACAATTTGAAGAAGCACAGTCTTCTCAGACGTTACAGAAGGGAACATAAATCAAGCAAAAACAGTGAAGAAGAAAGACCTGACCCGATGTGGTACTGAACAGTCCAGGAACGTAGAGATGTTAAGAAGCATACACCAGCAATAAAACCATACCTTATGGAGCCATTCATATTCTCCATACTTCGTGTCAAAAGTCCCATGCTGTAAACTCTGCATCTTCAATGTAAATCGTGGACCACACTCCTGTGGATGAAGAATTTGATATGGTGAGTTCTAAACCGTCTACAACAAGTGATCTGCGTGCCAAGTGTTGTAATTGACCTATTGCCAAATGCAGCACAATAAGTTGAAACAATATAGACTAACCTGTAAGCGGGCAATGACTTGTTCCTTCGGTAGTTTCTTCTTCTCTTTCACGGCCTTTGGGTCTACCTTGTTCGGTTTCTCCTTTTTCTCCTTAATCTCTTTGCTTTCAAATATGTACCTGTCAGTTGTACAATTTGTTGTGGGATGCTGTTAGACAAATGATTTCTCATCTACACGAAAAACATAAAGAAGGTGGAAGTGACAAGGATAGAGTACGGAACGGTGTGTTAGACCTAAAATAATGGTAAGCTCCCAACGTCGAGAGCTGGCAATATGATAAGTATGAGCCCGGAAATGTTCAGATTATTATTGAAGTAATATGATGACTTTCCACCTCAAGTTTCCCAGGCACACTGACAGGTATCTAACCAATGAGTTGTTTGGTCGCATCTCAAGAGCAAATCTAATCTTTGAAGCATCTCATCCATCCACGATTACAAAGCGCAGTATAATAAGTACGGATCCTTGCACATGTAGCGGAAACACTAAAAATTCCAAAATACAACTGAATGGCGAGCTTCACAGAGATTCTAATTGTATGTGCTGGTTGTACATTGACTAATCAGGCCAGCAGATGTTAGTGTTAGCAACAAAAGCTATACATCACAGAGGGTTGATCTTCAATATAGTCAAAGGATTTAAACCGTACAAGAGCCTTGGTTTCTAAGATACAAGCAACCATACATTTGACCAAATTATTTGAGCCCCAATATAACACTTTCCACCAAAGACTTATGTAGGTGGACATCTAGTAAGCGGGGCCCTGAGAAGTTAATATAGGCAAGAATAAAAGCTGACAATCCATGCGTGTTGCTTCACAGCAATCACAAGAGAATCCCAGCGGAACGAATGCCTCGAAAGACTTTCGAGAACCTTCGGTATGAGGTAGTGAAATCTAGACACACCGACGTATGCACAGGTAAATATTAAATCGACTAAAATGGGCATCAACCGAAGATATAGGAGAGCCTGCTATCTTATCTAACCTGCTTTTATCCCAAATAACAGCACAACGGTAGATCAAGTACAATACTTCGGCATCAGTGAGTGATCACGTTGACGATATCCAATCTGACATACCTGTGATGTCGGAAAAAAATAAAATCACGCTGGTTATGGAATGTGACTGCGCGCCTTCCTCGGAAATTTGGATCCTGCGGGAATAATGACGCGAACATCCTGCAGTCAAGATCACACAAGCAACACTCTTGGTTAGATTGTATCTCTGATTTGGTCCATGGAAGTGTTGCAGTTTCCGCGTTGGTAATACCCAATATGAATTACTTGGTCAGTTGCCATTCAATAACTTATTCGACCAAATCTTCTCACGACAAGCTTATCATTCCTGTTTTCGACATGGGAAATAAATCAACAGCAACAAGCCTGAGATCATGGTACTGAAAGTACGTGCATACCTTCCAACTCGATGGCCCAAGCGTGTGGTGAAATTGTTCAAGATCAGCTCTGGCTGATGGCGGGATGCTTTACCATGTCCCTGCAACAAAACCCAAAAGGAGCATGACCTGTAAATACGTGAAGCTTGAATTTCATATGCCTGTTGGATGTTCGCGTCTTTGTTCCTTCAAGTACCAAAATCTTTGCAGAAGAAAGGCAGTCACATTCATTTGAAATTCTCAGGCAGTGGAAGTCCAAGTGGCTGACTGGGACTTCCGACATAAATCATAACACCGATGTAGTCACTTCACCCTAAACAAAGGTCTACCGGGTTGGCTTCTGTACGTCAATCCTAGTTACACTGTTTCCACACAGCTTCAAACGATAATAAGCGTACATATTATGCTTTAGTAAACATATTCCTGACCATCCGGCACTAGATTTTCCAAATCCGACATTTTCGCGTTCAACACTACCTCCCGACGTAACTGACATCCAATTATCCACAACTACTCTAGAAAAGTGTTTTCGTCACTACATTGTGCATATTACGATGCGTTGTTATAATGTAAGCGTTTGCAGTAATGGACAAACCTTGATCCTCTTGCTAAGGACGACGCTGGACAGTTTGAAGTGCGCCGTTGGACCTTCAGGCAAGTTTACAACAAGCATCCCATTTGGTTCTTTCCGATTTTCGTTAATGACGATAATACTGGTAAACTCTCGATTGATGGCGTACTTAACAATCTGCTTCAAATTGTAAGTCCCTCGTTTGTAGTAGTGGCAATTCGGAATTACGGTGAGAAGATCCGCACAAAACTTCCTTGTAGCCTGTACGCATCGCGACAAAGACGAGGGACTCAGAAGTCATATTCCAACGAACTGAGTGGAAAAATATAAATCTGCAAAGACGATGATGCGCAGAAAGCTGAAAGGCATACCACTGAATTCTGTTGCGAGGTTGTAATGATGACTTTCGGAGTGATCTCATGAGCAAAATACTGGCTGAACTCATCGGCACCCTCTTCAGCTTGCAGCTGCATTCAGGAGGAGCATCCGTAAATGTCTAGCCTCCACCTTGCAAATCCGAAGCTACTACAACATCGAAGCGAAATTAAACTGTTACTAGTTCAAATTTCTCAATTCACATTGCTTACCTCCTCGTCATCAGCCTGAGCTACAGTTTCATCTGCTTCTCGGGTGTTTTCAATAGTACGAGGGATTTTCCTGGGTGGGGGCTGCACGGCAAAGTCACAGATATGTCAGAATTTGATACAATGCTAAACCCTTGAGGTAAATAGAAGACAAAATTGTACAGTTGTCTGGGCACATCTTGTAAAGAACACTGACGGTCAGAGTAAATCTCGTTTCAAGGAGAAGAAGGAGCCAAGACTGAGGACAGACAGAGAGAAGTTTCTTGCGACGTCCGCAGCACAACATGAATTATTTCAAAAAAAATTGATGTGGAAACACAAAACTTGCATGCTCGGTTGCGATTTTGATCACCTCGAAAGAACTCAGAACACATTGTCGCACAACATGAATCACAGGGGGCACTACGAAGTGGTAATACAATCGAAGGAAAATCAAAAGTACTACATTCCAGATTTATGTCAGCTCCAGTAGTCTCAAAACTTGACACACTTTCAAGATACACTCCAAAACCTTGGAACGTCAAATTGTGAGGCATGTTGTGAAATATCAACCCGCAGCCAACCGTTCCTCAAGCGCGTTAAATATTGCCCGAATTCCGCAGTACAAAACTTACATTCCAGATACTCGAGTTGACACCAGCTTTTCATTCTTAGTCATATAAAAACGGCAGATAACGACGTCATTCCACTCACAGGAAATCAATGATGGAGAGCTCAGGAGACTCACAACATTGCCGAGCTCCAACGCTTCCTTCTCTGCTTCGTCGCGAAGCTTAATCTTTTGCTTCTTAGCTTTCTTCTTCTCATTCTTCACTTTGGCATAAGCTTCGGATCTCTTACACTTATTCCTGATCTGAGACGGTAAGAATTGTCCCACGTGAGCATTGGCTTCTCGCTCCTCCTTCTCTCGCTCACTCTCCCCGCCATCCCTTTCGCGCTTCCCCATCTGCGCATACTAGATTTCACCCAACTCGTTCACTAAATTTCCGACTGCTACCGCTGTCATCTGTGCCCGCCAGCTCCTTCGACCCGCACCATCACGAATTCACAATCTGTCTCACAGAATCGATCGATTCCCTGTTCCGCACATCGACGAGCGATTTCTGTCACAGCTGAGGCACTCGCCGGGCCCTAAGCCCTAAACCTAAGAAACAATAGCTTCAGGAACGAACGGGAAAGATAATGTGCTAAACGGGATTTATCGAGGATATTATAAAATAATATGAACGGTATAATTCCCAATCCTCGACAATTGATCATTCCCGTTCCTTGATGATATGAAAAGATTTTAATTACTTATAATGAAATAAAATAGAATTTCATTTTCCATCATACTGATCGATCAAACATAGCTTAAGATACAAATCTTAAATATGTAAACTCGACATAATGCATCTCATAAGGACTTTGTACTTCTTAACACATTAACAAGTATCATTCATCAGTATCTACGGATGACAACGCCATCAAACAAAAATACGTGTTTCGGCAAGTTAGTGGATACACATTGATACACACAATTTGAGACATTTAATTAGCCTCATTCAATAAGTTTATGCTTAATGATTAGATTATAACAAATTGCTTAAAAAACCTTAAAATTTAACAATTTTGTATGCGTAATGATTTATATAGCTTTTATGAATCTGTACAGCTCCATTAATATATATATTAATATATTTAATTTAATTTAATTTTTATTTTCCTTCTTCAAAAAGTTATCATAAGTTCAAACAAAAATGGTGAAAGGTACAAATGAAATTTATCAAAAAGATAGATCATGGAGAGGTGAAATGATATATTTCAAGTGGATGGAAGCTTTTCGATATAATCTTTAGATTTTTGCAACAAAATTTTCCAAAATATAATGGTAAGATTTTTGATGCAAAACACACAAACGCAATAGTTTTCCTTGCAATTATTACTTCTTAGTTCATGTTACAACTTAAATCAAGACACATTCAACAAAGAAACTTTTTTGTTTACTTCAAAGCAAAATATTTTTGAGAAAGAGTCCTCATTCTCAACATTTGAATTCTTAGGACTTAAAATGTCTCAAATTGTTATCCAAAGATTTAACTTTACTTGTGTTTAACTTTTAATAACACAAACAACTTCCAACTAAAACGTCAACATATAGCTATAATCCAGTCACTTTATCGAATTCAACAAGACAATCAAAGAATCATGTTACACTACCCGGGTTCGGTATACCTCACATTTGATCACAAACAACCAATAGTTTGGATTGGGGTTTAGGGTTTGGACCTGCACCGTAGCCCTCTTGCCCCCGTCTTTGAATGGCTACGGGTTTTTTTTGTCGTCCACTAACTGTGGTTGGAGTAGGATTGCAAGGCCTGCTTTTTGTTCTTCCTCTCTGAAACGAGGGAATTACCCATTCATGTCTTTGCGTAATTTTAGCTATTATAATGGAAACTGAACATAAATGGTAGATAGATCAACCTCGTGGGACCCAAAGAGTCAAAAATATGAATAACCCAGTATAAGCAAAAAATCACAAACAAGTGAAAAGATCCTAAAGATCAATCCCTACATAATGCATGATTATGAAGGCCTCCCACACGAACTAAAATGCAAGTCTAGACATAACATTTTATCGTTCACCATTGCAGACTTTTGAAACAGTAAACGTGTTACAAAAGTCTGATCCCGATAAAAAAATTGTTTGGCCTAATTTTTTATGAAAATATTATGTTAGCACAAAGGCCACTTTGATTTTAGCAGACCACGAAGATACATGCGCTGATCTTCCAGAGGTTCTCAAGTACAAGAAGTTTAGATACTTTCCTCTACGAATTATGTCCCCGACGATGTACAAACTAAGCTGCCTCCCACGTACGTATGTAGAAGTTCGTCAGGTGCACTGCTGTTTTGATTTCACTGGCGTTCCAATGGACCTCTGGACCTCTTACCTGATCACACAGGACTATGAGACTCCATGAGATTCCAAAGCTTTCAACGTTCATCCCGTTCCATCTCTGTCCTTCCGTTGGCATTATGCGCATCAGTGTACGATCCACACCATTCGTCAGTTCTCGTTACTAGAAAGGGAAAGCTCCTTGACATATCTAGAAGTACAAGTTTTTGTTCGATAACTGCACAGCCAGTTGAACCTCACCTCAAGGAGCTCACAGATGTGCAGGAACTTGCTGAAGAAAGCCTGAAGGAAGTCTATTTGCAGTTATGTCAGAAGGGCTTTTCAGCTTGCTGCGATTTCTGGCACACAAACGATAGAAGTACACTGAGTTTGTCGATAACTTCCACTGCACAAGGACTATTCGTAGAACCTAGGATTGGATTCATTCATCCCACTCGATGCCGCGGCCCCGTTGCCGAAGCTCCACGGTGGTCCGCTGTTGAATAAATCATTTTTTTCTTGCAGACGGAGATGATTTCCACAAGAGGACGAGAAACGTGCTCGCCCTTCACATAACTGTACAGCAGAAGAGGAGTTCATACTGGTCACTGATTGAACTCGTAATGCTACTTGAGGTCTGTCTCCGGGCCCAGAAGAGAGAAGTAAATTTAATGCAACTCAGGTAGAGGTAAACTGGTTCAAGTTGCTCAGCCGAACTACCACGATGAGCCAGGCCCCTGGAATTATTTACGGCCACACTGGACACACCCTTCTTTGTCTTCTATGAAGAAGTTTTATGGCAGAGTCAGAGCAAACTGTACAGAGAGGGGCTCATAAGAACTGGATAAATGAAAAACAAATTGCGCCAAGTAAAATTTCTAGGGACCAATAACTAACTCTTCACAGTAATCACAGGGCATGCCAAATATCTTTGTGCTGCGTGCAGTTTTATCTGCCTCCTGGCCGTATGATCCAAAATGTCCTGCCTTTGAGCAGGAAGCTCAGATCAAAAGAACAAATAGACGAACACCAAACAGCGAGAGCAAGGGAGCTAAAATCAACTTATAAGCTGCCAACCCCTGCGATGGCGAGACACCAAGACTTCGAAGTAAGTGCCACTACATCGGGCCTTTCGTCCTCGGCGTCGGTTTCCCACTGTCTTGTCTGGAAACCTGCGATGGACAACTGCCAATTATTCATTGTCGGATTTGCGAGTACTCTGTCGGTTGTCCGTTCCACCCTGAAGAGAGTTACTGCGAAGGAGAGGACAGACCAGCACTGCGTACAATTATGCGAAGGTTTTTGAATTGCTGAAGTTGGCCCTCGAGCTCGATGGATGGACCATTGAGGCAATGTCAGCTGGTTGGTGGGTGGGGTTGTTTCACTTGGTTGCTCATCGATAACAATGTGAGTGTTGGGTAGGAAGGATGAAGCATGATTAGCAGGTGGTTACACAACACCGAGAGATGCTTCAACTCCTGTTCTTGGTCCCTTTGGGGTGTATGCTCGCCCCTTTACTTGCATTTGGCGTTCATGCGATTCTGCATGCTGCATGTTTTTTGCATTCTCCTTTTACTTGCCTTTCTCGAACTTTTTCGTCCCGTCTGTTCCTGTGACTTGCCCCCATAAACAGTGCTACGAAATCTCCAAGCTTTGTTTGTTACTTAGGGTTACCGTAGCAGTTATGAGGACAACTGCATCGACATGTGTCTAATGAGACCATATGTCATCAGCAATGCCCTCTTTGCATGAAGCTCCATGTGTGCATTCCCTGGCCTGCTACTTTCTCCAAGGGTCGAATTCTGTCCTACACCGATCGAGGTAAGGCTCTTAATCAAGATGGATTGACTTTAACTCTCCAACTGTAGATTACTTGCAGGGAGGTGATCTTCTGAGTTTCACGTGTCATGAAGAGGGAAGCCATGTTCCTTGATGAAGATAGGATCCGTTGTTTATACAGAGATCTTTGCTTACGAAATTCCATGAAGATATTTCTAACTATCTTCACTGTTTCTTCGATTTTACATCACTGCAAGCTCTCGACCTCCATGTTTGATCAGTCAGACCTCCATGAGTGTAACTGCTGAAGGATCTCTATTGTTCCACCTGCATATGCAAGTTCAAGAAAGAGGAACAATCAATGTTAATTCGTCATACAGCCAACGCTTTCTCAAAGGCAACAACTAGATATAAAGACTCTAAGCTGTGATTGCCGCAGCAGGAAATCAAAGTGTGATGCATAGATAGCAAGTCCCTTTTCCAACTGTCACATTCTAATCTAACTGCGTATTACATCAAGCTCCTGGTGCTAGACAGGAGGACACGATTTGTTCTTCACTATACTTCTGCGAGTATAGTAGCTTTCCTTGTTATTCGACGAAAGAGTCAAATATGCTCGCACTGTTGACGCCTTCATTGGTCCTGATGAATATAAATGGGATTTCCAGTCCGACATTTATGATGCAACTCACAGCTTTATCCTGTTGAAAAGTTTTGGGTAGGTGTGCAAAAGCTTGAAGACCGAGGGTGACATTTTCCAACACATAGGAAGCTTTTCTTCCAAGTATGGAAAAGGTCTCCTCTGACAAGTAAATCTTCTTAGATCTTTCTTGGTCAACGTTTTCCCTGGTCTTCAGTTCGCGGAACTCGGTCGGTAACTGTCTGCGAAAAGCTGCTGCGTTTACCTTCGTACCGGAACAACGAATTATATATAAAAAGAGAGCTGATGTATACGGACCTCTCAAGTATTCACCGGGGCTTAGAAACCGAGAGAGGGAGTTTAAGCGCCAGTTGTGATGAATCTTATAAATTTCGCTTCATCCTTCTTCGGTTTACCCTTGTCTCAGTCTACAACAGATCAGTATTTCTGCTGCGAAGCTAACGTCAGGTATAGCAGAGGCAATAAATCAAATATGGAGTAAGGTTCGGCATATTTACTTGACCATATTTTCTTAATTTTAAATTCATGTTTCGAGTTCTTAAAACGCTTCAACTTTCTTTTTTCTTTTCAAGCATGTTATCACTACATTAGTACATGAAACAATCCTTCCAATTCGTATTCATGATCCAAGGTCACAAACTGCTTCTCTCCCTTCTATCATTTTTCATATTCTGAAGAAAAAGCGCTCTACTGGCAACAGTAGTATACTTTCTCCATATTTTCCTTTCTTTCTATCAGATACATATGTGAATCCCTGTTGGAAAGAAGTGTGCTGTGTAATACCCACAGCATACTTACAGTGTGTCTTGCACTTGTAACTAATGTACCGCTCCACACTTGGGTAGTCAACTCAAATTTGAATATTTTCGTACTCAGATAATATACCTAAAAATGAACTGCATTTATTGAGAAAAACGTGGCACAACAGTGCTCGAATTACATCCGTGAGCTTTGATCCGAACAGCACAATGCTGCTGAAGTTCATAACAATAATGTTCACCTCAAAGGAATGAAGTTCATGACGAAATTGCTCACTTCATGGTTCATACGAGTTTTCCTGACTATCATACAGGGAGCCTTAAACTCTGGTTACGTTCCATCTCTTTGAATTGTACAAAGTGCTACTACAATAGAAACATGCAACCGCTTTTCTCTGCCCTACGAAGAGGAGTAATGAGTACGAAGGTTGAAAGTAGCTAAACATCCACTCATCTGCCTCAGTAAACCTCCTGTATTGTCAGCCCGCAGACAGCTCTCTTTAAAACTTCTGCGCAAGCAGCTTGTGAATTTCCTATTCTCGCTGTCTGCGTGCGGAGGGTTAGAATTTCAGCAACTTGAGTATAAGTACGCTGAATGCAGATTTTGCCCACGCACTACACACGAAGCCGCAATGTCGTACTCAGCACAGAAGCGGTGATGTTAGCTGCGATGTACGAAACAATCTTGAAGGAAACCCAGAAACGTAACTTGTACATAAGCCCCAGCAATTTGTACATTTCGAAACTGCTCTCCAGAGATTGAAGCCTCCCTTTGTGAAGCAAGTTGTGAGAAACATTATCCCCCAGCCCATCGCTCAATGGGTGGGGGGTTAGTACTGGCCCGAATTCGCAGTACTAAACTGAGCCTCCAAATACTCAAGCTGACGCTCAAGAACAGTCAACTTTTCATTTAGAGTCGCGAGTTTACTCTTGGTTGCAGTCTCTGCATATCGCAACAAAAAAATTGTGAGTATAAAGTACATAAGTCTAACATTCAGAAACAGGATACATCCTTATGACCATATTTACTCCATCTAAGCATAACCTTCGCGGCGGACAGACTTCCGTGCACAAAATCTTTAAATTAATTCCTCAATGGACCGGGCAATCATCAAACCACACTTCAATCCGGATCTGTAGTACATAAGACGTGGGAGTTCAAAAAGCTCCCAAGGAAAAACCTAGATAGCAGATTCAACACTCATAGATGACACAAAAAAGTTCTTTCATCAATCTCTGAAGCTGAACTCAACGTCAATTGGCTCAAACTGTCAGAGCTTTCAGAGAGTCCATAACACTAACGAACAAGCCCTCGCGAAGATCAATCTAAGACCTGAGCATAGAGCAAACCAGAAGAATATTCGAAAAGACTGCAAACCTAGGAACAGCGAGAAACGGATCTAGGCGAGAGAGATGACATACCGAACTGAAGCAGAAACTCAAAGAGACGGCGGACATTGAGAGACAAGGAGTTGGAGAAGTGCCGGTTGTCCCAATCCGCCTGCACCGCTATACCCACACTGACACTATTATTCATATTCGTCTTCGACATTGTTAATTATCTCCCACAATGCACAACCGGCGAGACCTCGTACCCCCAATGTGCAAACACCTGCGGAATGCCTCGACTCCCCACGCTTTCCCGACGCTCACTGCTCAGCCACAGAACCTCTCCAGGGTGCAGCAATACGCAGCAATCGCTGCTGCAGCAGCTCACGCTTCTCTTCTTCTGCGAGCAAGATCCACTCGCGTCGTGAGCGCAACTCTCGAAAGAGCGAACCCCTTACCCCTCCTGCGCCGCCCCCGTCTAAGCCAACGACGACAATAGTGCCACCCCGCAGCACCTCCTCAACCCGACACGATAACGCGCGCGGTATTCAAGCATGTGCATCCTCGTAAAACAGAATGCGCAGTATGCAGATCCAGTTGCTGTTTCGACACCCACCTTCCCAACCCGATCTATCATGCAAATGCAAATTCTCTCTCTCTCTATATATCTCTCTCTTCTCTCTTCTCTCTCTCTCCACGAATAGAAGAATTGTTTGGTCAGGCACTGTGATGGAGATAGAGCTGAGCTGCCGGGGCTCCACACTGCTCACACAGCCACTTGCTCGGGAGCTCGATGGCAGGAAGGCAGAGTCTGCAGTGGTGCTCGGGGGAGTTCTGGTGCTCGAGGCGCCCAGAGGAGGAGGAGGCAAGGCAGAGAGCGATTCTGGTAGTCGGTCGACAGCGCCCGAGCCCTTATAAGCAGCAGCCCGCGCCCAGTCCGACGTGGCGACGCAAGCAGAGTCCAGTCGTCGCCAGTGCCACCCACGCCCCCTGCCCGGGCGCGGGCCCCACCCGCCCTCTCCTCTCGCACTGTACGCGCCCCTGTCACATGTCGCAGATACACCCAATGCCAGCGGCCCGACCCCCTCGCCGTCACGCTTTACGTCCGCGTTTGTCTTTTTCCTCTCGGAGCCTCTCTCGGCTTCCCGTGCTCCCCCTTCCGTCTTCTCCATCCGCTTTGTCCGGCTACCTCCAGTCATCTGCCGAGTTGACCGGTGGAGGCACTCGGAACCGAGAGCAGTCTCGTCTCTCTCGGTCACGCTCACCGGCTGTCCTTCTCATCTGCCGTTCGCCGTCCGTCGTGAGGGATGGGGGACTCGGGGACTCGGGGATGCACCGAATTTGGAGGGGCGACTATTTTAACCGGAGGTCGCCGGATCGGGCGACCTCGCGTGCACTGAGGGGACTGTTGGAACTGCGTTTGTCTTCAGCGTGGCGTCATCGAATTCTGGCTACCTCATCTAGAGTAGCCACCGTATATTATAGTCCGAGAGTTCACAGTACACTACTTGCTTCGTGAGAGGAATTTGGGAAATTCTGCGGCCAACAACTTCGAGGACATGTTAGATTAATGCTCGTATGGCTCTCAGGAATACGATCGGATCCGGGGCTGGTGTCGTATCGATTGGATTGTGAATCTCCAAAGGCATGTCTCGACGTTTTGTGATGAGGGTCGATGAAGACAAGACAGCCTACCGAGCTTTCACGGTCATCTGCTCTACGTTCCTTCAGTCATCACTTTAATATCTAATCAAGCGTGATGAGATATTTAGGGCGATAATGTGATGTCGACTTCTCTCAGTTGCTGTCGCCAAGGGTGTGATTGTTCCTCGAAGGATATTGTGAATAATGTGGAATATCAATGGGCAGGAACAACTATGTGAATATAAGCCACACACTTGGCTGGTCCCGCCGACTCAAGTATGCTTTGGCGTCATGTAAGCCAGGGCTTAATCTGCACCGAAAGCCAACTCCCCAGATCTCCACCACCACCATGTGATTCTAAGCAATCCATTCAAACTACACGCTGATTAATCTGAGTTTTCAATGGATTCGACGTCTTTTTCAGTGTCTAATATCTCCTCAGATGACCTTCGATATTCGGGTCCAAAAAAATTTAATGATCAATCAATTTTCTCCTCAACGCAAATTCCAGTAGAGGTCAGCTTACTTAGAAATTGCCATGTCAGGAGCTCCTTTCCACACGCTCTTGAAATGACTCGAGATCTTGGACTGAAGATCTACTTTACGTGATGTGTGTGATATGAAAGGCTGGTCCTTGCTTCCTGGGAGGCGAGGCTTGCTTTGCATTCTTGCCTTGCGCTTTACTCCCAGGAGAAACACAGTGCAACGTTGCTTTCACGTGTTTATGTTGTAAAGTGGTTCAGATGAGCCCCAGGTCAACCCTGGCTTCCACCGGACGGAGCTTTTCATCTCCTCTTTGCCCCGAGGTTCGTCCAAGAGCAGCATAACAAAAGGTAGAGCTTTTGACTGACGTCGTTCCAACTTTTCCATCCAGTATCATCCAGAGGTGGTCACCCACAAATCATCAGGCTTCGCAAACAACTCGGAGAATATGTGACTGTTTGATTGCTACATCAAAAGTGTATGATCCTATGTTTTTTCAATTTAGATCTAGATTTAATTTCAAATATGTAGTAAAAATTCTTCCGAAACAAGAGGATAAGCATGAAAATTTTCATGGAGAAGTTTCACATTCCCAAAAACATGACAAAAGAAAAAAATAAAATGTATGTATATATTATATACACATCAACCAAAACGAAGAAACTCAGCATTAAATGATATTGTATCGACTCTGAACACGTCGTTCCCATACAGATAATCGTATTTTGAAGTGATTTTTTCAGAAGACCGCAAAATATGCCCACAGGAACTGAACATGTCAATAAATGTTTCTAGCCTTGTATAAAGATTCATCGTAAAGAGGTTGAAAGACTCACGCAGTTTGTGTACACAAGGCAGATGCGAAACAATTCGTGAACCTTCTGAGGAGAACAAGCTTTCATAACTCCTGCATCAGCAGCGGAAATAGCTCGTCCTCCAGTTCTTCAAAAGTTCACCGCAGTGTCCAGAATATTTTGCATTTGACCATGAGCTTCCATCTCGAGGATTCGGTAGACGTTCCTGGTACGGTAGGACGAGGGGCATGTACCGTAGAAGAGTCTGGCACCATGTCGTTTCAACCTCTTAATCCGCCTTCTGATTGACCTTGTATTCAATGAGCCGTATGGAGATGCATCCGATATCTAGAATGTAATGATTATCGCTGACGATAGTATCGTACTCTTGAGACACAAGTATTGTTGGACTTTCATATCGGAAGGTGTAACGAATATTCTTAGAAGAACTTCCGAATATCAAATAGACCATTATTCCCAAAATATGAAATAAAATGCTTCAAATGCTTTCTGATGCAAGAAAATTCAAAAAGCGAGCTTAGCATGTTGAGAACTTGGGAGACAACAATGCTCGCATCTTTCCCTTTCATCCGGGGACAAGATGGACAACTCTTAGTTTTTAGTAATATCTTCGATAGTTACATCAGCAGAATCTTCCGACGGTCATCGAGATTCGTGGACAGGAAAGCATGAAATTGTGGAGTAAAATTCTGATGATGTGAGATACTTTTTCACCAAATTTTGCTTGCGGATCTTGTGCGACTCAGATCACTTATTCTCCCATGAAGCTCCATGACAATGACCACAAAGTGTCTCTGATCTGTCTACGATCGGCACGTACCATGCTTGGCGAGGAGCAGACTGCTACAAGAAGATTTGAAGCCCCACCAAATAGAAAAACGTAGCCTGTAAGGCGAATTCCTACCCCACAAAGGATTCAGGAGAATATTTCAATCCAGAACTGTAGTTGGCAGCGATCTTTAGCTTGATTGCAATTAGCTTCAGTTAATGCTGATTTAGTAAGTCCGTCATAATCCCAGACCAGCCTAACTGTATTGCAATAAATTCCAGACTTGGAGAGAATCACGAATGTGCCGCTATCATGGGTTTGGATAAGGGAAGGAAAGTCCCCCCTCACTTTCCGATAAGACCTTTCTCAATAACACCCTCCGCGTCTCCGCATGCGTGCAACTTCTCTCAGAGATTGCTCTAACACATACGAGATGGACGAAGATCTGACATCTGTCTGGGTGCTGGAGGTATTTTGTTGTATGTGCATCAAAGAAGGACTCCCTCGTTTGGAGGTATGTGCACGCAAAATATTTTCCCGCGAAGAAATGTACTCTTCTTTAATAAACTATCCATTAACTCCACCGCAAACGATGAATTTTGTGGTAATCAGATGCGTCCAACAATCCATGACATTGCGTTAGATTGTCCAGACCATTGTCCAGACGAGCGAAGTGATTGAAACAGCAACTTGGCGTTCCACGAAATGGACCAGGCGGTGGTGTCGAAAAAACCAAGCCTGAAACTCTATGACCTTTCTCGACACGTAGTTTACATACGAGCTCGTGAAGATGTTTGCCGAGGTTCAGAATGCGGCAGTGAATTCAGGCATCTTTTGTGCCCCAGGCTATTGGGCGCGATTGATTCGACCCCGATCGGCAGATACGCAAAATAGCAACTCCAATAGGTTGTGACTGCGTTTAAATTTGGTTTAAGTTCATCCTTGCACAACGAACATGTATAACAAATTCATGTCACTTGTCTCGGAATGATGTCTTAGTTCCAAGAATGTGTATGTAGACAACACCAGCTCAACGCTGGCAGTTATGTGTTCGCCAGTTTGATCTAAAATTGCATCTGCTGCCAGCAACTTTCTTACATGTGTTGAGTTGACCAACAGGCTGCCTTCTAGAAAGTCAGTGCGAAGAACCAAAAGTCAAAACAGCCGCTTTTCAGCCCATGGAGATTCAGGCTATGAATCGCACCAATTTAAGTATGGTTTGCTTCACTAAATTGAGGTCAATTCCAACGGGAATGAGGCATGAAATCCATGTCTACCTCTCTCTGGGTCCGTCACAAACGAAGAGTGGCCATGGATGAGTGGACAACAATGCTGCAACGATATCATGCTTATGTGCAGGTTCTCATCTATCTCCCGAACCTGCCTCTCCGAAGAGACAAGTAGTCTCCACTGCCTCGATCTCCAACTTGTGGCTATTCTCAATTCCTCCCTCCCTCCCTCCCATTCTCTCTCTACCTCTGCTTCAGAAACAACAGAAGGCATTCCCATGAACCAGAACCTCGCGCCTTTCCTTCCGTGCCCATCGACTCTCAATCACTGGTACACTGATTCATCATCATCATCATGTGTGTGATTTTTAGTAGAGCAACATGGGACCCTTGAAATCGATTCTAACACCTCTTTACCCTTATTTCACCTCCGGGGTACAGGTTAATATAAAAACTAAAACCAAGCGATGAGGGTTGAAAATTAGATCAAAACAATCCTAGAAAATGTATTGAGCATAAGCAGTTGAGGTGCTGGCTGCTCCTCTTGATATTCTTTTTCTTCATATCGCCAAATGGCATTGTCATTCATGATTCAGGCTGTTTGCATCTTAGCCTATGTCCTTGGCCAACAGGAACACAAGGACAAATGTGGAGAATTTGGTAACAAGAGATGTGAGGGTTAAATTTTTACATAACAACAAGTAGAAGCGACTGGAAGCGCGAACGTTCATTGCAGCATAAAAAGTAGCCGTTTCAGAATAGAAACAATGATACTTTATTCGCTATTTTCAAAAGATTTTCTTCAGGACGTGACCATGCCACGGACTTTGATTCCAATAAACAAGTACACACATTACCATCATTTTCACAGACGAAGTTATATCATAGCTGATATTAAACCCAACTTGGACGCTGGTTGTCCAAATCCAGAAAATACTGCCAAAAAACTGACATAAAAGTTTCTACAAACTCCAGTATTGTAACATTGAACACTAGGAAGGCTATAATACTAAACGTAAAAGTCCTAGGACCTCTATGTCACTTCAGTAAGCTTTATCTGCCTATGTTGAATCGGATGTGGATAGGTGAGTGCATAACATTCCTGACACTCATTAGCCCCGGCCTAGAGTTGACCGTTCACCAATCAAAGGTTCAAGACAATGTTTCAGCTCCGTATCATAAAGCTACATAACTCATACCAACTCTTTATTACAAAGTGTTGAACAATAATATGCATTTTACCATCACGTGTAGAGAGCCTGAGTACAAAAGTTCTTCAGTCAAAGGAAGGCAAGATCGCCCCTTTGCCAACTAGACCCTAATGAGTTTTGTTAGCACTACTAAAGTGAGCTTTCAAGATTTTCTTATTCCAATCTTTGATTCACATCAATGATTGGAAAACCCATCAAATAGTGATGTATATTGGTAAAATTACTGTTTGATTTAATCTGTTGCTTTCTGCTTATGAAAAGAGATGTGTAATGCACGCATAGAGTGAAGGAAGATATTCATCAAGATCTTTTAATAACTATCAAATATTATTTGTAGCAATCTATTTAGATGCAATGTGATACATTACAATCATCATATAACATCACTAATCACTTATTATTTTCTTGAAATTATTTTTTAAATATACAAATGCTATGAGCTAAGATTCTACTATAATGAAAACAAATTTAAAAGATGCACATTCATCCCATGACAATGAATAAAAATGGAAATTTTTTATTTCTGAATTTTTTTAAATATTTCAAACATATATATATATATAATTAGTTCAAAAAACATATCACTTCTATATAATTACATTTAATATATTCAAAGACATAATTTAATTAAAATTTTATTTTATTTAATAAAAATAAAAAATAAAATCTTTTTATGATATGAAATTATACATTTACATAAATTCAGTGTATAAAAATAGTTTACTAGTTGCAAGTATGAATGATACTACTTGAATTATATGAAGTTTTATACTGCATGGCATAAATAATTGGATATATGTTTAGATTCAAAAATTCATATTAAAATTTAAAGATCCATAAAAAATTTCTTGTGATGCAAGAAATCAATAAAAAAAACCCATTTATGAAACAAATGGAGCTTCTATTTTATTTAAATTGGAAATATTTTTATTTTTTTATGATGTAAATAATTACATTAAATAAATATAATAATATTAATAATAAATCTTCCATTTTAAATATTTTTATACTGGATAAGCTTAAAGATATATGATCTTAAGGACTTATCAAATTTTTCATCATATAAATCATAGGCGAATCCAACCTTATGTTCATTATTTTATTGAACTATTTATTATGTGGAGTATGTAATCAAAAAAAAAGTTGACATCACACACATAATTCATTTTTAAATATTGATATTGATCTTAATTCATACGATTTATCTACCCTTGATTGTAATATTGTCACATGATTATTACAATAAGTCATTTGTAGTGTTTTTAATCAGATGATTGCATATTAAATCAAGATGACTCTGTATTCACTGTAATGAAATGATTAGTTCAAGTTTGGACAAACTGCAGTTGATAAATAAGTAAAGTATTCAGGATAAATGTGAAGTTCTAAATCAATACTGAGCTAATTTGGCTTCAAATAATTATTTAATTCTTGTTGATATTGATTTTTAAATATATAAAAGAAAATTTTGAATTTATGTGGAGATAAATATTAGTTAACTATATTAGTATGTAATAAGATCAATGAAGATACCAGGAAAATAGATGTATCATCAAATTGACAAGTTTATTATTTCGAATTCATGTATAAAATCTAGCCTTGATGTACGAGATTTTGTGATATTAAAAGATTCTATGATATGAGGTTAATTTCCAAACAAACTAAGAACGCAAACTTGTGTGTTTTCTAATAAGCTTACAACTTATTGAAATAAGGTAAGGAGTTGAGCTTGCGTCTCTCAAAATTGGACATCCAGATTGAACATAATTACATCACCTTACAAAGTACTATACACCAAGAGATGTGTGGATGTATGTGGCAAAATCTTACAAATATTATCCCATAGCTCAATTTCGTCTTCGAAGAAACAAAAACAATTGTTACTGCATACTTCCACAAACCGAGGCATGTGAAAGAAAAGACCATAATCTTTTAGAGACACCGCAAATCTAGCATACCAGCCATTTCTAAGGCATCGTGGTCATTCGCTCTCCAGTCGGATTATCGTGTCTGGCACTAAATCGAACATCAGATTATCGTGTCTCCCGGATTAATAGAACGAAGGAGTGCGACGTGAAGCACCGGGACCGGCTGGTCCTGCAGGACTTTCTCGACTCCGAGGCGCCCTGAGGTCCACGTTGACTCTGGTTCCACGTATCGAGCTTGCTTCATTCCAACCCCCATCCCATGCAATCCGCAGCTTCCTCCTGCTCAGAACATCAAACGTTCCCTTACGTACACCTCGCGTCGATTGACCTACAAAATCTTCCCTCCCATTTGCTGGATCATCCTTGGACTTTGATATCACTCCGTTACATATCGAGTGCTATACTTTAACAATAATCAATAACAAAAAAGTTATTCTCCAACGATGGCCGCCGAATGTAGATGATTTCATGCGGCAGTCAGCAGCAGGACACATCTTCTTCTTTGCTTGTGGCGCGTTGGAATTCGCAGGACACACCTTCTTCTTTGCTTGTGGCGCGTTGGAATTCGCAAGTGTTATCACGGGGCGAAGATTGTTGGACAGTATGTTTCTCGATCGAGACTCGAGACGAAGAAGTGTGAAGGACTGTCTGTCTTGCGATGGAGATGGGCGATTCCGAATTGTCGGAATAAGTCTCCTGCCGGCCGCGAAGAGCGTCTAGGGTCACGTTGCTTCGGCATCACGGTCGGGATCTTACGTGGCCACAATGTCCGATGGGAGATCTTGCACATCTCGGAGACCGTGAATCCCGTCGAGGATCCCTTCGGATTAGGTGGAACCATTGTCGCAACCTTCGGAGCAAAGGTAGCCTTTCACTTCAATGGTGACGAGAAGTTAACCCTGGTAAGTCTTAGAAGCTTCGAAAGAATCTGCCAGCGAGCTGACGCTGTAAGGACCCCAATGAAAGGGAGGCTAACTTAGGACTTTAGCGGAATATAGCAATCCCTCTAATTTTCACAGACAGAGTTTCTCCTCTACCTGTTGATGTCGACGACAACTACCTCTTGTGGGTGTTCGTTCAGCGACTCCGGACACGTGGCGCCCTTTGAGCACCTTTGAACTGACCGGGGTCAGTTCTTGACCTATCTCTGAGGAACATTGGGCCTGCGAATTGAATTGTCTCTTTTGGAGGATGACTTGTGTTCCTTATTTGCTGCTTCTTTTGTATTATGTGCTGTCCGAGCCTCTCTCTACTGGTTGCTGCAGTTACGATTTTCTAGCCACGGCAGTGTTCACTATCTTTAACTGTGGTGCTATCTAAGAAGTGAACAAAGTTTTCATCTCCACCGGAGAAATGTCATAGATAGCACCACAATGTGACATTGATACTTTTATTATTACAAACACAAAAGAGTTCCTAGTTATTTTAAGTAGATTTCAAGATTGGTAAAACTACTATTAAATTTTATTTTTAAAACTTGGCATTCATGAAAATGATCATGGTTTAATCATTATATCAGCTGATAGCTTGATGCAAAAAAAATAACTTCATGTTCATGAGATGTCATGTCATGTCAATTGACAGTCTATAATAATTATGCAGATATTTTCTTTTTTCTTCATGTATTGAATAAGTAGAGATATTAATATAATACGAGACTTGTGAAAAAAAAAACTCGGTATTCGCAATTTTGAACCTCATGAATATTCAATATTAATTTATTATTGATCGGTCACCTTAGACAAAGTATTTCTCATGAGACATATCACTTTGTCACTCACTTTTTTATATGATTAATCTTGATTCATTTCACTTTTGCTAAAACCTAAGCATGATATATAAAGATGATCAATACATTGGAAATTTAGAGCCGAAGCAAACTTGAAATTTTAATTAGAAGCATCAGAGAAATGAAATTTGAAATAAATTGTTCATTTTTTTAATTTACTTCTACGTACATAGACATGTAACTTCAATCCAATATGATTGAACTCTAATGTGTAAGTAAAAGCTCCCACAGATCCATTTGTAAACTATTGACCACTATCCTTAAATATCATGCATACATGTCTTTTTCTTTTTTCTGTTATTTGCCACATACTTGTCTAAAGTTCAAATCACAATTTGAAAGAGTTCTTAAGATATGCATGCAACAAAATCAATTAGTATCATCATACTAATATATAATCTTCTCTCATGTCAATGCAATTTCAAGCTCTCTTTTTTACCGTTTTTGTTCTTCTTGCTGAAATCCAGCAGATTTTGCATAAGCAAGAAAAAATATTTACTATACTTATAACCTTCATATAACTTATAACTTGCTTTCATATGAAGAAAAAATTTAAAACAGTTCACACAGAAATATATGCATATTAAATTGACAATAAAATTGCATGACGCTAATTTCCCTAAGAATACTTTAACGAGAATAAACAAGTAATGTCAGTGACTGAGCGCAAGCGTTTTACACAAAACTTCCGCAATTACTTATATATCATAAATACAACCGCTTATCATATATCTGGAGTAGAAAAATCAAAGATTAAACACAAAAAATTCCATCTTAACATCTTTATGACGAATTTTTTATGTTTGAGAAAAACGATTCAGTATAAAACATATATATCTATAAATATTCTCTTCATGTCAGGAAACTTCGAGATAGAAATTCATGACAATTATATCTTCTGGTTCAAAATATAATGAATCTATTTATAATTTTTTCTATTCATTGAAAAATCAAAATTTGGATTATATTAGGCATAATTATTTGCATAAATTTATAGTGTGTAATTTATTAAAAATATCATTCTCAACATACTTTTATGAGATTTAATCTCCTCGTTTTTTATTAGTTTTTTTAATTGATCTAATTTTTATGTAGAAAGTATGCATTACTTTGACAAAGTTTCACAAAATCACTTATACCATATGCCAATAGATTTTTACATGGTGGAAATATATTTAATAAGTGATTCATTTATCATTGCAGTTTCTTTGTAATCAGAAGATCATAACATAATACTTGAAATATGTGCTTGAAGGTTGACTGATGATTACCATATTAGACCATACTCCAATTTTTGTCTCAAGTTCAGAACATGCTTACAAACGTTTTTTTATCAATTGTGACCTACTCCCACGTTATCAATATCTTACGAACAATGTGTAAAGATGTTGATTTGTTTTTTTCGACAGAGTTGACGAGATGTAGATGTATATTGGAATTTTTTCTGACTTGCATAATGTCACGAATCCTAAATGTTCTTCATAAGGTGTACAAGAAAGACACATTTCACTTTTGCTGGCTTCGCAGTCGTATGGAACGTGGGTGGGTCGGTCTTTTGAGTATGATATGCATGATTTATCACCCGTGTCAAAGTATCTCTATCTGTTCCTATATAGAATTACGAATGATATTAAGTATTGCACTGCAAAATGAATAAAATTGGGTATCGATAGAGGATACGGGTGGATTTAGTTGCTATCGGTCATGATTGCTTATAAATGGGTTTGGTGTAGAGTCAACTATGTCTGGAAGACTTTCATGCCATCTATGTCATAATTAGTATAGCTTAGAGAGAGCATACCTTTTAGCGATTGATTCCTTCTTTGACTTTAGATTTATTTAAGTTCGAAATTTGCTATTGTACCCAAGCGTGTTGTTTGTGGTTAGTTCGTTTTCTATTCCCTTATACTCTTTCGGGTTACACCAGGACCAACATCTTGTAAGCCGGTCCACTGATTCATTTTGTCCAAAAAATATCATATCTTCTCATAATACATACCTACATATATTTCAAGGAATCTTGCATACCTCATTCTTGAAAAGGACATTTCCGTCAAGACTTTACTGATAAGGAAAACATGAGTTGTACTCCCCGCATTGAGCTGAAAAATTACAGGATTGCTTGGGGGTATTCACCATACCTATTTGGAAGAATTCGGTTATTCGCATATAGATCGACATCTTGGGGTAAAGCTAGGCCATCTGGAGGATTTTCATGGAGGAATCCGCTACGTCAAACCGTTCCTTTCAAAACATTTTGTGTCGTCGAATGTTTGGGTTCCGACCAGAATGAAGACCACTCGCCTTTCCATCGCTTCCTTCTTGCTGCTACTGAGGTTCTGCAAGCTTGTTATATTTCGTGCTTCTGCTCGCCGAATCTCTCACACTACTGATAAGCTTCTGACTAGTGGTACCGGGGTGTATCTCGTTGTCTTCGCAAAACATCTCACATACATATTTAATCAAATAGCTTTCAGCAAATAGATAGTGATATGTGGTGATGCCATTCGATCACACTTCATTCAAAGTCCAGCAAAGGAAGTAGCGAAGATGGCCTCTCCATGTAGGCCTCGAGTCCATATGCTGAGTCACGCGATTCTCTCCATTTTTCATACACTCACGGCACGAACAAACCTATGACTCAGATTTAAACTAGTCTAATTACACCGGAGAAAATCGGGGTACACAACATGGGCACCGCTGCTAAACCGCTCCCTGTTAGAAGGATTTTCTCATGTCTTCTCAAACCCAGAACTTTTTATGTGGTGATGTAATGGCTTTCCAGACTCTAGTTAATCGTTCCTTCCACTTGCTTCCACTTCCCAGAATCCTTGCAGTCCCCATCTTCAAAATGAGATCTAATGAAAATCTACCCATGTATCATTGGCTCTCTAAAGGTGAATGCATGAAAAATAATAAGGAAAAATTCATCCTTTTTCTACTTAATTTTCCAATGTTGTTATAGTTTCACTTACTATTGACCATATTTCAAATTTTACTTTTGACCCTTAATATATAGCATATGATTTTCATATGATGTTAAAAGATGTTTTTTTATAAATCACAAAGCTGTTCGTTTGTATGAAGGTAAGTTGGTTATACTTGAGAACAATTATTGAATATAATGAGTTCCTATTCATTGATTTAAAGACTTCCAACGATGAGATCACTTTGATTAAGTTCTGTAAGGTTTTGGAGCGTTTTGAACAGCTTACCAAATGATATTTGATTATTGAAACAAAAGATGACAAAACTATACGGTGAAGTTAAAGTAAGTTCTCATCATACTATAACAACTTAAATTTAAGAAAAAAATTTGAAACTTTGAGATAAATCTGGATTTTTTTAACATATAATGATTAAAAGATCAGATTTAAAATGCATAGAATATGTGTTTACAATCCAGTTTTGTATCAAGGTTAAGAGTAAACAATTTTTTATATAGATTGAGATGATTACATGTAGATACAGAGTTATGTTATAAAAGTGTCATAAAATGTAACCATGGTCTAACAAATCATGGTTAAATTTATGTTCTTAACCAAATTTTGAATTAAATCTCATTCTAGTTATTACATGATAAGTGAATATAATCTGGATTTTAAACTAATTACATATTTTTTAACACTTGAAATAATAAATTAAAATTTTTTCTCAAAACTATAATATAAGAGTATACTTTTTTGAGTTAATATTTTTTTTGAGTTAGTAAATTTAATTATAAACTATAAATTTTCACCTAAAACATATTGATGATATAATATTGATATCATATGTTAATTAAAATTTTAACCTCAAGTGAATAATTTGGTAATAAGAAGCTGATTATTTTACAAAGAAATTTTATTAATTTGAATTTTTTAATGGTAATTTTTAATTTTCTGAACAATTCCAAAAAGAAATTAAAAAAATATGATGTGAAAGTAACTAAAAAAATAGAAATATAATTCTTTGATAAAACGAT